CTCAGAGTCCCAGCAGGAGTCCAGTCCCTGTGCTCCTCAGAGTCCCAGCAGGAGTCCAGTCCCTGTGCTCCTCAGAGTCCCAGCAGGAGTCCAGTCCCTGTGCTCCTCAGAGTCCCAGCAGGAGGCCAGGCTCCAGTAAATAAATAAACAGATTTCATGATAAATTGAAATCCTGCCATAATAATAATGAAACATGATGCACAGGACTTTCCAGGCTTCAGCCCACACTTCTCCAGGACTTTCCAGGCTCCAGCCCACACTTCTCCAGGACTTTCCAGGCTCCAGCCAACACTTCTCCAGGACTTTCCAGGCTCCAGCCCACACTTCTCCAGGACTTTCCAGGCTTCAGCCCACACTTCTCCAGGACTTTCCAGGCTCCAGCCCACACTTCTCCAGGACTTTCCAGGCTCCAGCCAACACTTCTCCAGGACTTTCCAGGCTCCAGCCCACACTTCTCCAGGACTTTCCAGGCTCCAGCCAACACTTCTCCAGGACTTTCCAGGCTCCAGCCAACACTTCTCCAGGACTTTCCAGGCTTCAGCCAACACTTCTCCAGGAGTTTCCAGGCTCCAGCCCACACTTCTCCAGGACTTTCCAGGCTCCAGCCCACACTTCTCCAGGACTTTCCAGGCTCCAGCCCACACTTCTCCAGGACTTTCCAGGCTCCAGCCCACACTTCTCCAGGACTTTCCAGGCTCCAGCCCACACTTCTCCAGGACTTTCCAGGCTCCAGCCCACACTTCTCCAGGACTTTCCAGGCTCCAGCCAACACTTCTCCAGGACTTTCCAGGCTCCAGCCCACACTTCTGCAGGACTTTCCAGGCTCCAGCCAACACTTCTCCAGGACTTTCCAGGCTCCAGCCCACACTTCTCCAGGAGTTTCCAGGCTCCAGCCCACACTTCTCCAGGACTTTCCAGGCTCCAGCCCACACTTCTCCAGGACTTTCCAGGCTCCAGCCAACACTTCTCCAGGACTTTCCAGGCTCCAGCCCACACTTCTGCAGGACTTTCCAGGCTCCAGCCAACACTTCTCCAGGACTTTCCAGGCTCCAGCCCACACTTCTCCAGGACTTTCCAGGCTTCACACTCTGAGCCACACGATCCCAGAGTCTGTGTGAAAACAGGAAGCAGCTGGAGCTCGTCTGCACCTCCTTCCTCTCGGCTCAAAAACCTTTAGATTTTTCACCAAAAACGCCACGTGTTGGAACCAAAAGGTGAAGCCAGCGACATGTGTTCAGTTCCCAAACGCTTCACGCCGTCAGCACGAGCCAAACGGCCTCCGCAAACGTAAACAAAGGGTCGGGAACATCTGGAAACGTCTGAGAAGAACGACGGCTCTGATCATGAGCGGAAAGATCAAAAAGATAAAAACAGAATGAGGCTGTTTTCCAGAACAAAGAGTTACACATCTGAGCTTTTCTAGTCTTAACTATGTGTTTTATGTTTTACTAAAAGGTACACATGGAAAAGTACAAACAGACAAGATCCCACCCCAGCCCTAATAAAAAGTAAAAATAGTATATCTGCGGTCAAACAGAATGTGTAGAAAGTTCTTCCACAGAAACAGAAGGTAGATCAAAAGTAGATCAAAAATAACAAAAAATTTCTCCAATTTAAGATGAAAAAACACATATTTGACCCAGTTTGAGGAGACGCATTTCCATTTACACAGAATCAACCCCAAACCATAACAACAGAGGGTTAAATGGTATTGATGGTCACTATACCATGGGTGTCAAAGTCAAAGTATTAGAACCGGCCGCACAGAGTCATAAGGAAATACTGGGAAATACACAGTCTACTGGGTTAGGTCTTGGTTCCACAGGTTTTGTGATCATTTTTATGTTTTAATGAACTTTGAACCAGTCCAGGCCTCGGCTTGTCTTGGTTCTAAAAGTGAAAGTGACGCCACATGGTTCTGTCACGAACATCTTGGAATGAGTCAGATTTCAGAATCCAAGTCATTTCAAAACCAAAAAGAAACAGATTCTTGGAGCATGAGAGAGATTTCCGACTGAAGCTTCTCTGACTTTTATCTTGTTCATTTGCAGCAGATCACAGCAGCAACATCATTCATTAGTGCCAAAATGCCTGAGTGCGGCTGGTGAAGTGTACAGGGATCTGAAATGTATAACCAACTATAAAATCAATGTGTGTGTGTGTGCGTCTGTGTGTGTGTGTGTGTCCGTCTGTGTGTGTGTCTGTGTGCGTCCGTCTGTGTGTGTGTCTGTGTGCGTCTATGTGCATGTGTCTGTGTGTGCGTGTGTGTGTCTCTCTGTGAGGAGTGACTCTGGAGTGAGTGTGCGTCTGTGTGTGCGTGTGTGTGTGTCTCTCTGTGGAGTGTGTGTGTGCGTGTGTCTCTGTGTGAGGAGTGACTCTGGAGTGAGTGTGCGTCTGTGTGTGCGTGTGTGTGTCTCTCTGTGGAGTGAGTGTGTCTCTCTGTGGAGTGTGTGTGTGTGTCTCTGTGTGGAGTGTGTGTGTGTGTCTCTGTGTGAGGAGTGACTCTGGAGTGAGTGTGCGTCTGTGTGTGCGTGTGTGTGTCTCTCTGTGGAGTGTGTGTGTGCGTGTGTCTCTGTGTGAGGAGTGACTCTGAAGTGAGTGTGCGTCTGTGTGTGCGTGTGTGTGTCTCTCTGTGGAGTGAGTGTGTCTCTCTGTGGAGTGTGTGCGTCTCTCTGTGGAGTGTGTGTGTGTGTGTGTCTCTGTGTGAGGAGTGACTCTGGAGTGTGTGTGTGTGTCTCTGTGTGAGGAGTGACTTTGTGGAGTGTGTGTCTCTCTGTGGAGTGAGTGTGTGTGTGTGTGTGTGTCTGTGTGAGGAGTGACTCTGTGGAGTGTGTGTGTGTGTGTGTGTCTCTGTGTGAGGAGTGACTTTATGGAGTGTGTGTGTCTCTCTGTGGAGTGAGTGTGTGTGTGTGTGTGTGGAGTGACTTTGTGGAGTGTGTGTGTGTGTCTCTGTGTGAGGAGTGACTTTGTGGAGTGTGTGTGTCTGTGTGAGGAGTGACTTTGTGGAGTCTGTGTGTGTGTCTCTGTGTGAGGAGTGACTTTGTGGAGTGTGTGTGTCTGTGTGAGGAGTGACTTTGTGGAGTGTGTGTGTGTGTGTCTCTGTGTGAGGAGTGACTTTATGGAGTGTGTGTGTCTGTGTGTGTCTCTGTGTGAAACATCTTGACAGATGAACTAAAAACATGTTCGAACTTCAGCAAAGTGCGAGTCGAGAGAGGTGTGTGGTCAGAGAGTGTTTGGGCCTGTGTCTTGTCGTGTGATATGCCTGTATGTTGTGCGTGTGTGTGTGTTGTGTGTGCGTAAGCCTCTTTTTCAAACAGTTTATTTGTGTATATTTGGACTCAAACATATAATAAACCTACAGTGTCCGTGCGTGAACTCTCTGGAACATGAAAGTAGCATAAATATAGTTTTGGGCGCGGCACAGGTCTGGGGTTAGCGTTAGCTCGGGCCGAGACTGGAGGTTCTGACGCCGTGTGAGTTGCTGTGTTGGATAAACTATGTGCACTGTTGCCAGACGCAGACGAAGAACATGTGTTTAGGAGAAACTGGGGCCAGAATGAGTCACTCTGCAGGAAAACACTGGATTCTACATAAACAGAGAAAATGTGATCAGAGAAACACAGGGAGAAAATCACTGGACTGTACCAAGTCTCATGAGGACGACTGAGATCCTCCATAAATCACTGGACTGTACCAAGTCTCATGAGGACGACTGAGATCCTCCATAAATCACTGGACTGTACCAAGTCTCATGAGGACGACTGAGATCCTCCATGGTCGAGAACATAGACTGTATCTATCACATGGACAATGCTAACCTGCTAGCTTAATCAAACCCAAAGTGCTCTGTCTCCTCTGACTTCCAGTAAACGTTTGTGACACGCTCAGCCCTTTCTGCTCTCTGTGATCCTGGTGTTTTTAATTAAATATTGTCTCGGTGAAACTAGCTATGAGCCATAAGGATTGACCAATCAGATCAGGGAGAAACTCCAGCCTTAGCAACCGTCCTAGCAACATGATTGTCCCGGTTACAGCTCTGGTTAGTCCACTATAGTCTATGGACTCAAACTCACAACATTATCATTGTGTGACTTAGACATTGAGCAACAAAAGAGCTTTAAACACGTTTCATTTGGAAATACTGCTTCTCATTTATTAACGTGATAATGTCTCACTGCTAATTTACACATGAGGCGTTACAGCACGTACGTGTTATACACATGAGGCGTTACAGCACGTACGTGTTACTGCTAATTTACACATGAGGCGTTACAGCACGTACGTGTTATACACATGAGGCGTTACAGCACGTACGTGTTACTGCTAATTTACACATGAGGCGTTACAGCACGTACGTGTTATACACATGAGGCGTTACAGCACGTACGTGTTACTGCTAATTTACACATGAGGCGTTACAGCACGTACGTGTTACTGCTAATTTACACATGAGGCGTTACAGCACGTACGTGTTATACACATGAGGCGTTACAGCACGTACGTGTTATACACATGAGGCGTTACAGCACGTACGTGTTATACACATGAGGCGTTACAGCACGTACGTGTTATACACATGAGGCGTTACAGCACGTACGTGTTATACACATGAGGCGTTACAGCACGTACGTGTTATACACATGAGGCGTTACAGCACGTACGTGTTATACACATGAGGCGTTACAGCACGTACGTGTTACTGCTAATTTACACATGAGGCGTTACAGCACGTACGTGTTATACGCGCAGCAGACGCGCGTAACGTGTTTCCATGTAAACCGATGATGATATTTACACTTCTAGCGTTATACGTGCGTATGACAAACGTATGACGGACGTATGACGGACGTATGACGGACTCTAATTTAGGATGGATTTCTAATTTTGTGCGCGCACACACACACACACACACACACACACACACACACACACACACACACACACACACACACACACACACAGGGACAGCATCAGAAGGACCTGCACACGGCCTGTGGAGATACTGAGTAAATTCCCTGTCATGTTACAGACTTCAGAGGAGCTGTTGCTACAGTGGGTCTGGTTCTGTGGATCTAGAACCAGGACAGGACCAGGTCTGTCCTGTTCTGGTTCTGTGGATGTAGAACCAGGACAGGACCAGGTCTGTCCTGTTCTGGTTCTGTGGATGTAGAACCAGAACAGGACCAGGTCTGTCCTGTTCTGGTTCTGTGGATGTAGAACCAGGACAGGACCAGGTCTGTCCTGTTCTGGTTCTGTGGATGTAGAACCAGAACAGGACCAGGTCTGTCCTGTTCTGGTTCTGTGGATGTAGAACCAGGACAGGACCAGGTCTGTCCTGTTCTGGTTCTGTGGATGTAGAACCAGGACAGGACCAGGTCTGAACACATTTACAGCCAGAGGGAAATCAAGCAGAATAAAAACATATCTTTGGTTACTAATTTACTAATTTACTAATTTACTAAAGGTAAAAGTTGCGTTCCTCAACTTTAAGAATCCGTCCAAAATCAGATAAATGGGATGATCACTGCACCAGCCCTGACCCCTGACCTCCTGGAGCCCTGACCCATGACCTCCTGGAGCTCTGACCCCTGACCTCCTGGAGCCCTGACCCATGACCTCCTGGAGCCCTGACCCCTGACCTCCTGGAGCCCTGACCCATGACCTCCTGGAGCCCTGACCCATGACCTCCTGAAGCCCTGACCCATGACCTCCTGGAGCTCTGACCCCTGACCTCCTGGAGCCCTGACCCATGACCTCCTGGAGCCCTGACCCATGACCTCCTGGAGCTCTGACCCCTGACCTCCTGGAGCCCTGACCCATGACCTCCTGGAGCCCTGACCTCCTGGAGCCCTGACCCATGACCTCCTGGAGCCCTGACCCCTGACCTCCTGGAGCCCTGACCCCTGACCTCCTGGAGCCCTGACCCCTGACCTCCTGGAGCCCTGACCCATGACCTCCTGGAGCCCTGACCCCTGACCTCCTGGAGCCCTGACCCCTGACCTCCTGGAGCTCTGAGCCTGGATCAGGACAGAGCCTGACTTGTGTGAGTGACATGACGTCCCCAGAGTGCGGCTGTTTGAGGCGCGTGACTTTAACTGAGGAATCTCTGAGTTATGTAAGACACCAACACAACATGGATCACAGACACACACTGGTCCACTACACAACAGCTACACACACTGAAGGCACCACTACACAACAGCGACACACACTGAAGGCACCACTACACAACAGCTACACACAGAAGACACCACTACACAACAGCTACACACACTGAAGGCACCACTACACAACAGCGACACACACTGAAGACACCACTACACAACAGCTACACACACTGAAGGCACCACTACACAACAGCGACACACACTGAAGACACCACTACACAACAGCTACACACACTGAAGACACCACTACACAACAGCTACACACACTGAAGACACCACTACACTGAAGACTCCACTACACAACAGCGACACACACTGAAGACACCACTACACAACAGCTACACACACTGAAGGCACCACTACACAACAGCTACACACACTGAAGACACCACTACACAACAGCTACACACACTGAAGACACCACTACACTGAAGACACCACTACACAACAGCTACACACACTGAAGGCACCACTACACAACAGCTACACACACTGAAGACACCACTACACAACAGCTACACACACTGAAGACACCACTACACTGAAGACACCACTACACAACAGCTACACACACTGAAGGCACCACTACACAACAGCTACACACACTGAAGACACCACTACACAACAGCTACACACACTGAAGACACCACTACACAACAGCGACACACACTGAAGACTCTTTCACGTCTCTAGGTCGAGGCTGAGCATATGTAGAGAACACGTTTCATAATAAGACCCCATTTTCTGGGGCTATTTCTTCACAAAACGTTACTTTCTGTTGAGAATAACTGAGAAAAACAAATTTTACATCAATAATGAACAATATAACATGTAAATACCACAGTCAACCCAGAAGCCTCAGAGTTGATACTGCCCTAACACAATCAGGACTAAACTGATCCTGAACTGATTCTTTTGCCCGAGAACACGATGTGCCGTTGCATAATCTGACTTTCTTTTCTTCAATGATTAAAGCTTTCGTTTCTGAGAAAATAAGCAGATGTCAGGGCCACACGATAAGATCAAAGTGGGAGCGGAGCAGAAGATTCATGATGCTGGATTCTGTTTTAACTAACACTAAGACATAAAGTACTGGACTCTGGACTAGTGTAACAAACTAGACTTCTAAATAATATATTCAATAAAAAGTCTAAAGAACGTGGTCATAAAGAGTAATGTACAAAAGTGTTTCTAATAGAATTGTTGGATTCTACAAAAGGGTTTAAAGTTTGAGCTCTCTGATCTGGTCTCTGTTGGGGATGGGCCGATGTTTGCTTTGTTTACTACTATCGGAAAATAAATACGAAATTGTTGGTGGCGCGTGCAAAGAGTCACCAGTAGAGGGCGTCTCTTTCCTCAGTAGAAGAAAGAAAGATGGCGGCGGTCGTGCGGCGATATATTATCAAAAGTTTGCAGTTTGCTCGAGTTCAGAGAGATTTCAAGAGCTGCAAGAGGCAGTAACAGCGACTGCATGAAGCTGAAGAAAAACTGAAGCCATCGAGAATTATACAGCCTGGCGGAGAACGCATTAGTGAAGTAATCCGTTCTGATTCTATCAAGAAACTGAAGCCGGAGCAAGAGGAATGTTTAGTAAATGTCATTGAAGCAAAGATGTTGTGGCTCTACTCCCCACGGGCTCCGTTAGCGGCAAAAGGAGATGGCTAAAGCTAGGCTACATGCTAAAGCTAGGCTACATGCTAAAGCTAGGCTAAATGCTAAATGCCTCACTCACTCGGGCTCATTACATACGTCACGGTAAACTCAGATCCAATGGTTTCAATCTGCAAAAGGAGTTAGCCCCTCCCACCTGTTAACGGAGTCAATGGAGCAAATCCAGACCTTAGAACAGGTCTCGATGCCTGTTCACTGTGAGTCAGGAGCAGGTGAAGAAAGTGCTGTGAGTCCAGCTTCAAAGTGCTAAAGCTGCTGTGATGTAGAGCAAAGAACAGGGTCAGAGTCAGAGTCGTAGGAACTGAGTGTTTTTAACGTCACCGCGGTTTCACAGACGTGTGTCAGAACTAGGGATTTACAGAATCCAGGTTTTTGGGGTTCGGCCGAATACCGAATCCACTGGTTAAGATTCTGCCGAATCCGAACCCGAATACTGAATCCTATTCCATCCTCAGTCCATTGATGTTTCATACGCAAATGTTTTAACAGCGGCGGTGTTGTGTACTGTTTAGGGTCCTTACCACCACGAGACAAATGGGCATTGCAAATTGGACATGTAGCTCGACCAGAATCTATTATTATAACGTTTATAATAATCCCATTTATCATTAAACACAAATACATTCAGTTCACAGCAGTGTAAAACTTCAGAGATAAACTACATATATTACTGTGCATGTCATGTAGAAATAAGAGCTAAAGCACCACACATGCATAAATAGCTTCCACTGGTTCAGGTCAAAACATTGCATATATGGACATTTGAGAATATGCCAAACTCGTCAGAGACAAGTTGAGAGAAGCTAATGCTAAGAGGCTAGTTGCCTAAACATGGACTCACCAACTCTGCTTCTACAGTCATACGCAGCTCAGATGACAAGTACCTGGCACTGGTATTCGGCTCCATAAAGTTGGTGAATAGGAAGTAAGTTTATGATCCATCAGAACCGCATTACAGGTGAAAACAAGAATCATAACATCCCCTCGCTCCGGCGTATAACTAGAGCTCATTGGACCGCGGGGATCACATGACCAGGAAGAGACCTCAGCGCACCCGAAGAGGAACAGAGAGCAAGAGGATATAAACCTCCGCTAAAGTGCATGTTTATTTACACTTCTGAACGAATCTGCCACAGCGCGCATAGTGAAAGTGCAGGGTTCGGGTTCGGTGGGGAAAGTTATAAGGTTTGGCCAGAAACCGAACCCCGTCAAAAAAGCCAATGTTTGGCCGAATCCGAACCCGAATCCTGGATTCGGTACATCCCTAGTCAGAACAACACTATAAACACACGCACACACACACACACTGAGATCAGACACACACACGCACACACAGACACACACTTTACTGGAGGACAGTGTAGCCGCAGTGTCTGATTGTCATTAATCTAATCTATTTGTGACTGTTTGGTCTTCATGAATGTGAGCCTTAAAACAACATGAGCTTCTCTAGGGTCATCTTAGACCCCGTCTTAAGGCCTGTGTACTCGCGCTGGTTGCGGTCGCGTTGGACCTACGTAACCACAGTCGGACCTACGTAACCACAGTCGGATCTACGTAACCACAGTCGGATCTACGTAACCACAGTCGGACCTACGTAACCACAGTCGGATCTACGTAACCACAGTCGGACCTACGTAACCACAGTCGGATCTACGTAACCACAGTCGGACCTACGTAACCACAGTCGGATCTACGTAACCACAGTCGGACCTACGTAACCACAGTCGGACCTACGTAACCACAGTTGGACCTACGTAGCCACAGTTGGACCTACGTAGCCACAGTCGGACCTACGTAACCACAGTCGGACCTACGTAGCCACAGTTGGACCTACGTAGCCACAGTTGGACCTACGTAGCCACAGTTAGACCTACGTAACCACAGTCGGACCTACGTAACCACAGTCGGACCTACGTAACCACAGTTGGACCTACTTAACCACAGTTGGACCTACGTAACCACAGTTGGACCTACGTAGCCACAGTTGGACCTACGTAACCACAGTTGGACCTACGTAACCACAGTCGGACCTACGTAACCACAGTTGGACCTACGTAACCACAGTCGGACCTACGTAACCACAGTTGGACCTACGTAACCACAGTTGGACCTACGTAACCACAGTCGGACCTACGTAACCACAGTTGGACCTACTTAACCACAGTTGGACCTACGTAACCACAGTTGGACCTACTTAACCACAGTTGGTGGTACTTTCGTGTGTTCCCCTTACAGAGTTTTGAAGATGTATACTGAATGTTGTAATCCCACCCCCAACCACATGATGGCGATCTCACAGGAGTTGCCTGAGAAACCAAAGCGGTCTCATTTACGCTGCTTCTTTCTCCTCTTCAGAACAAAAACAAAGTGAAGCTGTTTGAGATCATTACATGTGTTTCTACTGTAGGTTTATGTGACCGTTCTAAACTCATCGTTTCAACTCATTTAACTGTGATGCTGTGAATAAAGACACAGTTCTGTTGGAAACATAGTTATTATTATTATATATTATATATATTATTACTATATTACAGTTATTATTAAAGTGTTTTCAGCACAAACAGCAAAACAATAAGTGGTAAATATCTGAGACAAACATGAACTGTTTACAAGAACAGGAGGAACACAACAGACGCAGCTACGATTCAGGAACAGTTTATAAGTTATATATAAGTTATATATATATGTTGGATATGCAACAGAACTCTAGTCCACAGTCTATATCAGGCTCTGAGCACAAACTGCTTTTCCTTCGGTTCCTTCAAAGCACGAAGCACTCTGCTCCAAAGTGCCTCGTCCATGCTCCTGCAGACGCTCTGTGCTTCACAGAAAGTAATCACACACGGACCAATCACAGCAGAGCTGTTCTGTGGCGACCCTTACATAGTTAGACATTTTCAAGGGTGCGTGGCAGACTACGTGAGGGTCTGCGGTGATCCACGCGTGACGTCACGTCACCACCGTAAGCTCCGCGCTGCGCGACAATACACTAGGCTTTAAGGCGCGTTCAGACTAAAAGCTTTAAAACGCTTTTGACGCGCGTCAACTGACGCCAGGTTATTTCTTTGTCATTTTGGTGCTTAAAGTTCCTGACGAGAGTGATGCGCCTGACGCCGGTGGGAGGAGCTTCTCTGTTGCCGTAGTCAAGACAACGGAGGATTTTCCAGAGAGCAGCCTTTATTTGTTTTATAAAGTCAAACAACGTTGTTGTGGGGTTTCTACAGAACGTGTTCTGGGTTCACCACAAACTGAGGCTGCAGTGTTTGCTGAGTTCCACCGTTTACTCCAGGAGCTGCGTACGGAGGAGTTTCGCTTTCAGATTTCAGCAGCAGTTACATGACTTCTCTCCATGACAGACAGACCCACAGCTGCTGCTGCTCCTCGTCTCCTGATTGGTTGAAGCCCGGCGTCAATCTCCAAAAGCTCAGCTTTTCTCAACGCCGAAAAAGACGCAAGCGTTACGCGCGTCAAGTGACGCCGGGCCTCTCGGTGTCACCTCAACAAGATCATGGAGGTGACACTATCATAAGATATGATAAGATAGACTTTACTGATCTCTGATGGAGATGTACACGTCACATCTGGATAGAATCACTCAGGACTGTGCAAAAGACAGAAATGTGCAACATGCTAAATGCAGGATATATTATACACAATAAAAAGTGTCAATTAAAAAGTGACAATAGTAGTGCAGATTTTTCAGTCCTTATGAAGTGACTTAAAGTGACTTGTTGTACAATCTGACAGTGGTGGGGATAAAGGCCCTGCTCCTTCCTACACTGAGGGTGTCTCAGTCTTCCACTGAAGGAGCTCCTCAGCTCCTCTACAGTGCAGTGGGAGGTGTTGTCCATGATGAAGACCATGTGTGTGTAGTACCATGTGTGTGTAGTTACCATAGAGTCATAGACTGTGTAGTTACCATGTGTGTGTGTATGTGCAGGTACCATATGTGTGTAGGTACCATGTAGGTGCAGTTATCGTGTATGTAGTACTATGTGTGTGTAGTTACCATGTGTGTAGTACTATGTGTGTGTAGTTACCATGTGTGTAGTACTATGTGTGTGTAATTACCATGTGTGTAGTACTATGTGTGTGTAGTTACCATGTGTGTAGTACTATGTGTGTGTAGTTACCATGTGTGTAGTACTATGTGTGTGTAGTTACCATGTGTGTGTAGTTACCATGTGTGTAGTACTATGTGTGTGTAGTAACCATGTGTGTAGTAACATGTGTGTGTAGTTACCATGTATGTAGTAACATGTGTGTGTAGTTACCATGTGTGTAGTACCATGTGTGTGTAGTAACATGTGTGTGGTATAGTACCATGTGTGTGTAGTACCATGTGTGTAGTACTATGTGTGTGTAGTTACCAGGTGTGTAGTACCATGTGTGTGTAGTACTATGTGTGTGTAGTTACCAGGTGTGTAGTACTATGTGTGTGTAGTTACCAGGTGTGTAGTACCATGTGTGTGTAGTACTATGTGTGTGTAGTTACCATGTGTGTAGTACTATGTGTGTGTAGTTACCATGTGTGTAGTACTATGTGTGTGTAGTTACCATGTGTGTAGTAACATGTGTGTGTAGTACCATGTGTGTGTGTAGTTACCATGTGTGTAGTACCATGTGTGTGTAGTACCATGTGTGTGTGTAGTTACCAGGTGTGTAGTACCATGTGTGTGTAGTACCATGTGTGTAGTACCATGTGTGTGTAGTACCTGGTAGAAGAGGCCACAAAGTCCCCATCCAGGAGCCGGAGCTTGCAGTACAGAACCCCGTTCACAAACGGCACCGCGCTCAGCTCCTCCAGCGTCAAATGCGTCTGAAACTTAAACTTCTTCTTTTTCACGAAGAAAGCCATGATTAGTCCGAATAAAAATCTAAATAAAAGCTCGGTATTGTCTGAGTTTAGTCTAAGTTCAGTGTGAGTTCAGTGGGAGTTGTGTGAGCCACAGATGATGTCCTTGTTTGGAGACGACCCCACACAGAAACCTGCGCCAACAACTGGAAAAGAGGAGAAGAAAGTGTTGGAAAGTAAATAAACTGCTTTAGTAACGGCTGTGGAGGGAGAGAGCACCCACCTGGACTCATCTCTGCCGCCGTGGCTCCGTCTGTGGCGTTTCTACAACAAATAATGACAGAAAAGAAACTTCGCTGTTTTCTCTCTCGCAGCTGAGATACATGACTTCCGGTGTGCCTTTCAAAATAAGGTGCACGTTGATGATTGCACCGAAATGATTAAAACAAAGAAAGCTAGAGGTTTAGAAAAGTGTATTCTGAATAAGCAGTATGTGTAAATATGTTCATACGACCATAGACTGTAAATGTATGTTTGTGACTCCAGGTCAGTACCTTCAAAATAAAAGATAAATGGAAAATTAAACTGAAAATACCGAACAGATATGGTAGTTAAAGGGAATGTTGTTTATCTAATGGGAATAAAAGAGCTTGGTACAGATACGGTGAAACAGGGTCAAGTGGACAGTTTCACAGTTTCAGTCCTGGCTTTTAGTTTTGGAAGTGTAACTGCTGAGTGTGTTTATCTTCATGAATGTGTGACTTTTTTTCCTGGATCGATACATGGTTTATTTCCATGTCAGTGTTTTATTTAATTGAAATCTTTATTTTCTAAATGCCAGGACTCCCAGAGCTAGTTACCATGGCAACAGGCTGTTTACTGTTAGCAGTTAGCGTTCAGTCTTCAGCAACAAACTGTTTTTGCCGTATTTCACGTAATATCTGGATTTAGTGCTTAATAAAATGAGTAAAAGTAAAAAAAACGTTGAAAAATGCTTACTTAAAATTGGGGGGAATTTTTCAGATTCCATTGGTTTGAATGGAGCCGACAACTCAAGGAGTTCCAGTAGTTTTCAGAATTCTGGGAGTCCTAGTGTTAAGTAAAGTGACCATGGCAACCGTTGCTATTGCAATCTCTATGGCAACAGATACCCTAGTGACCATGATTATGGCAACTGTTGCCATGAAAACCGTTTCTATAGCAATAGTCGCAATAGCAACCATTGCTATGGCAATAGTCACCGTGGCAACTATGGCAGCCGCTACCAAAGTTAACAGTGACTATTACCATAGCAACGGCTACCATGGGGACTATGACCATAACAACGGTTGCTATGGTAACTACTGCTGTGGTAAAGGTTGGTATAGAGATGGTAGCCATGGCAACGGTCACCCTGGCAAGTGTTGCTACGGCAATAGTGACCATGACAACTGTTACCCTGGACGCCATCACTATGGCAACTGTCACCAAGGGAACTGTTACCATGACAAATAACAGGCATCTGGCGAATCTTGTTTTAGGGCAAATCTCTCTCAACTTCTTTCTAGTGATGGTTGCCAACCGTTGCTACAAACTTTTTTTCCGAACATGTTTCTCACTAAATGTGTACTTACTTTGTAAGTATTAAGAATGATGATTATGTACTGTTATTTACAGTCTATGACTGTGTGTTACATTCTTTAAGCTGTCGGCGATTCAACCACATCACATTTTTAATCAGGATTTATGATGTCCGGACTCTCGTCTTCTGAGCTGATCAAGTCAGTGTGGACCACTTGGCAATTAAGTTAGGGAACCCTGATATTATACTATAGAACATAAAGACACTAAAGATCATGATTCTGTTTTAATATCACGTTTGAGCAAAGTACCAGCTCCAACTGTGTTTGATGTGCCTTTTCTAACCACCAGGGGGCAGCAAGCCCCTGTTTAAAGCTAAGTGTCAAACTTCTATTTTATCATTTTTTTGTCCCAAAACAGTTTTAATTAGAAACAAGTGTTTTAACCTGGATTTGAACATTTTCAGGAAGACCAAACCATAAATCTGCCTCATGTTTAGTCAGGGACCAGCAGGAGGCCAGTCCCTGTGTTCCTCAGTCCCAGCAGGAGGCCAGTCCCTGTGCTCCTCTGCCCATTCATCAGGTAAACGAAGTGGATTTCCTCAGTGTGAGTTCATTCGTTCAGTGGAGTAAATTAGAGTAATTAGAACAAAGTCAAGGAGTCAAAACAGTTCAAGAAAAAAATAGCATTTATTTGCATGAAAATGGTCCACTAAAAACTCTAAAATATTGAAACAAATTAAGTGTTGACATCACAAAAGACAGGATTAAACTCTACCTCCTGCGCGGGATTAAAGTGCTTTATGTCGATCTTTAAGTTTAAAAGAACAAGAGAAGAGTTCTTTATGAAATCTCTGATACACATTTACACTTGTTCAAACCAAAGGCCTAAAACAAAAGATCAAAGCACAGGCAGGTTTCAGTGGATTCCAGGTTAAAACATCTTTATTGTAGGAGAACAAGATTCTTTCCTTTGATACTATAAAAAAGGGCATTTATGAGAACATTGGCAAAGACACACCAGACTAAAAATAGAACAAAAACTGATCCTTGACGTGAAACCTGCCTGGCCTTTGCCAAAGTGTTTAACATTGAAAAACAACAACTTCATACTCACATCAGGCCCAGTTCCACCTCACACAGAAAACTTCACGTTTCAGAAAATGTGCAAATTTTGAGCAGATACAAAAATCAGAGACCGACATTCGTTCATGGGTCAAAGGGAGAGAGGTTTCCAGACTCACATGTGCAAAGACTTCTCTATCGGGACAAAAACCTCTCACACAGAACGACCCGGACACAACACATTCACCGAGGAATCAAAGCGTCTCAATAAAAGTTTTTATTACTGAGCAAAACTGACGCCACTTTAACATAATCTTCACTGTTTTTTGCGACATACAAGATTTGGTCCCTGGAGATTCCCTCGCGACTTTCGTTCAAGTCGAGAGAGATTCACTAAAATATAAATAGCAGCAGCAGAAGAGTTTTCTGCACAAAACCTGAGCTCACAGAGTCCATAGAACTTTCCCTTTTTCACGACGCAGCTTTCAGATATTTGTTCTTCTATAGCAGACAGTAGTGAGTAACTGATGTGGCCTTGATATAGAAGATTCTAAACTAGAATTGGGAAATGTAGTGTTGAGAATGTGAATGATAAAACATGAGAATCTGAAACAAATCCATCGTAGCTTAGGGTTAAAGATTTAGCCATTTTAAATAACGGCAAATCTCCACATTATCATTTCTTTGGTCAAGGAAGTGTTGGAAAAACTTATTGGATCATTATTGAAACTGAAAAAGGCCATAAGTGACAGTGACACAGACTAATGTCACACAGACGCTAAAGAAGAGTTTGTCAGATTGGGGCAGTGTAGTGTCGAGAACATCTTGAGAGAATCTGGTTAAACGAACCCATAAAGACTTGTACAGGCCTCGGGTTTCACAGATTTACTTTACTTTAATGGTAAATATTCCACATTATTTCTTCTGTTCCGTCAGAATCCATGAGAGAAAGAACGGAGTCTTTAGTGATTCATTTAGAGTCGTGGAAGTACAAGATTATGGATCATTATTGTAACGGAAAAAGGCCATAAGTGAAAGTGTGTAGATTCATGGGGCCAGAGAAGCAGCAGGGACCATAGGGAGACCATAGGGAGACCATAGGGAGACCATAGGGAGACCATAGGGAGACCATAGGGAGACCATAGGGAGACCATAGGGAGACCATAGGGAGACCATAAAGCCACCTCTCCTCTCGCCTAAACTAGAGCAGGACAATGAAGTGTTGCGACGTGGATTAGAAACTTTATAAATGAGAATCGGGTCAAAATTTCTTCCAAATCTATGTGATAAAGTTTAAACCTCTTTAGTTTTTCAGACACCTTTAGAGAGTGCTCTGTAAGTAGAGGGAAAGTGAATAAGGCCATAAGTTTAAGCACATTCTACAGCCAGAGATGCAGCCTCTAATGTGGCCGGGACCATAAAGAGACCATAAAGGCACCTCTCCTCTCACCTTAACTAGAATGGGGCAGAGTAGTGTTATTGAAGAAATGTGTTTCACCAGATTCTCACATAAAGTTTCTATTTCTTCAAAATCTATGTGAGAAAATGCAGACCTAGTTTTTCCAACACCTCCTTCAGAGAGAGTAGATCATTACAGTCAGTGAATAAGGCCATAAGTAAAGTACATTCTTCAGTAGATAAAGCCGTGAGCCGCCGCCGTCTCCAACATTCACAGAATGAGTCGAGCTCCGTTCGAACCGCAGACGTCTCTGGATTCTCCGTGGTGGGTTCGAGGCCCGTCAGCGGGACGTGACCCCGAGCTGCGTCTTCATGTGCTCGTACACCACGTAGCTGATGCTGACGGCGGGGATGACCTTCAGGAAGTTTGGGGCCAGGCCTCGGTACAGACCCGAGGGCCCCTCCGTCTGCAGGATCTGCCTGAACAGACTGGACATGGAGGCTCTGCTGTCCCCGTCACAGGCAGCTGCAGGAGAGGCCAGAGTCAGGAAGGAGCTCAGGTTATTTATGTATCGCACTAAATCACAGCATCAAAGAATCAAACTGTCCTAACACATGCAAAGAAAGACACATAAGAAGCAGAGACCAGTGTCTAAGTGGAGGGTCCTGGATTATTAAACAACCTTAGACATAATTTTAATGTTCTAGTTTAGTTTTCTGAATTTCACATTTTAAAGCAGACTAGTTTCTTTTGTCATATTGGTTTTCACATAAATTCTGTGACTTTATCGTTGTAATCTGACACTTGTGGATCCATAACATAAGATTGTGTGAATGTTTCAGCATCGACATGTTTTTGCCCTTTCTGCTAAAGTTAGAGACTTCATTTGAGTAGTTATTGTGCCTTTATCTTGTGCTGTGTGTAACGATGCAACACTGACATTTCCCTCAGTGGGCCCAGTACAGACGCCTACAGCTGCAGTAAACACATGTTAAAGCCCGAGTCCTGACCTTGTGCCTGCATGCGGGTGCGGACCAGAGCCAGGGGGTAAGAGGCCAGCTGTCCACAGGTGGAGGACAAGGTGCCACAGGCTAAAAGCACCAAGATCCCGGGGTCTGAGGAGCTGGACTGCTGCAGGTACCGGTTCTTTAGGGTCTGAAACAAAAACATTAGTGTCATTTACACAACTGTCCTGGGTCCTCTGTATATCATAATAGATGGGTCACAGTCTGGGGTCCTCACCTCGTAGATGGCCAGGTCGATGCCTGCGTAGGGGATGATGCCCAACATGTTTGGGACGTAGCCTTTGTAGAACGCGGCGAGTCCTTCTCTCCTGAGGATCCGTTTGGCGCAGTCTGAAATCCCGGAGTACTGCCCGGTTTTCCTCAGAGCCAGACGAGTCTTCAGCACCTGCACACGGAGACCAAAGACTTCAGACACGAGCTCAACACGGCGCCATGGCAACAGCTATGTGTGTATGCTAACAAGCTTGTACAGTTATTCCAGTGTGGTTTTACTGCAAATGGTAAATAAACCAAATCGGAATCTTTAAAAAAATAAATTAAAAAAAAAGGTATATGAAGACAAGAACCGCCCTCTCCACTTTTTGAACAAAACTCTGATCTTATTGGACGAGCACTTGTGACCAGAATGATTGACAGTTGGGAGGACCAATAGTCTTAAATATCCACCCTCCTGTGCAACTTCAAGTCGGCAAAGATTAGAGATTGAAGCTTCTCTCCAAACAAGGATACTAGGATTTAGACAAATAAATGTTCCTCTCACAGAATGTAGAATGTGTTTAACTTTGCTTTACAGTTTCTTTAAATCTTAGACTAATTACAATCATTTCAATGCCAACACGCTCAAGACACATAATTGGTTCTTCTACACCAGACAATTGTCGTTTCAATGATATACTTTGTTCTTCCACAGAAGCATCGAGGTAAAAACATTGCCGTATCGCAACTGTTAAGGTAAAAATATATGCGTTTGGTTCTTTTCCACCGAGAGGCCCTTCCCAGACGCGGCTCACGCACCTCCATGGGGTAGATGGTGCTCTGGGCGATGACTCCCGCCATTGAACCAGCGGCGAAACGTTCCCAGATGCTCAGAGCCTCTTTATCGCCGCCGATCAACCGTTTGATCTGGAAACAAAAACACGAGACTGAGAAATGTACAGAAAACATCACATGAAGAATGAACGAGTCGTTACCTGCTCGTACGCCATGAACTTCAGCGCCGTTTCAGGAGTGATTTTGAGCACGTTGACGCCGTTCCCGCGCCACAGCGAGCGCACCCCTCCCTCACGGATCATCTGAGTCAGACCACTCATGATGCACATGTTGTTGGTCCTGGATCCATAAACCTGCAACACACAAACACACAACGCTTTAGTTCACTGCCTCAGACTCACAAGATACAACTTTATTGATCTCACAGAAGACATTTGCAACATTTTCTCCCGTGTCCTTAGTAAGTAATTTTATTTATGTACCGCCTTTTCACTGCACATCAGTGTCCCCCCGTCACCCTTGTTAGTCCTCATCTCTCCTTCGTCCTTGATTTTCTAGTGGTCAACATTTGCCCAAATAAACTACTTCAAAGTCTCTCATTGTGACATTCTACTGCATTCCAGAAACACACAAAGTCCTTTCCCTCAGAAACTGGTTCAAGATTAGCCTTAATCAGTCTAGACACGAGGAGTTAGTTACTGTTCAACACTGATCTGACGTAATATATGAGAGAGAGACAGAGAGAGAGAGACAGAGCCAGAGAGAGACAGAGCCAGAGAGACAGAGCCAGAGAGACAGAGCCAGAGAGAGAGAGACAGAGAGAGAGAGACAGAGCCAGAGAGAGAGACAGAGCCAGAGCCAGAGAGAGAGCGACAGAGCCAGAGAGAGAGAGAGAGAGAGAGAGAGAGAGAGAGCCAGAGCCAGAGAGAGAGAGACAGAGCCAGAGAGAGAGAGACAGAGCCAGAGCCAGAGAGAGAGACAGAGCCAGAGAGAGAGAGAGCGACAGAGCCAGAGAGAGAGAGAGAGAGAGAGAGAGAGAGAGAGCCAGAGCCAGAGAGAGAGCCAGAGCCAGAGAGAGAGCCAGAGCCAGAGAGAGAGCCAGAGCCAGAGAGAGAGAGGGAGAGAGACAGAGCCAGAGAGAGAGAGAGAGAGAGAGAGAGAGAGAGAGACAGAGCCAGAGCCAGAGAGAGAGAGGGAGAGAGACAGAGCCAGAGAGAGAGAGGGAGAGAGACAGAGCCAGAGAGAGAGAGAGAGAGAGAGAGACAGAGCCAGAGAGAGAGAGAGCCAGAGAGAGAGAGAGAGAGAGAGAGAGCCAGAGAGAGAGAGAGAGAGACAGAGCCAGAGAGAGAGAGAGAGAGAGAGAGACAGAGCCAGAGACAGAGCCAGAGAGAGAGAGAGAGACAGAGCCAGAGAGAGAGAGAGAGCGAGACAGAGCCAGAGAGAGAGAGAGGGAGACAGAGCCAGAGAGAGAGAGAGGGAGACAGAGCCAGAGAGAGAGAGAGGGAGACAGAGCCAGAGAGAGAGAGAGGGAGACAGAGCCAGAGAGAGAGAGAGGGAGACAGAGCCAGAGAGAGAGAGAGGGAGACAGAGCCAGAGAGAGAGAGAGAGAGAGAGAGAGAGAGACAGAGCCAGAGACAGAGCCAGAGAGAGACAGAGCCAGAGAGAGAGACAGAGCCAGAGAGAGACTGAGCCAGAGAGAGAGAGAGAGAGAGAGAGAGAGAGAGAGAGACAGAGCCAGAGACAGAGCCAGAGACAGAGCCAGAGAGAGACAGAGCCAGAGAGAGACAGAGCCAGAGAGAGAGACAGAGCCAGAGAGAGACTGAGCCAGAGAGAGAGAGAGAGAGACAGAGCCAGAGACAGAGCCAGAGACAGAGCCAGAGCCAGAGAGAGACAGAGCCAGAGAGAGAGAGAGAGAGAGAGAGACAGAGCCAGAGACAGAGCCAGAGACAGAGCCAGAGACAGAGCCAGAGACAGAGCCAGAGACAGAGCCAGAGACAGAGCCAGAGACAGAGCCAGAGACAGAGCCAGAGCCAGAGACAGAGACAGAGACAGAGACAGAGCCAGAGACAGAGCCAGAGACAGAGACAGAGACAGACAGAGAGAGAGAGAGAGACAGAGACAGAGACAGAGACAGAGACAGAGACAGAGACAGAGACAGAGACAGAGACAGAGACAGAGACAGAGACAGAGACAGAGACAGAGAGAGGGGAACAGAACAGGTTGAATTGTTTCTTTTCACAGGACAAGTTTAGATTTACTCGTAATGTTCAGAAACGGGAGATAAAGCCATCACTGTGATCTTATTTTTCCAATTTGTCCAATAATGCACAACTAAAAACAGTAAATGAACATCTATGATCTTGGTTTGGCGTCTGCAGAGCCTCATCATTTACATAACGGGTTTCATTGTTGGTCGTTAATCGTTCCCCGAGTCTGGAACAGAGTCTGTCAAAGGTCGTGTCCTGAAACCGGGCCAGTTTTTCACCTTTAGACTCAAAACAACTTGCGCCACATGGAGTGACGCAGGAGTCGTTGGCACTGACGCAGAGGGCAAAGGTGTGTGGCCCAACGGAGGCCTGTGATTGGCCGGTGCAGGGAGCGCACTGCGGCCGGTGTAAAAGATGTGGAGGGATTATTAACAGATTTACAGCGATCGATAAAACTGGTCAGATTACAGGATTAGGTCATTTGGAAAAAAACAAGTTGACTTTTGACACATTACAGCAACAGTCGACTAGAACTGGGCTGAACTGGGCTAAGTTCTGTCACAGGCCGAGGTCAAAGTCATCGCTGCAAAAGTAGAACATGTTACAATTTCCTTTCCAGATCTAAAAAAATGACACTAAATTATTCTAAAATTCCAGGTTTTCAACAACTGTCTTCTGTATTTCTAGTTTACTGACAGATTTAACTCCCAGGATGCAACACGTACTGCAGATAAGGACTGATCTAAAAACTAATAAAAGATTTGAACAATTGAATCAGTGTCAAACCTCAAACATCTATAAAAATATTGAAAGTTTGAATCTGAAATGACAGATCCTGTGTCCGCTGCAGAGCTCAGAGTAATTGATTATTTGGGTTCTTTAGGTTTCATTTAATCTCAAATATCCTCAAGACTCCATCTCCTGTTGCAGTTCTGTGCTTTGGCTGACCCCTGACCCCTGACCCGGAGTCAGTGAGACGACGTCCACTGTGCGTCCAATGCTTTCTGTGCTGAACACTCATGTACAATTCTACATGTTTTTCCCATTGTTGTTCTTCTCTGTGAAACTGTTAACAAAGGCCCCTTTAAGAGTCCTTTCAGAAGTGAGATGTGAAAAAGGTGGATCCCTGAGTGTTGGAGGAGAGGGAGGAAGACAGACCCGTGTGCGATCCTCGGGTCCAATTTACCCGCCACAATGATGGGTTTTTATTTCAAGCTGAATTTTGACCATATTTCTGGGCCATTCAGATTAAAAGTAGTATGAAAATAAACCAAAGTAGGATCTAAAGCGTCCGTTACCTGCATCATGACTTTGAGGCGGTCCAAAGGCGCAGTGCACGTCCTGGACACTGCTCCAGCGCCACCTCCGGCCACCAGGTGTCTCCACCACATCCCCGTCTGCTTCTCCTCCAGCGTGAAGTCATTGGGAACCAGCAGGTTATCGCCCAAATCGAAGATCTGAGGAGGAAGATACTTTAGCTTCAGAGTTTATCCGCTGAAAGTCCATTAAAGATTATTTAAAGGATCTGTCACAGAAAATGGCGTCAGGAAAATAAAACATCACTTTGTCCGCCTGGGTCGCAGCTTCTGACAATGATGAAGGTCCAAAACTTTATAAATCCATTGAAAGAATCACCAAAAAGTAATTAAGTTTGACATGTAAACTGTTTGCCTGTTAACCCAGACTAACTCTACCCTGAGGTGCGCCCCCTCTGGACATTTAGGGCAGTGCAACTAAACCAAAACCTCACACAGCAGCTACATAAAAGAATATAGCCATACGGGGCGGCACGGTGGCTGAGTGGATAGCACTCTCGCCTCTCAGCAAGAAGGTCCTGGGTTCGAATCCCCGGCCGGACCAGGGCCTTTCTGAGTGGAGTTTGCATGTTCTCCCCGTGACTGCGTAGGTTTCCTCCGGGTACTCCGGTTTCCCCTACCACTAAAAATATGTCCAATAGGTCTGGCATGTGCCTCCTGTTCGGCGACCCCGCTCCCATCACAGTGTGGAGTGAGAGACAAGTGCCCAAATAATAACAATTGTAAACTGATACTATTTGTAAGTAAGTAATGTTACAAATAGTATCAGTTAAACGTATAATAGTAAGTAAATTGTGGGAACAGATTTATGCAGAGAGATAGTTTTGTTGCGGCCAAAGTTAATCTTTATGTTCTTTTGTTTTCGGTTAAATTGTTATTTCAAAGCCAAGTGTTTTCAATGAACCCTGTTGTGGTAAAAAAGACTAAAGCCTGAGACCCTAAAAGAGTCCGGGACACTGATCCTCCAGAGCCCCAAGTTCAGTCAATCAGGGACCGAGCAGGGAGGAGATTAATTTTTCTAATACTAAAGATGTTGATAAGATAATCTTTGAAGGAACTTATGGATTTCCAATATTTAATGATCCAAAATTCTCTGATGAAATCTATTGTAAATCTAATATTAGTTGATTAGCAGAGCCCTGTATGTTTATTATTACTTTATGATATTTTTTGTATATTAATGTGCATTTCGTGTCTTATAAACTGTTGAGAACTGTGCTCGTCTCTTTCGCACTCTTTGAATAAATTAATAAATACCTCTTGGTCATATCAGAAAACACGTCTAAAAGCAGTGGTTTCGTGTTTAAACGCCGTGTACAGAATGCTTACTCTTATACAACACTTTTACAGCAGAAGATAAAACTGCCGCGGCCTAATTATCCGAGTGCATTCTCCGCACCGGCCTGGTTTATTTCGGTCTGGATCGCCGTGTCTCTTGGCGCTGGAGCAGATCGTGTTTAAACAGCGGCAGTCTGACCCATTGCACTTTTACATAACGGTCCTCGGCTAATCCCCGCCCGCTAACGTCAACGAGGTTAAAGTGATCAGTGACTTCTAACGAGGATCAACCTGTGACGATGGGAATAGTTTGAGGCACTGAAGCAGCAAACAGGAAGTAGATTTGGTGTTTTAGGATTCTAGTCTGCGGGAAAATCTAAATCAGAAGATGCTACGAATGCTACTAATGCTAACATGTACAGATGTAAACATTACTAATCACTCTTGCAATAGAATATACAGCATTTTAAACTTGCTTCTTTGTTGTGTTAAACTTGAGACTGTAGACTCACTTCCTTATTACGGGGCAGTGGAACAGTCTTCCAGAAGTTGTGAGACAGGACTGAACTCTGACCATTCAAAAGTAGGTTGTAAATACATCTGTTCAGACTCCATTTTGTACCAATCATTACTTTTATCTCCCTTCTCAAAGTGTTAAGCCCAATACTTTGATGCTGCCGTTTTAATATTGTATTTTTCATGGTTTTTAAATTGCTCTTATTGGGTACTTTGAATAACCTTGAACATGAATTGTGCCATACAGATAAATACATGGTTAGAGATTTAACACTTGCTTCTTCACACTAAAACATAAAGTCTCTAGTTTTGGCATCAGAGTTATAGTGCATGCATCTCGTGTGCTCCTCATCCTACTGTTGTGTAACTGTGCGATGCAACACTGACATTTCCCTGCGAGACAAACACAGAATAACCTGAATCTTTACCGTGGAGTGTTTCCAGTAGAGGATGATCTCTGGGATGTTGTCCGTCTCCACCGCACAGTTGCTCCAGTCTTTGCTCCCGATGGTGATGGTGCCGTTCTTGTCCATACTGCAGCGGAATCAAAATATAACTTCATTGATCTCACAGTTTACAGACTTCAGTCCAATTATTCCACAAATTTACAGGTTGCTCAGTGGAAAAATTAACACAGACACGTTTTGTACCTTGTCAGAGCTTCTTCCGCTTGTTGGAGCGAGATGTTGACGCCAAGTTCACGAAGAGACTCCACGAACTCTCGAGGATCGACTGAAGCTGAACACACAAAAAGGTTTCACTACAACAGTTTGGAAACGGACTTCACACGAAGGTCCTTTTACTGCGCAATACTCAATATGGAAATACTTTTACTTGTCGTTAGTCTTCCCGGATTTTTGAGCTTTGATGCCAATTTCGTTCATGGTTCACACAAAGAGTAAACGGTAAAAATAATTAATCTACACTAAGAAAAACTGCAAACCCACGATTCCAAAGTCGAATGCTTGTAACCTTTGTTTATATAAAACGCACAAAGGTTTCACTACAACAGTTTGGAAAAGGTTTCAGACTTCACTGTCTTTTCACCTTTTACTGTGCAATACAGGAAATACATTTACTTTTTATTAGTCTGCACCAAATGCCACAGTTCAATGTTTAACTGAAATCTGGGAAAATGTCTTTCATGGTTCACATAAAGAATAATTAATCTACACTAAGAAAAGCTCCAACCCACGATTCCAAAGTCGAATGCTTAATCTATTAAGTAACCTTTGTTTATATAACACGTTTTATAGACCAAGGTCAACTAAAGTCTTTACTGATCTGGAACAGAGGTGTCCAAACTTTCAGTCAGAGGCATCAAAAAGTCAGTCAGACCATGTTTGGTCTAATTATTATTCTTTTCTTCTTGAAGTTCAAAATGTCCGACTTAAACTAAAATGTTTAAACACCCCAGATCTCGATCGAGGACCGCTCAAACTAAACTCAGCCCTTGGACACGTCTGGACAAACCGATTGGGTTAGATTTCAGGCCGTTTTAAGCTTTAAACTCCTCCGCTGAAGTTGGCTGAATGACTAGCGTTTACCATCTCTTCTGCTAATTTAACGCCAAAGATGAAATTTTGTGACAGTTTTATTTATTCTGACTTCTACTTATGGTGTATTGTAAAGGGCATGCTCTCTGTGCCTGCAATGGCCGAGCTGAAGTTGGCTGGATGACTACATTAGAAGAAGCCCATAGAAAACCATTCAGGAAAGGCACCTTAGGCCCGGGGCCCTGAGTTTGGACCAATCTAGAGCTAATAATAAGCGTGCGGGAGCTGCGGGTCTGTGTCACCTGTAAAGAAGTCGCTGAGCCGCTTCTGGGAAACGAGCCTAAAACCTGCAGAGGTGAAGGTTATGAGTTCGTACCTGCATTTCTCTTGTCCAAACTCTTCACCACCAGCTTCAGGTCTTTCTCGTAATCCTGCAGGTAATGAACGAACTCCTCAAAGTCCAGCTGCCCCTCCGCACCGCCCTCCTCCGTCTGCACAGATTTCTATAAACACAGAAGTAAAGGTTTAGGTTCATTTCTCAGACTAAAGTGTAAAGATAGTTCTACCCAATTATCTTCATCAGAACTTTCTATGGCCGCGTGAGGAACAGGAAGTCACAAACGAGGAGATGGCTTTGGCTCTCGGTGCAAACGAGTTAAAGCAGAATAAAATCAAGGCATAAATAAAATCCATTTGTTGAGCGCGTTTCATACACGGCCCTCACAAAACGCCAGAATCACCTTTAAAAACACAATTAAAAATCACACATGGGATTAAAACATAAATGTATCTGTTTGTTCTGTTTGCATTAAAAACAGTCTTTAACCTGGATTTGAACTGTCAGACAACACAAAAAGACTTTTACACTGATCCGAAGATGTGAGAAATGGTTTATATCTGAGACAATCTGTGAGAATTTAAAGATAGTGATAAATTCTAGTTTGACCACAGTTTCTGCCATTTTACATGTTTCTGTGTGTTTTTAGTTTACTTTTCTTCTTCCTCTCGTGCATAAAGCATTTTGGGCAGCTGCTATCGTCATTTCTGCTTTACTTGTAGAGTGTGTCTGACTCAAGCTGAAACGTGTGACTTATTGGTTAAAAAAAAAAAAAGTATTTTATTTTAAATCCAATCCAGAGTCCCAGAACCACAGACAGAAACCACTCCAGACCGTGGCCTTTTCTCTCTGCAGACAGTCGGGGACCACACGCACATCTCGCCTTCAGACTCAAAATAGCAGCTGCAAGAAATGTTCTGTAACTGGAGTCGGCTTCCCCCATAAACCCTTCGCAGAGTCACCTGAGGGGCCGGTTCTGGGGCTGGTCCAGGGGTCTGTCCTGGGATCAGAACCAGTCACAAGGCCCGAGGATCCAGTGACACCAGGACCACACTTTGCCTTGAAAGAATCTCGAGCAGGACTGAGCTAAACTGAAGGGGGGGGGGGGGGGGGGGGGACATTTGAGACGTCATCCAGGAACTCTGCCAATCAGGTCAAAACGGGACGCGATCTCAGAGTGGGCAGTTTAGGACACAGTGGAAGTAAAGTCTAACTGAAGCAACATGGGATCAATCATATGTATTTTAAATGTATGAATAAAAGTTTATTTTATATATGTGGAAAAACTATAAAGTCATAATTTTCAGTGATTTTGATCAATTAAAAATGCTGGAAAATCATTTACTGTAGTTTGTTTTGTTTTTAAGAGTGTCTGATCTTATCTTTGCTGCCATTTCTTCTAACGCTTAAAGATTCAAAGAGGAACTTATCCTTGAATCTGTCTCGGGTCAAATCCACCGCCACAGATTAAAAAGAACTCTAACGTTTTTACAAGCTGGATTTGGTAAAGTAAAGTAAAGGGTAAAACCACTTCAGGTTAGAAATAACTTTTACAAAAGAGATTGTCTTTACTCAATGCTCTTTATGATTTGAGTCTCGTGTGATTTGCATGTTTTTAATTACTCGTGTTACTGTTATTCTAATATTTCTTGTGATCTTAAAGTTTGGAAGTTTCTTAAACATGACGCACTGGAGGTTTACAACAAAGACACAAACAATACATTTGATTTGACACAGTCTCTCCAAACAGCCGTGAGAAAAGGATCGCACAGGTTTCTATCAGATTCCAAATGTATGATTTTGTAGCTGACTAAAGTGACTCATTAAACTGCTACCAGGAAACAAAGCCAGTTATTCCTAAACTCAGCAGAGTTCTACGTTATCCCAGATTCTCAGAACTGCAGATGACAAGACGTCTCTGTCCTGTATCTGCAGCAGACTTCTGTTTGGTTTGTTCTGGAATCTGAAGGACACGGGCCTCTCGTCACCGCCCTCTGCTCCGGGACAGACTACACACAGTCCAGTCCAGACACATTTGGGATGAGGTGGCAAATGACACAAGTAATTATTAGCATTTTTAAAATCACATTTGGTGCAATCTGGAATTTGCTCCTTGAAAAATTTGCAGTTTCAGTTGCTCACCGTTATGTTCAAAGATTTAAATAGTGAATTTTGCAAAAGTTTGTTGAGCTGAAAGAACTGAAACTAACAACCAACGCCAAACACTGGGACAAACTCCATCCTCAATTTAAATACAGCACAAAAATCCCACAGAAAAACAACCAATCTAGATTAAATTTTAAACATTCAGCCAAGATGTCACACCCTCTGTCTCCATTAACATTTACAGCAGTGTCACTATATCATCACCTTGTACACACAATACACATATGCACTGCTAAATGTCTATTGTTTGTAATTAGTTATGAATATTTGATTATGCCTGCCTTATTCTATTTTTACTTTTATAACTCGTTTGCACCATGAGCCAAAGTCATTTCCTACTTTGTGACCTCCTTTTACGCACAATGACAAGTTTTAATTTGGATTAAAGCATTAGATAATCACAATATTCACTAAAGTTTGCAGGACTTTACATTATTAGCAACATAAAAACAGCAGTTTTTTTCTATGCAAATGTCCCCACAAGTTAAAACAAGCTTAGAAGGTTCCAGAGCCTGGCTTCATTCTGCATTCTAAATAAATAAATAAATTATGCAAAAGCTAAAATCTAACTAAAATATGTGGGAAATGCTCCAACACTTTAGTCTCGGCTGAACTTCAAACATGACGCAAGAAGTTCATTTTAAACATATTTTCACCTTTTTTCTTATGATCATATTGTTCTTAGGAATGCGCACTCATCTGTTGAATGTTCTGGGCAGAATGAGGCGCGCAAACACCAAACGGGTCAAATACAGGATTCACAAACATCATAATCATAATTATTCAACACAAGATCTCCTCAGAATTAGTTCTGGTGTATCAAATTATAAGAAACTGAAAAGTAAGAAAATGTCACTTTTTTTAGCAGTTTCAGTTTTGCGGCCTCCTCGTACAGGCTCCAAAAAAGCCGGTGCTAACGATGCTAACTATGCTAAGTATGCTAACGATGCTAAGTATGCTAACGAGGCTAATCCCGTCAGATCTGTGGAGAACGCGGTCAAACTAATAGGATTCTTTAAAGTGGGTGATCAGACGCCGCTACAGAAACCGGTCAGACATTTAGTGGTTAAATGTGAAATATTCAGAGTCGTATTCTGACCTTTCTCCATTTCTGGTATGCGGAGAACTCCTGAGAAGGAAGGAACACGCTGAGTTTGTTGAAGAGCGACTGGAGCTCGGACGGGAGCCCGTTGGACTCAAAGTACTCCACCTCCACGGGGTCCGCGTTGGACACAGGCACATACAGGCACAGGCCGAGCATCGTGGGCTGCAATTAACTTAAAAGAAACTAGAATAAATAAATAAATACTAACGCCGCAGCGTGGTCTGCCCTGTCAGGGTAATACTGAAATGCCGGTAGGAGCCGTGGACTATGTGAGGCACATGCCCCGCCCCCTGCCGGAATACGGACATCTGATTGGTTCGTCTGTTTACTACTGTCTGTGGTACAGACTTCTGCACGCTTGGAGCTGCGCTCTCGAAGCCGCACTCACAGACCGCCTTCTGACGTCTCATACATGTGTAGTCTATTTTCATCATGCACATCTTTTGAATTAGTTATTTGGACAACTTGGTGGAATCATTCTTATATTGTTAGATACACACTATCTACATAAAGTCGTTTTTCTTTATCAATTAATAAATTATCATGTAATAATAATGCACTTTGTGGACACTCAATGCATTGACACATGTCCTTTACATCTGCAGATAACTGCACATATCTAAAGCCCTGGATGTGCTCATGTTTAGTTTGTTATCTGTGTTTTATGTTGAACGTATTTGTTTTCAGGCCCCTGTTTTGTTTGTTTTAAATTACTAATAACAAAATTCAAGTTAAAAATAATAGATTGAGAATTGACCCTTTACTACATTTTCCGACGGCCCTGACATTTGTCTTAACTATTCAACCTTTGCATGTTTACTGTGAGCAGGTGCCACAAACAGACAGTTGAGTGAAGAGGAGAGTGCTCTCTGTGAGAACCCAGAGTCATCTGCTCTTCAAACATGATACTTTGATATTTAAGGGAACAGCATCAGTTTAATCAGTGTGGGTGTCATCATGTTAGATAAGAGCTACAGCAGGAGCCAACAGGGACATGTGCCTGCAGCTCTGACAATGCAGCTTCAGCTATGCACAGAAATAGTACGTCACTTTACTACAGCCAATCAGAAGCGAATGTCATTGACTCTAAGTCCCGCCCTCTCACATGGAATGCGACGTAAATGTGACGTCAATGTGACGGATGTGACTCACTCTTCATGGTCTCACTGCGTTGGATTTTTGGGCCAAAATATGAACATTTTAAGTAAATTTTAAAAACATCAGCAACAGTTCAGCTCCGTTTATATTCACACGTTAAGTTTCAGATCAGAAAAACAAACAAAGAGCAAGTCTTAAGTGAAGCGGACCCGCCTCCAGCTCCGGACCAATGAGGAAGCTGGATCTCGGGGATAGGAAAATATTGACCAATGGCAGCGCGTCTTACATTTAAATCTGTGTAGAATAAAAAGGCAAAGTTTGGACGTTTCATTGGAATGTGGTGAAAATAAGAAGATAATATTCCACCTTTGGAATGTCAATGATGATGTTCCAATGTCTTTTTCTACTTATCTCTGATCTACTCTGCTCTGATCAAAATGACCAAGAAAAAAAGATTTTAAAAATGAAATTGCATTAATTCAACCCAGAAGTTTCAGAAAAGAAAAGTAAAAACACGTGTTACAATGAGATCCTGATTATGTTTGTTTTCCACTTTTTTATTTATTTGACACATTTTACTCCCGTTTTGCCAAAGACATGAAAACAGAAACAGATGAAAAGCTCCGTCTCGTCACGAGCCTCAAAGATCAGGTCCAAAGTTAAAAACAGCAGATTAAGAACAACATGAATGAGTCTGTGTTGGATCCAAACTTCTGTGGAAATGTCAAATAAAAACCTTTAATGTTTCTTTGTGAACAGGAAAATGTGTCATTATTCATTTTCAAACAAAAATATTTGACAATGAATGTGTAGCTTTTGTATAAGTTTTCACTTGTATATTCTCTGTCTCCTCAAAGCCTCAGACTCAGTGAAGATGAAGCTCTATCTCTGAACATAAATATATTTATATAACTTTACAGTGAACAGAGTCAGACTGTTTCCAAAACACTGCAGTTTGTTTGATATGAATTGTTCTGGGTCTGACTTTCTGACGTTGGAACCTTAGATACAAGGAGGCCCTGTTTTTGATGGAAAAGCACACGTACTGAACCGTGTCGTTCCGTATCGTACTGATACTGTGGAAAAGCGGCATTAGAGCTTTATCTCTAAAGTCTGAACCAGGAACACGTTTAAAGCAGTTTTAAACAAACTTTGGACACTGTGGGAACATTGACCGACTGTAAGTAAGTTTAGTAAGTTTTTATTTATATACCGCCTTTTCACTGCAGATCTGAGTCTCAAAGCGGTTTACAATTGTTAATTTTTGGGCATTTGTCTCTCACTCCACACAGAGATGGGAGCGGGGTCGCCAGTACAGGAGGCGCATACCAGAACTATTGGACATATTTTTAGTGGTAGGGGAAACCGGAGTGCCCGGAGGAAACCTACGCAGACACGGGGAGAACATGCAAACTCCACTCAGAAAGGCCCTGGTCCGACCGGGATTCGAACCCAGGACCTTCTTGCTGAGAGGCAAGAGTGCTATCCACTCAGCCACCGTGCCGCCGGTGGCTGAGTGGATAGCCACCGGCTATCCACTCAGCTGCTGTAAAACACAAAAACAGCAGTTTCAGAACATTCTGTAAATGACTAAACTTTCGGTTCTGGAAAATAAAGCATCGTTTCCAGGTCCAATAAAAGTTTTGGGTTTGAATCGTTTGAATATGAACAAAAATGAAGTAAATCTTATCAGAGAAAAGGTGAAAACAGAAACAGACCATAACGACTCCTCCTCAGAGAAGATAAGGTGTTGTTCTGGTCATTGTTGTGTAACAGGACAAAGATACACACAGGACACACAACAACAGCCTTTGTCTGCGACACACAACTGTTAGACACACAACTGTTAAAGACACACAACTGTTAAAGACACACAACTGTTACAGACACACAACTGTTTAAGACACACAAACAAACACAGTCATAAACAACATTGACGTTTAACTCTGAGGAGCACAGGGACTGGCCTCCTGCTGGGACTCTGAGGAGCACAGGGACTGGCCTCCTGCTGGGACTCTGAGGAGCACAGGGACTGCCTCCTGCTGGGACTCTGAGGAGCACAGGGACTGGCCTCCTGCTGAGACTCTGAGGAGCACAGGGACTGGACTCCTGCTGGGACTCTGAGGAGCACAGGGACTGGCCTCCTACTGGGACTCTGAGGAGCACAGGGACTGGCCTCCTGCTGGGACTCTGAGGAGCACAGGGACTGGCCTCCTGCTGAGACTCTGAGGAGCACAGGGACTGGCCTCCTACTGGGACTCTGAGGAGCACAGGGACTGCCTCCTGCTGGGACTCTGAGGAGCACAGGGACTGGCCTCCTACTGGGACTCTGAGGAGCACAGGGACTGCCTCCTGCTGGGACTCTGAGGAGCACAGGGACTGGCCTCCTACTGGGACTCTGAGGAGCACAGGGACTGGCCTCCTGCTGGGACTCTGGGGAGCACAGGGACTGGCCTCCTGCTGGGACTCTGGGGAGCACAGGGACTGGCCTCCTACTGGGACTCTGAGGAGCACAGGGACTGGCCTCCTGCTGGGACTCTGGGGAGCACAGGGACTGGCCTCCTGTTGGGACTCTGAGGAGCACAGGGACTGGCCTTCTGCTGGGACTCTGAGGAGCACAGGGACTGGACTCCTGCTGGTCCCAGAGTCAGGACTAAACATGTGGAGGCAGTGTTTCAGATTCATGCAAAAAAAAAAAAAAAACACTCTTCCTGAAAATGTTCTAATTCAGTTTAAAAACTGTTCTGTTTTATCTTCATTATTTTAATGTAATTATTTATTTAGTAAATCCATGTTTTCAACAATAAACTGAACGAGGAGTGAAAACATTTCCTCAGGATCAGAGTCAGAGCCGTTTGTTTTGATCTGAGTCAATGAGCGACAGTTTCACTGACGTCAGAGACAGAGACCTCTGATTCATTCATAAAAACATAAACACTACACAAACACAACACAAACTACACAAACTACAGAAACACTACAGATCAGAGTCAGCAGCAGAAGAGACTTCAGAAAAGGAAATGCCACGAATGAAAGTTATCTGTGTAAATACAAAACACCAGCACCATGAATGTGACCTGAAAACCTTTACTTGTGGCGCCCCCTGCAGGTGAAACACAGATTCTGTCAGACCTCTGAAGCTAAGCAGGGCAGGGCCTGGTTAGTACTGTGATGGGAGACCTCTGGGAACACCAGGTGCCACGGTGGGGCGGCTGCGGTTGAAAAGTGCCAAACTGTGGTTGTGTCCTTAGGCAAGACACTTCCCCCACATTAGAATGAGTCTGGTGTGTGTGTGAATGGTTGGTGGTGGTGGGAGGGGCCGATGGCACAGACTGGTTGCCTCGCTTCTGTGAGTGTGCCCCAGGGCAGCTGTGGCTATAGTAGTATTTATCACCACCGTGTTTGGAGAATGAATCATGATGTGAAGAAACAGAGTCCAGAAAAGAGCTGTATAAAACTTGAAATGATTACATTGAAAGTTGACAAATTGACTTCCAGCTGAAAACTGTCTGTTCTCCTGGAGTCCCACAGGAAACCTCTCCATGAGACCTCCTCCCTCTGCATCGTCTTCATCCACGTCGTGCAGCGTCTGTGGATTCTGCTCCAGTGAGACGTTCAGTCCGAGGTCCGTCTGCTCACGCTTAAACCATAGACTGTACTTAAACTCATCCATTCACCTCCCCACCTTCTGCAGACCACCACTGACAGCCCCTCTGCTCCCTCACTGTGGGGGTCCTCACCGTGTAGGGAGGGGGGAGGGCAGTGTATTCAGTCGGTCTGCTCCCCAGCTCTGGATCCTGACCTCCATAATCGCTCCAGAACTTTTAAAGCTTCAGACACACTTTTTCCTGTTCGGCTTTTAATCCAGAAAGACACAGTTTCAGTTTTAAAGTGTCAATATATACATTTTTTTTGGTCTGCACAGCACTTTGGGAAACCTTGGCTGTTCTGACCTCCACAATATATACTCCCTTGTATTATTCAAAACTGTCACTGTTCAAAGTCTTTCTGCTGCTGTCAGACTGTACAACGAACCCTGTCAATCTGACCGTGTGCAACGAATGAGCAATAATGTGCTGCTGTAGATTTAAACATACACGTTTACTACATTAGATTATATACTTTATTTATTGTGCTAAAGTTAGAGATTTTATTTTAATAGTTAATCTTTTATCTTGTGCCGAGTGCTCATTCTACTGCAACACTGACATTTCCTCTCAACACATCAGACTTCAGCGCCAAAGACCTCAAAATAAAAACAGGAAGTACATTTTTTCCATTATGTTTATTAAAAATGTCATTCCAAATCTCATGGATATCTGAAACAATACAATGAAAAAAAAAACATCCAATATAGAAATTATGTCAAAAATAACCAGTTTTTTTCCCCCAAACGACGACCCTGAACAGTGAGAAGGAATGAGTGATGTCTCAAAGAGGAACTAAAACCGCTCGGAGTTTATGCTGAGGTCTGCTGCTAGTGCTAAGATTCACAACACCATGAGTCTGCGCAACACGACGGGAAGGACTTTTAAAATGGGAAAGAAACAGAAAAAGTACAAATATGTTCCGGCGATGCATCCACCAAGCGTTTAAGAGACGAACGGAATTTAGTGTTGGAGAAACGGGAGCGATGGGAACAGTCAAAGGCAGAGTTTAGTCTCGTATAAAAGCACTGCCTTCGTGATATATACAGAGATTAGCCACCAATTAGCATTAGCATTCAGATTGTTACAGCACGTTAGCGGCCCAAACCTGCGGACGCTTGGTGGGAACATGGCCCAAAACCGCTCAGTCCCATGTTAAAAACGATAGCCCAGTATTTTGTATTATTCACGTAAACTTGTAGCGTAAATACGTGGATGCTAGCTGGTTGTAGCTAACAGGAGCGCGAGGCCAGACCGGGAGAGGACCCAGGAGTTTCCCGTTTGTTTTTGAAGGAGCCTGCGTGCAAAGTGGTACTGCTATTGCTGCGATTACTGCCGTTTCTACCATGAGGTAATGAGGAGTCGTGTACAAAGGACAACAGAAGGTTTCAAAATAAATTACGTCTAACTGAGGCCTGGGCGTGGACCTTTGAGATCCCAGTTTCGGACTGTCTCTGGTCCCGCTGGAGGCCTGGAGCGCTCTGGTTTAGACCCGTTTTAATCCCGCTGCATCTTTTTGCATGTAGGAAGTTGAGGCTTTAAAGGGAAAGGCCACGGCTCCTGCCAACGACTACGTTTTTTTTAAACAATAAGTTATAGCAGAATCCAAAATACAGAACACTGGGGTATCGTACCGGCCTATCGCTGTGGCCGCGTCCGAACGTCCACTTTTGCTTCGATTGAGAAATAGTCACTAATAGTTTAAAAAAACACATTGATTTCAAATGTTCATGGACCCACATCCACTCTGCAGCTTTGAGACGAGGCAGAAGATAAAGGTAACAGAAAACTATTGAATTTCTCTTGTTTTTGAGTCAAACAAACAGATAAAGTCCAGAATGTTCTTTATGTATTTTAAGGATTTGTCGTTTGGAAAACCACTGTCAAAATAATACGTTTTACTTTATTTATGGAGTTTAACATTTTTGATTCCACGACTAAACCAGCGTCAAAATGTAAAATGTGTGAAAAACTGCATTCACGTTAATCTGGCATCCCGTGGCGAACCTGGCATCCCGTGGCGAACCTGGCAACCCGTGGCGAACCTGGCAACCCGTGGCGAACCTGGCAACCCGTGGCGAACCTGGCAACCCGTGGCGAACCTGGCAACCCGTGGCGAACCTGGCAACCCGTGGCGAACCTGGCAACCCGTGGCGAACCTGGCAACCCGTGGCGAACCTGGCAACCCGTGGCGGCGGAGGAGGAAGTAGCAAGTCGTGGCTAAAGAGCTGCGTCTGGACCTGTACCTTTGTCTCCACGGCCCAAAGGTACAGGGCCGGGTCTGAACCATGTGGACGTTCGGGCGAAGCTTTTTGTCCTAAACTTCAAAATGTTGAGCTTTTTTTTAGTGGTTTTTTATTTTATTTTTCAAAACATTTTTTTTTACGTTTTACTTTATTTAAAGGAGATGTTACTCACAATTCAGGGCAAAGTGCCAGTGACCTTTGAATATAAAGATGTAGGACAAAGATGGCACCGACGACAGGTGGAGGAGGCTTCGCTGATGAAGCAGTGGGTAAAAAAATATCAAATAAAATTCAAACAAAAACAACATTAAAAAATATTTGCTCCCGACAATGAGTGGAAAAACCAAACAGGAAAATACAGATTGAGGTCGTGTTGGGGTTTAGTCGTCCTCGCCTTCGTCCTCCTGGAACCCAAGGACATGGGTTAGACTCTTATGGACACACTCCACCCCTACATACTACAAACTATACACACCACACACACACACACACACACACACAACTACTGACTATATATACACACACACACACACACACACACACACACACACACACACAACTACTGACTACATACACACACATAAAATGATTCAATATTGTATCTCGTTTTAAAGAAATCAGTTTGACACATGAAGTTAAGGGGAGAACATTCTAACTTAAAATGTTTTAATATCCATGTTGAAAATCCAAATCACAGGGACATATCACACTACTGAGACCACGCCCCCTGAGACCACACCCCCTGAGACCACACCCTCCTCTTCATGAAAAAGTCAATTGTTCTGTTCGACTGAAATACCAGTTTTCTTATGACTACGGTTCATATTTATGCTTAGATTTGACAGTTTGATTACGTTAACAATTAATCCCCAGGAAGTGCCCTATAAGGGATATTCCCAAAATTCCTTCTGAACTTCTCTGAAATGTACAGAGAATTCTCCCCCCCTTTGCAGCTGTAATTCCCAGTTATTCCCAAACACGGCTCAGGTTTGTGCTTCTCAGACCCTGCAGCAGTCTGGCACCAACAAGTCTGTCGTATAAACTATAAATGTGTGAATCTAGTACCTCTCCGTCCTCTCCTTCATCCTCGTCTTCCTCCTCTCCGTCTTCATCTCCTTCTTCGTCGATGTCCTCCAGACCCTCCTCGTCTTCATCCTCCTCCTCACCTTCTCCCTCCTCATCGTCCATGTCTGGAACCTGAAACAGAACCGGCCGTTAACCAGAGATGCTCCTTTAAAGGAACACTAGAGGAAAAAGACTGACGCAAAACTAAACCATGTGTCATTCTTTTGCTGCTAAAAAGTACCATTTATAGTCCTCGTAGAGACATTTGTCCTCCGAACCCCGAGGACCGAGCCTTCCGAACCCCAAGCACCGAGCCTTCCGAACCCCAAGCACCTAGCCTTCCGAACCCCAAGGGCCGAGCCTTCCGAACCCAGAGCACCGAGCCTTCCGAACCCCAAGCACCGAGCCTTCCGAACCCCGAGCACCGAGCCTTCCGAACCCCGAGGGCCGAGCCTTCCGAACCCCGAGGGCCGAGCCTTCCGAACCCCGAGGACCGAGCCTTCCGAACCCCGAGGACCGAGCCTTCCGAACCCCGAGGACCGAGCCTTCCGAACCCCGAGCCTTCCGAACCCCAAGTCTTCCGAACCCCGAGGACCGAGCCTTCCGAACCCCGAGGACCGAGCCTTCCGAACCCCGAGGACCGAGCCTTCCGAATCCCGAGGACCGAGCCTTCCGAATCCCGAGGACCGAGCCTTCCGAACCCCGAGCCTTCCGAACCCCAAGCACCGAGCCTTCCGAACCCCGAGCCTTCTGAACCCCGAGGACCGAGCCCATAATTTCAGACTCATTCCGTCAGCAGCTTCTTTCTTCTCCCACTTGTTCCTCTCTTTTATTACATCCTTCTTTGTTCTGGACAAACCTATCCTCATCAATAATAAAAATAAATAATATTATAGGCCTCTACCAAATAAATGAGTTGCAGTTTGATGTAAAAGTTCCTAAAAACCAAATGATAAAGATGGTTAAACGGTTAAAGGGTTACGACTACAGTTACTTTAATGGTTTCAGCCCTAATGGTCCCCTACGGAAAAACGTAGGTACCAGGTAGTACTGCAGATGGTCACGTACCAGGTAGTACTGCAGATGGTCACGTACCAGGTAGTACTGCAGATGGTCACGTACCAGGTAGTACTGCAGATGGGTCACGTACCAGGTAGTACTGCAGATGGGTCACGTACCAGGTAGTACTGCAGATGGGTCACGTACCAGGTAGTACTGCAGATGGGTCACGTACCAGGTAGTACTGCAGATGGGTCACGTACCAGGTAGTACTGCAGATGGGTCACGTACCAGGTAGTACTGCAGATGGGTCACGTACCAGGTAGTACTGCAGATGGGTCACGTACCAGGTAGTACTGCAGATGGGTCACGTACCAGGTAGTACTGCAGATGGTCACGTACCAGGTAGTACTGCAGATGGTCACGTACCAGGTAGTACTGCAGATGGTCACGTACCAGGTAGTACTGCAGATGGTCACGTACCAGGTAGTACTGCAGCGGGTTGGGCCAGATGTCGTCCTTGATGACCTCTCCCAGCTCGTCGGCCCCGGCGTCGGCGTGGTCGGTGAACCAGGTGAAGAAGCTCTCGGGCTCCTCGTGTTGCCGCTTCCGGGCGCCTTTGTTCTGTGACTGACTGACGCGTTTGGTCAGGTCCTGGAAACAAGAGCAGGCGCTGATCCGACAGAACCCAGGCTGAGCTTTCACCACTAACGTCCCAAAAGCCAGTGTTTTATCCTAATCAGAAACTTAAAGCTGTATACAGTTTAGTGTCGCTGATACATGACAAAGGACAAGTGCATATACTTTCTCACTAATATTAAATTGTTAGGTACAATAACTTCCATTGTCAAATAGGATTATAGTAAATATAGAACCGAGTTTCCATATGAATCTTTAATGCAGGCACTCACAGGAACAAGCATTTTATTTTTCATATTTTTAGGGCTACATTGTGACTTGCTAACACCTGAATGCAGTATGTCCTGTAAACTAACTTTCACAATAACAAATATATAAATGAACAACGTCCGTGATGCTGTTTACTGACACATACACATAGACCAGAACCAGAGCCAGAGAGCAGCAATGAGATATTTTGGAATTGTGGAGGGTACTAATCCAAGTCATAATTAAATAGGTACTGATTCCACAGGCACAACCAGAATAAAGATTTTATAGGGACAGTGTTATAGTTTGGATTCAAGTTTATTTTCAAATCTAGTTTTCTACGTTTGCAAAACCTTTTCAAATCCCAAAAGTTTCTCTCATCTGTAAAAAGATTGAAGTGTGCAATGAAACTGCTGCATTCCAACATTAGCCTTAGCCTTAGCCCTAGCATTAGCATTAGCGACGTAGCGGTGCACTGACCTTTCCTGATCTCCATTTGATTTCTGTGGATTTTGAAGAAGGGTCTCCGCTCTCGTTCAGATGAAACTCTTTGGAAAGAACTTTGTTTTCGAAGTACGGATTTTCATCAAAATACTGCAACAGAAAAACAACAAAAGTTAGGTCCAGTGTTTGGACGTGACATCGACTCCAGCTTCTGTGAACGCAGCAAATATTCAAATGCATAAAAGCATTGTTTAAATAAGAACATAAAGATTATTATGTTTAAAAAGGTCCTTATTGTACATGGAGTCTTTGTGAATCAATAAATCCTTTTGTTTTGACTGAAGGACAAAGCAGTGATGATTTAAGACCCTCTTTTTCAGAATCAGCTTCTTAATATCAGAATCAGAATCATTTTTATTGCCTCGTAAGTAACAGGAAGTCACAGACTTGGAAATTGCTTTGGCTCAGTGCAACAGTCAGAAAGAGATAGTAAAAAAATAAAGAATAAAAAACACTTCTAAGGAATACATTTAAAATAGAGTTACAGTTACTATTTACAATATACTAATAATACTAACATAAAGCACTAAAGGAATGGAACGAGCTACAGAAAACTCAGACTATGTTCAGATCATGGTTGAACTTAAAACTGCTTTGGAGCAAACTGCTGCTCAGAGACTGAGGTGGCTCAAAAATAAGAATACATTTATTCCATGGCCCCTTTCAAGACGCTTTACAATATATTAAAAACATCACACACAGTATTAAAAGTAAAGAATAGAATACTTTGACAAAGACGAGAGAGACCAGTTTAAAAAGGTTGAGATTTTAAAATGTCCAGAAAGTCAAACTGTCGCAGGTGAAGTGAGAGTTTTGGAGCAGAAGCTGAATGCTCCGGACCTCATTGAGGACCTCACACGACAACTTATGTGTTTTATGAAAACATAAATATGTGTGAGACCATGTTACTGTGGTGTGAGATGTACCACTTATGGTCAGTGACTTTAATATGATGTGAATGAGAGATTATTGTTTATGATGTTTTTGGACTGTCTTTTCATGAGACCAGGGACGGCGGATACAAATGAGCTGTGTAGATAAACTATTGTGATAAAAGAGTCCAGTCTGACCACTTTAAAAACACTGTCTCCTTTGTGCTCGTGGATTAAAAAAACAATTATATTTCTAAAAAGAATGTACATAGACAAACTGGACGATGTACCCGAGAACTCAAAGGCAAACTAAAAACTGTCGGATGTGTGTCCGTTAAAGGAGAACCATACAGAAGTCATTGACCGTGTTTAGGATTAGAACTGACGATGAACTCACAAATTCTATTCTGTATCCCGACTTGATGTCCTCAAACTCTGTGACCTCCACTCGGCTCAGGTAATGCAGCGCCTCCTCGTCCTCCTCGCCAAGAAGAGCAGATACTGGAACACATACAGACTTCATGAAGGCCGGAGAGCGAGACCAGAGAGAGAGAGAAAGACCAGAGAGAGAGAGAGAGGCCGGGGAGAGAGAGAGAGGCCGGGGAGAGAGAGAGAGGCCAGAGAGAGAGAGAGAGAGAGAGAGAGGCCAGAGAGAGAGAGAGAGAGAGAGAGACCAGAGAGAGAGAGAGAGAGAGAGACCAGAGAGAGAGAGAGAGGCCAGAGAGAGAGAGAGAGGCCAGAGAGAGAGAGAGAGAGAGAGAGAGAGAGACCAGAGAGAGAGAGAGAGAGAGAGAGAGACAGAGAGAGAGAGAGAGAGAGAGACCAGAGAGAGAGAGAGAGAGAGAGAGAGAGAGAGAGGCCGGAGAGAGAGAGAGAGAGGCCAGAGAGAGAGAGAGAGGCCAGAGAGAGAGAGAGAGAGGCCGGAGAGAGAGAGACCAGAGAGAGAGAAAGACCAGAGAGAGAGAGAGAGAGGCCGGGGAGAGAGAGACCAGAGAGAGAGAGAGAGACCAGAGAGAGAGAGAGAGACCAGAGAGAGAGAGAGACCAGAGAGAGAGAGAGAGACCAGAGAGAGAGAGAGAGACCAGAGAGAGACCAGAGAGAGAGAGAGAGAGACCAGAGAGAGAGAGGCCGGAGAGAGAGAGAGAGACCAGAGAGAGAGAGGCCGGAGAGAGAGAGAGAGACCAGAGAGAGAGAGGCCGGAGAGAGAGAGAGAGACCAGAGAGAGAGAGGCCGGAGAGAGAGAGAAAGACCAGAGAGAGAGAGAGAGAGAGAGAGACCAGCATTGTGCGTCAGGCTTCATGTTATTAGACTAATCCGACAGGACCAGGTGTGACCAATGTTGAAATGACTTAGAATTATGAAGTCTCATAATACATGACATCTCCCCGCACAGATTACATTTGCTTCCACGTTCTAACTACAGCAGTAAGACGCTTTTTATTACATTAAGGTCATTGCACATTTCTGATTCACCGATGCCCTGAGGACAAGCCTGAAACAAAAGGTGCATTTGTAACTGAAAGACAGGAAAAGAACAGTAGAAAATGTGTCGGATATACTTCATTGATCCCCACATTACCAGGGGTGTGTGGCATTTGAATGGATACTTCATATGCAAGTACACTACTGCACCACTAGAGGGCAATAGACACAAATCATGGAGCAAATGTCCTTCAATTGTGAGAGAACAGATACAGAACCAAAGTCAATCTCTTCATGAAGACAAAAGAGAAAGACCAGCACAGTGTGTGAGGCAGTTATTGTACTTTACACACATGGGACCAGGTGGAGCCAAATCTCCCTGAACAGAGTACATTTGTTTCCACGTTCCAACTGTAGCAGTAAGACTGTTGGCAAAACTAGAAAATGAATTTAAGAGCAGACTGAAACTGAGGATTTGTAAATGGATAAATGTTTAGAAATTGGTTTAGGATTGTATAAAAAGGTACGAGTTGTTCACATGTATTGATTTTGTGGCCTATAAACTAATACAGCTTCCGCAGTTCCCTTTTGCAAAGAACTTACAAATATTACAAATTACAATGTGTATAAATGTAAAATATTTGTAAATAAAGACTGTTTTCCTTTGAATACATAAAGATTATTGAGCATTTTGGCAGAAAGGTCAAAGGTGCATTAGGAACCGGACTGGAGCAGAAATACAGAGAAGGACAGTAACCTGTGTCAATACTGGGGGAGCTGGTTATATACATGCAACTACACTACTGCACCACCAGGGGGCAATATACACAAATCAAACATGGAGCAAATGTCATATTTGGCGACATCAAACTGTGTTGAAAAGAGAAGTTGAGTCTCAGCCACTGAACCTGCACCACATTGGACCGACATGAGACAGAACCAGGACCAGCAGCCGTCCTGATGGTCAGACGGGAGAAGGAGAACTATGACCAATCAAGCACCGCTGATAGACGGCATTATAGTTCTGTTTTTGTTTGCGAGAAACAAGTTGCCTACATTTGTCTCCACATTCAAACTCAATAGCATCAAGCTAGCTCAGACCAGCATCCTCTGCAAAAAGGCATTATGGGAGTGTCAGATCTGGCTTTCATCTTCGTATAGAGTTGGTTTAAAAAGGTTTGTTATTGACAGAACATTATTTTAACTTTGAGGGACTTAGACAGTTTAAGAAGTTTATTATCGCCTTTCATAAAAACCAAACTGTTCTTTAATTTGTAAAGTTAATTATGCGAAGGACATCAGGGACAAGGAAGACCAAAGGAACATTGACACTGAACATTTGATTTAATCATAAATACTTTGGTGATTTTAAAGTTTAAAAGCTAGTATTTTACAACGTGAGCAAAGTTCTCCCTAGTTTTCTTTACGTTGCCACGGAGAGTTTGGATAAAGGACAACTCATCAGAGCGAGGATCAGTTTGATCTGAGAGATCCACAGTTCATGGAATAAGCCTAAAAGACGCTGAGAACCATGAGCTTCACGTTTCTCACAAACAACTGAAGTCTCTCCTCGAGACGACACGGCTTGACATTGTTTATTTAAAAATGTAAACGTGTCATTTAGCGTTCGATAAATGAACTGTGAAGCGCAGCACAAATAAATACGCACTTGAGCTTTACCTTGTGGATGATTGACGAACGTAGTGACCCAGAAGTTTGGGATTTTTCCGATGAGTTCTGACCTCTTCTGAAAGAACGGCTGACGGAGTTTGTTGTATTTCTGTTCTACTTTAAGGATCTCCTCACTGGCACTTTCGATCAACCTGCGGAAACAAACACGTGAATCACAGAGTAGAGAAGGGGGAGGGGCCACAGGTCACATGACTAAGTGATGACACTGTGCTTTCTCATGTGGAAACCTGTGGGATTTACACGATGCAGACTCCAGTTAAAACATGAACATTACTGTAATAATCTTTGAAACAGAAGTTTCAGTTTCTCTTTCTCCAAAAGGTTTTGACGAGAGGACCAAAGTTACACACGACGAAAGCTGCTTATTGTTATTTACAGTTGTGGGCATTTGTCTCTCACTCCACACAGAGATGAGAGCGGGGCCAGTACAGGAGGCACATGTCAGAACTATTGTACATGTTTTAGTGGTAGGGGAAACCGGAGTACCCGTAGGAAAACTACGCAGACATGAGGAGAACATGCAAACTCCCCTCAGAAAGGCCCTGTTCTGACCGGGATTCGAACCCAGGACCTTCATGCTGAGAAGCAAGAGTGCTAACCACTCAGCCACTGTAGCTGAATTTTGTTCCAAATTTATCTTCAGTTGTGATGTCATTCAGACCCAACGCTTATAGCTGTACGAATGTGTTACGAGCAGCTGTGACAGAAAAAAATCGCCAAATTACCTCGAATTAAAATACAAGAAAACTGAGACATTGAACCGTTAAACAATGCTACTCATGAGACAGAAGAATGAGCTTTGAAATAAAATGTTACCTGTCAATTTCATTCTGAACTTCATCGATGTGTTCAATGGCCTCCTGTTGCTCTTTTTCTATAAAAAAAAAACCGCAGTTAGACAGAAGAAAACAGAATATAACCTTGATTGATTGAATATAACCTTGATATAAATTGATGCCCCTAGATTGTGGCGGGATGACGATAATTGGAGATAGAATATTGTTGAATCGCAACAATAACATCTTGTACGATTATAAAAATCATTACAACACTATAAATTATATCAATATCGTCTGCACGTATGACGTGGTGAACTTAAAACACTAATCTTCAAGAGCCAATAATAGCTGAGAACATTATTTAGTCTCCGCTCACATGTGTGACCATAACACACTCGTTATCTTTCAGCACCGACACTAAAGAAAAACTAAGTGACCACTTTTCACACATTTTCTTTCGGATAAAGCGTGTTTAGGATCCGGAGATGAGGCAGAATCCAGCGGCCAATCGCAGCACATCTGACGGAGGAGACACTCTCAGTTTCCGGCCACAGCTCTGGACAAGGCCGCGTGGTTTGAATGTGGAACACACAACAAACGTGTTCCCAGAGTTCTCCCCAGACCAGGGCCGGACTCTCTACACATGTAACCCCCACAACCTGCAGCTCTGTGTGGACACTGTACGCGGTGATTCACGGAGAAAGCGTGCGTGTGGCATTTAAACACACATTAGCAATAAACACGCCGCTGCTAGCATTAGATAACATTACAACAACAATAGCAACTGGCTAATGCTAACGAGACGCAAAGCACGTCATAACTTGAGAATACACGCGTTTTTAAACAAGTGCATGTTTAATTGTGGACATATAAAGCACGTGAATGAGGCAGAAATGGAAAATAACATCCATTCGCACAGATACATCTATCCACGCAGGTGATGCTAACGGCAGCTAACGTGCTAACATGATGCTAACTAGCGCTAACTATGCTAACGGCTAGCTTCCCTTACGCACAACGTGAGTGCAAGAAACACATGACAAAGGCCACGGGAAATCCAACTCAAAATGAAGATTATCAGAGGAATACACATCATTGCGCGCATTTAAACAGCATTAGACTCTGCGTGGCTCTAATGTGGGGAAAGATGGACGAAAATGGCGGTGAATGGAGCTCGGGAGGCCGCCATTCCGCTGCCGCGCCGCCTGTTCTCACCGGAGGTCTCGTCTCCCGCTTCGTGGTTCGAGTTTGCCTCTTTTTTACTCGCTTTTCCCGCAGAGGCCGACATGTTTGCTCGGGCTTGGTTGGGCTCGCAGGTCCGTGGGTGCAGAGAGGCTGGAGAGAAGCCGGTGTGAAGTTGCAGGAGTCCACACAGAGAGAACGCGTGTAGCCGCGGTCCACGCACAATGTCCTCGGACTCCGCCTCCTCTGATCCCGCTGCAGACCGCACTACATCCACATGGTTCATCAGTCCTTTCAAAGTTGGTGGGAAGTGAACAAAACTGAACCAAACCGTAATTAAAACATAAATAAAAATAATATAGTGTGTGTGTGTATTTTCAGCTTGCATTCGAATCGTTTATTAAAGATAATTTAAATACGCTGTACCTTTGGCGAATTAAACCCATTTGATGATAATAAAACTCAATCATTTTCCTTTCAAGTTAAAACGTGTTTGACAATTATTTAAATACTGCAAATATTCCTGGGTTTGTGTTCGTATAAATAACCTTTTATGCTCCCGTTGGTGGGAAGTGAACAAAGTGAGCCAAACCGTAATTAAAACATAAATAAAAATAATATAGTGTGTGTGTATTTTCAGCTTGCATTCGACATGAGTAGTTTCTTCTGAATCGTTTATTAAAGATAATTTAAATACGCTGTACCTTTTGCGAATTAAAGACCTTATGACGGGTTTTTAAAAAAAAAATAGTGGATATCAAAATTGCATGACAATATCAATTTGAAAGAGATTCCGGCAAAAAAATTCCTATATTTTATAAAAAGAACGTGTTTTTCATGAATTTAAGCTGTCTATGCTCTAACCTGTGTGTGACGTCATAGCGGGTAACGCCCATGCATTGAAAACCATGGATCTATGCCACAGGACTGCCTTTTCTCTCTTCTCTCCACTGATGCCCAACACAATACTAACAAAGTGAACCAAACCGTAATTAAAACATAAATAAAAATAATATAGTGTGTGTGTATTTTCAGCTTGCATTCGATATGAGTAGTTTCTTCTGAATCGTTTATTAAAGCTAATTTAATTAAGCTGTACCTTTTGCGAATTAAACCCATTTGATGATATTAAAACTCAATCATTTTCCTTCCAAGTTAAAACGTGTTTTACAATTATTTAAATACTGCAAATATTCCTGGGTTTGTGTTCGTATAAATAACCTTTTATGCTCCCGGTAGATTACACATGTTACATTAGAATCTAAAGTGAAAGTGAAAGGAAGCGTCAGACCTGTTCCATATCAAAGCATGATACTTTATAAATAACACATTCAAGTTTATATGTTATTCTCTCTCTCCCATTTAAAGTCTGACGGTGCAACATTTCTTTCCATCAACTCTCTTTTTGTCTGTTTGTGATATTATTTAAAGTCAGCCACGTAACAAATGTGTATTTTATTTAAATGTGATTAAATAATTAGTAACAAATAAACTTATTTTTAATTTTACTCCTAAAAGCCACGCATCCAGTTTCATCGTCTTCATGTGAGTTACTTCAACAAATACAAAAATACCAACAGAACACAACAAAGACAAAACACACAACAGAAAGAGCACAGGTACATATAGACACACAGAGACACAGGTACATATAGACACACAGAGACACAGGTACATATAGACACAGAGAGACACAGGTACATATTGACACACAGAGACACAGGTACATATAGACACAGAGAGACACAGGTACATATAGACACAGAGAGACACAGGTACATATTGACACAGAGACACAGGTACATATTGACACACAGAGACACAGGTACATATAGACACAGAGAGACACAGGTACATATAGACACAGAGAGACACAGGTACATATAGACACAGAGAGACACAGGTACATATAGACACAGAGAGACACAGGTACATATAGACACAGAGAGACACAGGTACATATAGACACACAGAGACACAGGTACATATAGACACAGAGACACAGGTACATATAGACACACAGAGACACAGGTACATATAGACACAGAGAGACACAGGTACATATTGACACAGAGACACAGGTACATATAGACACAGAGACACAGGTACATATAGACACAGAGAGACACAGGTACATATTGACACAGAGACACAGGTACATATAGACACAGAGACACAGGTACATATAGACACAGAGACACAGGTACATATAGACACAGGGGCAGACAATCAAACAGGAAGTAAAACTAGACTAAAATAAAACATAGTGAAAAGAACAAAATTCACACCATGATATTTTAAGCCTTAAAAAGCAGGATTTAGACCAAAAGGTTCTGCTTCAGACCCTCAGAATGATACAAACTGCAGATTTCTTTGGCCTGTTGTGTTCACTGTCATATCCACACGGTGGTGATTTACTGTTGTTCATAAGTAAATTGATTTATGTTCTTCTTATAATGTTTGTTTCTTTAATTGATTCATAATAATGCATCAGTTTTTTATGGCACTTTTGGACACTCATGTTATTTATTTACTCCATACAGTGGTGATAAATACTACTATAGCCACAGCTGCCCTGGGGCACACTGACAGAAGCGAGGCAACCAGTCTGTGCCATCGGCCCCTCCCACCACCACCAACCACTCACACACACCAGACTCATTCTAATGTGGGGGAAGTGTCTTGCCTAAGGACACAGCCACAGTTTGGCACTTTACAGCCGCAGCCGCCCCACCGTGGCACCTGCTGTTCCCAGAGGTCTCCCATCACAGCACTAACCAGGCCCTGCCCTGCTTAGCTCCTGAGGTCTCAGGAGATCTATCTTTCACCTGCAGGTGGCGCCACTATTTAATCCTTAAAAATCTATATTCAAGTCAAAAAGTAACAATTTCAGATTCAAAAACAAAACCTGCAAATTGTTTATGATCGATTTGAAATAAAATGTTTAAAGATATATTCAAACGTTTGCATCATATTCCACAGAGACAGGAACCTCGGGCACCAGGCTCTATCAGGCTGTCAGACTGTACAACAAACCTGGAAGAGTCCTCGGTCTTCCTCTGGTTCCTCCCTCTCTGTCCTGGTCTCCTCGCTCTCTGTCCTGGTCTCCTCCCTCTGTGTCCTGGGCCTTCTCCTGGCCTTCTCCCTCTGTGTCCTGGGTCTCCTCATGGTCTCCTCCCTCTGTGTCCTGGGTCTCCTCCTGGTCTCCTCCCTCTGTGTCCTGGGTCTCCTCCTGGTCTCCTCCCTCTATGTCCTGGGTCTCCTCCTGGTCTTCTCCCTCTGTGTCCTGGGTCTCCTCCTGGTCTCCTCCCTCTGTGTCCTGGGTCTCCTCCTAGTCTTCTCCCTCTGTGTCCTGGGTCTCCTCCTAGTCTTCTCCCTCTCTGTCCTGGGTCTCCTCATGGTCTCCTCCCTCTGTGTCCTGGGTCTCCTCCTAGTCTTCTCCCTCTGTGTCCTGGTCTCCTCCCTTTGTGTCCTGGTCTCCTCCTGGTCTCCTCCCTCTCTGTCCTGGTCTCCTCCTGGTCTCCTCCCTCTGTGTCCTGGGCCTTCTCCTGGTCTCCTCCCTCTGTGTCCTGGGTCTCCTCCTAGTCTTTTCCCTCTGTGTCCTGGTCTCCTCCCTTTGTGTCCTGGTCTCCTCCTGGTCTCCTCGCTCTCTGTCCTGGGTCTCCTCATGGTCTCCTCTCTCTGTGTCCTGGGTCTCCTCCTAGTCTTCTCCCTCTGTGTCCTGGTCTCCTCCCTTTGTGTCCTGGTCTCCTCCTAGTCTTCTCCCTCTGTGTCCTGGGCCTTCTCCTGGTCTCCTCCCTCTGTGTCCTGGGCCTTCTCCTGGTCTCCTCCCTCTGTGTCCTGGGTCTCCTCCTAGTCTTCTCCCTCTGTGTCCTGGGTCTCCTCCTAGTCTTCTCCCTCTGTGTCCTGGTCTCCTCCCTCTGTGTCCTGGTCTCCTCCCTTTGTGTCCTGGGTCTCCTCCTAGTCTTCTCCCTCTGTGTCCTGGTCTCCTCCCTCTCTGTCCTGGTCTCCTCCTGGTCTCCTCCCTCTCTGTCCTGGTCTCCTCCCTCTGTGTCCTGGTCTCCCCCCTCTCTGTCCTGGGTCTCCTCCTGGTCTCCTCCCTCTGTGTCCTGGTCTCCTTCCTCTGTCCTGGTCTCCTTCCTCTGTGTCCCGGTCTCCTCCTGGTCTCCTCCCTCTGTGTCCTGGTCTCCTCCCTCTCTGTCCTGGGTCTCCTCCTGGTCTTCTCCCTCTGTGTCCTGGTCTCCCCCCTCTCTGTCCTGGGTCTCCTCCTGGTCTCCTCCTTCTGTGTCCTGGTCTCCTTCCTCTGTCCTGGTCTCCTTCCTCTGTGTCCCGGTCTCCTCCTGGTCTCCTCCCTCTGTGTCCTGGTCTCCTCCCTCTCTGTCCTGGGTCTCCTCCTGGTCTTCTCCCTCTGTGTCCTGGTCTCCTCCTGGTCTCCTTCCTCTGTGTCCTGGTCTCCTCCTGGTCTCCTCCTGGTCTCCTTCCTCTGTGTCCTGGTCTCCTCCTGGTCTCTTCCAGTGGGACATCCCAAACAGATGTCAGATAACAGTGTCCTGAATAGATCATAAATGTTTCTTCTAAACCAGGAGTTGTATGTGTTTAATAATTGCTACTTTTCTTGGTGTGAAATCTACAAAATGATGTTAAAGAATCTTGTGCCTCCTGAAAAATGATCTGTTTCTGGACTTTCTCTTTCACCTGTTTCTGAGGCGAACACAGTGTCAGCCGAGCATCGACCTTGTGTTCATAAAAGACATAGGGAGGGAGGGGGGGGGGGGGGGGGGGGGTAGGGGGAGGGGGTAGTGTCCTTGATGGTGTCTGAGTTACATAACAGTCAGCAGGAGGGGAACCCAAACCTCTGGCACCAAGCACCAGCTTGACTATGATCCATAAATGTTTACTTCTGATTGTTCTAATGCTGCAGTTGCTGATTCCTTTTGTGCTAATGTGACGCGGAGTTATTCATGGTTTAATTGGAGGTGATTAGAGAAACACATTTCCTGAAACGTTCGCATCTGGGATCGTCCCAAAAGACGCTCGTGCTGTTTACGCAGCTCGTTAGCGCCTCGTGCACTTGTGTGTGCGTGCGTGTGTTTGCCTCTGACGCGTCATGAGGACGCCATGACGTAAAAGGTCCTAGAGGAAGCACGGACTGGTTTGTCCTGTAACTGTGGAGGCATCTTTGGCAAAAAACCTTTGTAATTGTATTTAGTGGACTTCTGTTTTGGTGTGAGGATGAGGATGAGGGTGAGGGTGAGATTGGGGTGAGGGTGAGAAGATAAGATATACATTATTGATCTCAAAAAGGAGAAATGTACAAAAGCCAGTTCCCTGACCGGGAATCGAACCCGGGCCGCGGCGGTGAGAGCGCCGAATCCTAACCACTAGACCACCAGGGACTGCTATCGATGGGAGGGTGGGGGTTATCAGCAAGATGACGGTGGGGGGACAGCTGGGAATCAGCTCCAGCTTCAACTTTTCCTGATTCACATTCACGTGTGACCATCAGGATCGATAAACAGCAACATAACATCATGACTCAATATTTCAAAAACTCATAAATACTTCAAAAAATTCATAAAACATGTTCAGATCTTTCATAAAACTCGTCAACAATCTTCAGTAAAATACCAAACTTCATCAGTCGATGGTTCTCAGATATTGCTTTAAAAACAGTCTCGCACTTCTCCGTGTTGGTTTCTTCAGGCTGCATTTGTTGTCGAGCCATGAATTCTTCTGTGACATGTCTTTGAATCACACGTTTCAGCTTCAGTGTCCAGATTCAGCAATTCAATTCAGTCCAAATTATGTCCAAATTCAGAAATCCAAATTGTTCCAAATGATGTCTATGCAAAAGAGGACGATGGTGTTGTCCATGTCTCAGCAGCTCATAGCCTGACTGGAATCAGGGGCTGTGCAGATTGTCCAAGTGCTGATCCAACCATGGTTTCTCTTCAGGTTTTTCAGTTTTGTCTTTAAAAAAAACCCACATTTTGTGTAAAAATGGTTCCGTAGATGTTACAGACAATGCTGATGACAAAGTCTGGGATCGTGTCTTTAATTCAGACAGAAGACATGTTTTATTGTTGATGATAGACGCACGAACAAAGTGATAATATAGAATGGAGGAATGAACACTTCAGAAATCAAAACATGCAAATGTAAGAATGGTGAGTTTGAACTTTGACCACAGTTGCTTCAAAGTGTCATGAAATATCCAAAAGACCCATGGTGTAGAAGCCCCATGACTGTCAGCTGTCAGACTGTACAAAAAGTCACTTTAAGTCACTAATGCACTAGGACTGAAGCACCAGCTGCTATTGGCTCTTTTTGTTGAACATAATTATATCCTGCACAGACTGTATTTCAACCTTCAACATGTTTCACAAAATCTGAGTGATTCTATCTGTGGTGATGTCACATTTCTCCATCAGAGATCAATAAACTCTATCTTTTCTTGTCTTATCTTATGATTAGAATGGGTCTGGTGTGTGTGTGAATGGTTGGTGGTGGTGGGAGGGGCCAATGGCACAGACTGGTTGCCTCACTTCTGTCAGTGTGCCCCAGGGCAGCTGTGGCTACAGTAGTTTATCACCACTGAGTTTGAAGTGAAAGAATAATGATGTGAAGAGACTTTGAGCGTCCAAAAAAAGCGCTACATTATTATTATTATTATTATTATTGTTATTATTGTGTGGTGAATGGAGACCTATGGCCCACACAGGTGGACGAGTGCAAGACAAAGTATGAATAATATGGCCTTGTGGAAGCAACAAGGACTTTGTTGTTTGAGTTAACTGGCGCCTGGAGATGGGCCTTCTTGTGATGATATATATTGTAGCTGCGTTTCCTGTTCTTGTGATGATATATATTGTATCTGCGTTTCCTGTTCTGTCTGAAAATTAACTTCCATTTTGTGAATAAAGCAGCCAGCTGTGTCGCATCTGTTTTTGTCTGAGTCTCATTCTCCAAAATTGTTATGACAGTCACAACATGGCCGCTGCACTGTTACCACCGCGGGGCGCCCTCTAGCCTCCCCCCTCCCTCCGTCCCGGTCCCACCAGCATCCAACACGGGCGCGCGGAGGGGGGGGGCGGTGATGGAGGAGGCTGCGCGTGCACGGGACACTGGAGACGGGAGTCACGGTGCCACACGGAGTCACATTGCAGAAGAGCGGCTCGGAGGACACAGGACCCTGGGACGGACTCAGTGACGTCAGGACATGTTCAGACCCACGGGGGACCCACGCCACGTCCTCCCGCGCAGACAGACCCCTCACGGAGCGAGGACGTAGGACGCGGTTCTGGACCATGGGCAGCGGGGACTTGTTGTGACGCGGACAGGAGCAGGACGTGGATGCGGTCTGACGCAGAGGACGCAGAGGTGAGTGAAGTGCACAGTCATCGCGTGCCTGGCGTAAACACGTGACGTTGACTCCTTGTGGTCACACGTGTGGACAGTGACTTTCACCTCTGGCCAATCAGAGACTTTGGAGAGGTCTCTGTCAGGTTCTCATCACACACACACCTCATTGACTACAAACATAAATAGTAAAAATATTGTTTTAAAGGTAAAGAGGAAGATTTTAGGAAAGAACCGCGCTCTCCACTTTTTTAAACCAAACTCTCTGGTCTTATTGGAGTGTCACCAGAATGATTGACAGCTGGGAGGACCAATAGTCTTGGTGATCCACCCGGAATCAGAAAATAATGTATGTTGATATCTTTGATAATGAGGTTGTTTTAATGAGGTCTGAGAGAAGGAAGTGGAACAATCCTGGACCGTTTTATCTCCTCAATTTATTCTTTTATTGAACTAAATAACAACAGTTTTCTCAAAGGACAAAACCATTGAATTCACCAACACAGATCAGACTCAGTTCAAACATACAGAGACCACATGGTACTGGACCATAGGGAGAGACCACATGGTACTGGACCATAGGAAAAGACCACATGGTCCTGGACCATAGGGAGAGACCACATGGTACTGGACCATAGGGAGAGACCACATGGTACTGGACCATAGGGAGAGACCACATGGTACTAGAGGTGGGAACCTAAGGGTACCTCACAATAACGATATCACGATCAATATATTGGTCTGAAATATACAATATGCCAATTTATGGCATAAATAAAAGAAAAAATACACTTTATTTCATGATAAATGAAATGGAAATGCGTAATGTAGCAATATATTAAGTATTGATACCAATTTTAAAAAAAGAAATGTAAAAAATAATAATAATAATAAAATTAAAAAAAATTCAAAATTGATATCGATACTTGCTAAATGCATATCGATAATCGAATCGCAGGAGAAAGTACACCCCTACATGGTACTGGACCATAGGGAGAGAACAGATGGTATTGGACCATAGAGAGAGACCACATGGTACTGGACCATAGGGAGAGACCACATGGTTTTGGACCATAGGGAGAGACCACATGGTACTAGACCATAGGGAGAGACCACATGGTATTGGACTATAGGGAGAAACCACATGGACCATAGGGAGAGACCACATGGTACTGGACCATAGGGAGAGACCACATGGTTTTGGACCATAGGGAGAGACCCCATGGTACTGGACCGTAGGGAGAGACCACATGGATTATAGGAAGAGACCACATGGTATTGGACCATAGGGAGAGACCATATGGATTATAGGAAGAGACCACATGGTATTGGACCATAGGGAGAGACCATATGCTCTGACGATCTCTATGGTTTGCCAATGGTTTGTTCTCAAACTTTTCATAGATTTCTTTGTAATAAAAGAATCAGTAAAAAGCTGATCTCTCTGACATCAGACTCAGACCTAAAGTGAACCATGAGTGAAACATGTTTCCTGGTTCAGGACATGGATGTGCTCAAGGCACATAAGTCTATGATCCAAACAGAGATCAGTGAATCCAGTTCATGGTTTATAGACAATAAATGGGATTCTGTCTGTATCAGTCTGTATCAGTCTGTATCAGTCTGTATCAGTCTGTATCAGTCTGTATCAGTCTGTATCAGTCTGTATCAGTCTGTATCAGTCTGTATCGGTCTGTATCGGTCTGTATCAGTCTGTATCAGTCTGTATCAGTCTGTATCAGTCTGTATCAGTCTGTATCGGTCTGTATCAGTCTGTATCAGTCTGTATTGGTCTGTATCAGTCTGTATCAGTCTGTATCGGTCTGTAACAGTCTGTATCGGTCTGTATCAGTCTGTATCAGTCTGTATCGGTCTGTATCAGTCTGTATCGGTCTGTATCAGTCTGTATCGGTCTGTATCAGTCTGTATCAGTCTGTATCAGTCTGTATCAGTCTGTATCGGTCTGTATCGGTCTGTATCGGTCTGTATCGGTCTGTATCAGTCTGTATCAGTCTGTATCAGTCTGTATCAGTCTGTATCAGTCTGTATCAGTCTGTATCGGTCTGTATCGGTCTGTATCAGTCTGTATCAGTCTGTATCGGTCTGTATCAGTCTGTATCGGTCTGTATCAGTCTGTATCAGTCTGTATCGGTCTGTATCGGTCTGTATCAGTCTGTATCAGTCTGTATCAGTCTGTATCAGTCTGTATCAGTCTGTATCAGTCTGTATCAGTCTGTATCAGTCTGTATCGGTCTGTATCGGTCTGTATCGGTCTGTATCAGTCTGTATCAGTCTGTATCGGTCTGTATCAGTCTGTATCGGTCTGTATCAGTCTGTAAAAGTCTGTATCAGTCTGTATCAGTCTGTATCAGTCTGTATCGGTCTGTATCAGTCTGTATCGGTCTGTATCGGTCTGTATCGGTCTGTATCGGTCTGTATCAGTCTGTATCAGTCTGTATCGGTCTGTATCGGTCTGTATCGGTCTGTATCAGTCTGTAAAAGTCTGTATCAGTCTGTATCAGTCTGTATCAGTCTGTATCAGTCTGTATCAGTCTGTATCAGTCTGTATCGGTCTGTATCGGTCTGTATCAGTCTGTATCAGTCTGTATCGGTCTGTATCAGTCTGTATCGGTCTGTATCAGTCTGTATCAGTCTGTATCGGTCTGTATCAGTCTGTATCAGTCTGTATCGGTCTGTATCAGTCTGTATCAGTCTGTATCAGTCTGTATCGGTCTGTATCAGTCTGTATCAGTCTGTATCAGTCTGTATCAGTCTGTATCAGTCTGTATCGGTCTGTATCGGTCTGTATCGGTCTGTATCAGTCTGTATCGGTCTGTATCGGTCTGTATCAGTCTGTATCGGTCTGTATCGGTCTGTATCAGTCTGTATCAGTCTGTATCGGTCTGTATCAGTCTGTATCGGTCTGTATCGGTCTGTAACAGTCTGTATCAGTCTGTATCGGTCTGTATCGGTCTGTATCGGTCTGTATCAGTCTGTATCGGTCTGTATCAGTCTGTATCAGTCTGTATCAGTCTGTATCAGTCTGTATCAGTCTGTATCAGTCTGTATCAGTCTGTATCAGTCTGTATCAGTCTGTATCGGTCTGTATCGGTCTGTATCAGTCTGTATCGGTCTGTATCAGTCTGTATCAGTCTGTATCAGTCTGTATCAGTCTGTATCAGTCTGTATCAGTCTGTATCAGTCTGTATCGGTCTGTATCAGTCTGTATCGGTCTGTATCGGTCTGTATCGGTCTGTATCAGTCTGTATCAGTCTGTATCAGTCTGTATCAGTCTGTATCGGTCTGTATCAGTCTGTATCAGTCTGTATCGGTCTGTATCGGTCTGTATCGGTCTGTATCAGTCTGTATCAGTCTGTATCGGTCTGTATCAGTCTGTATCGGTCTGTATCGGTCTGTATCGGTCTGTATCGGTCTGTATCAGTCTGTATCGGTCTGTATCGGTCTGTATCAGTCTGTATCAGTCTGTATCGGTCTGTATCAGTCTGTATCAGTCTGTATCAGTCTGTATCGGTCTGTATCGGTCTGTATCAGTCTGTATCGGTCTGTATCAGTCTGTATCGGTCTGTATCAGTCTGTATCGGTCTGTATCGGTCTGTATCGGTCTGTATCGGTCTGTATCGGTCTGTATCAGTCTGTATCAGTCTGTATCAGTCTGTATCAGTCTGTATCAGTCTGTATCAGTCTGTATCGGTCTGTATCAGTCTGTATCGGTCTGTATCGGTCTGTATCAGTCTGTATCAGTCTGTATCAGTCTGTATCGGTCTGTATCAGTCTGTATCGGTCTGTATCGGTCTGTATCAGTCTGTATCAGTCTGTATCGGTCTGTATCAGTCTGTATCGGTCTGTATCAGTCTGTATCGGTCTGTATCGGTCTGTATCGGTCTGTAACAGTCTGTATCGGTCTGTATCGGTCTGTATCGGTCTGTATCGGTCTGTATCGGTCTGTAACAGTCTGTATCGGTCTGTATCAGTCTGTATCAGTCTGTATCAGTCTGTATCAGTCTGTATCGGTCTGTATCGGTCTGTATCAGTCTGTATCGGTCTGTATCAGTCTGTATCGGTCTGTATCGGTCTGTATCGGTCTGTAACAGTCTGTATCGGTCTGTATCGGTCTGTATCGGTCTGTATCGGTCTGTATCGGTCTGTAACAGTCTGTATCAGTCTGTATCAGTCTGTATCAGTCTGTATCAGTCTGTATCAGTCTGTATCGGTCTGTATCGGTCTGTATCAGTCTGTATCAGTCTGTATCGGTCTGTATCGGTCTGTATCAGTCTGTATCGGTCTGTATCAGTCTGTATCAGTCTGTATCGGTCTGTATCGGTCTGTATCAGTCTGTATCGGTCTGTATCAGTCTGTATCGGTCTGTAACAGTCTGTATCGGTCTGTATCAGTCTGTATCAGTCTGTATCGGTCTGTAACAGTCTGTATCAGTCTGTATCAGTCTGTATCGGTCTGTATCGGTCTGTATCGGTCTGTAACAGTCTGTATCGGTCTGTATCGGTCTGTATCAGTCTGTATCAGTCTGTATCAGTCTGTATCAGTCTGTATCGGTCTGTATCGGTCTGTATCAGTCTGTATCAGTCTGTATCGGTCTGTATCGGTCTGTAACAGTCTGTATCGGTCTGTATCGGTCTGTATCGGTCTGTATCAGTCTGTATCGGTCTGTATCGGTCTGTATCGGTCTGTATCGGTCTGTATCAGTCTGTATCAGTCTGTATCGGTCTGTATCAGTCTGTATCAGTCTGTATCAGTCTGTATCAGTCTGTATCAGTCTGTATCAGTCTGTATCAGTCTGTATCAGTCTGTATCGGTCTGTATCGGTCTGTATCAGTCTGTATCAGTCTGTATCAGTCTGTATCAGTCTGTATCGGTCTGTATCAGTCTGTATCAGTCTGTATCGGTCTGTATCGGTCTGTATCAGTCTGTATCAGTCTGTATCAGTCTGTATCAGTCTGTATCAGTCTGTATCAGTCTGTATCAGTCTGTATCAGTCTGTATCAGTCTGTATCAGTCTGTATCGGTCTGTATCGGTCTGTATCGGTCTGTATCGGTCTGTATCAGTCTGTATCGGTCTGTATCGGTCTGTATCGGTCTGTATCGGTCTGTATCAGTCTAAATCAGTCTGTATCGGTCTGTATCGGTCTGTATCGGTCTGTATCGGTCTGTAACAGTCTGTATCGGTCTGTATCAGTCTGTATCAGTCTGTATCAGTCTGTATCGGTCTGTATCAGTCTGTATCAGTCTGTATCGGTCTGTATCAGTCTGTATCGGTCTGTATCGGTCTGTATCAGTCTGTATCGGTCTGTATCGGTCTGTATCAGTCTGTATCGGTCTGTATCAGTCTGTATCGGTCTGTATCGGTCTGTATCGGTCTGTATCAGTCTGTATCAGTCTGTATCAGTCTGTATCAGTCTGTATCAGTCTGTATCAGTCTGTATCAGTCTGTATCGGTCTGTATCGGTCTGTATCGGTCTGTATCGGTCTGTATCGGTCTGTATCGGTCTGTATCGGTCTGTATCGGTCTGTATCAGTCTGTATCAGTCTGTATCAGTCTGTATCGGTCTGTATCGGTCTGTATCAGTCTGTATCAGTCTGTATCAGTTTGTATCAGTCTGTATCAGTCTGTATCAGTCTGTATCGGTCTGTATCGGTCTGTATCAGTCTGTATCGGTCTGTATCGGTCTGTATCAGTCTGTATCAGTCTGTATCAGTCTGTATCAGTCTGTATCAGTCTGTATCAGTCTGTATCAGTCTGTATCAGTCTGTATCAGTCTGTATCAGTCTGTATCAGTCTGTATCAGTCTGTATTAGTCTGTATTAGTCTGCAATGGTCTGCATCGGTCTGTAATGGTCTGCATCAGTCTGTATCAGTCTGTGTCAGTCTAAATCGGTCTGTGTCAGTCTAAATCGGTCTGTAACGGTCTGTAAGTAAGTAATCTTTATTTATATACCACCTTTTCACTGCAGATCTGAGTCTCAAAGCGGTTTACAATTGTAAAAATGTTTTTGTTTTTTTTGTTTTGGGCATTTGTCTCTCACTCCACACAGAGATGGGAGCGGGGCCAGTACAGGAGGCACATGCCAGAACTATTGTACATGTTTTAGTGGTAGGGGAAACCGGAGTACCCGGAGGAAACCTACGCAGACACAGGGAGAACATGCAAACTCCACTCAGAAAGGCCCTGGTGCGACCGGGATTCGAACCCAGGACCTTCTTGCTGAGAGGCAAGAGTGCTATCCACTCAGCCACCGTGCCGCTCTGTATCGGTCTGTAATGGTCTGCATCAGTCTGTAATGGTCTGTAATGGTCTGCATCAGTCTGTATCAGTCTGTATCAGTCTAAATCCGTCTAAATCAGTCTGTATCAGTCTGTAAAAGTCTGTAACAGTCTGTAACGGTCTGCATCAGTCTGTATCAGTCTAAATCAGTCTGTATCAGTCTAAATCAGTCTGTATCAGTCTGTATCAGTCTGTAACAGTCTGTAACGGTCTGCATCAGTCTGTATCAGTCTAAATCAGTCTGTATCAGTCTGTATCAGTCTAAATCCGTCTAAATCAGTCTAAATCAGTCTGCATCAGTCTGTATCAGTCTAAATCCGTCTAAATCAGTCTAAATCAGTCTGTATCAGTCTGTAAAAGTCTGTATTAGTCTATAACAGTCTGCATCAGTCTGTAACAGTCTGTAACAGTCTGTAACGGTCTGCATCAGTCTGTATCAGTCTAAATCAGTCTGTATCAGTCTGTATCAGTCTAAATCCGTCTAAATCAGTCTAAATCAGTCTGTATCAGTTTGTAAAAGTCTGTATAAGTGTGTAAAAGTCTGTATTAGTCTATAACAGTCTGCATCAGTCTGTAACAGTCTGTAACAGTCTGTAACGGTCTGCATCAGTCTGTATCAGTCTAAATCAGTCTGCATCAGTCTGTATCGGTCTGTATCAGTCTGTAACAGTCTGTAACGGTCTGCATCAGTCTGTATCAGTCTAAATCAGTCTGTATCAGTCTGTATCAGTCTAAATCCGTCTAAATCAGTCTAAATCAGTCTGTATCAGTCTGTAAAAGTCTGTAAAAGTGTGTAAAAGTCTGTATCAGTCTGTAACAGTCTGTAACGGTCTGCATCAGTCTGTATCAGTCTAAATCAGTCTGTATCAGTCTGTATCAGTCTAAATCCGTCTAAATCAGTCTAAATCAGTCTGTATCAGTCTGTAAAAGTCTGTAAAAGTGTGTAAAAGTCTGTATCAGTCTGTATCAGTCTGTAACAGTCTGTATCAGTCTGTATCAGTCTAAATCCGTCTAAATCAGTCTAAATCAGTCTGTATCAGTCTGTAAAAGTCTGTAAAAGTGTGTAAATGTCTGTATCAGTCTGTAACAGTCTGTAACGGTCTGCATCAGTCTGTATCAGTCTAAATCAGTCTGCATCAGTCTGTATCAGTCTAAATCAGTCTGTATCAGTCTGTATCAGTCTGTAACAGTCTGTAACGGTCTGTAACGGTCTGTATCAGTCTGTATCAGTCTAAATCAGTCTGTATCAGTCTGTATCAGTCTGTAACAGTCTGTAACGGTCTGTAACGGTCTGTAACGGTCTGTATCAGTCTGTATCAGTCTAAATCAGTCTAAATCAGTCTGTATCAGTCTGTATCAGTCTGTATCAGTCTGAATCAGTCTAAATCAGTCTGTATCAGTCTGTAACAGTCTGTAACGGTCTGCATCAGTCTGTATCAGTCTAAATCAGTCTGTATTAGTCTGTATCAGTCTGCATCAGTCTGTAACAGTCTGTAATGTCTGCATCAGTCTGTATCAGTCTAAGTCAGTCTGTATCAGTCTGCATTAGTCTGTAACGGTCTGTATCAGTCTGTAACGGTCTGTAATGGTCTGCATCAGTCTGTAACAGTCTGTATCAGTCTGTATCAGTCTGTATCAGTCTGTATCAGTCTGTATCAGTCTGTATCAGTCTGTATCAGTCTGTATCAGTCTGTATCAGTCTGTATCAGTCTGTATCAGTCTAAATCAGTCTAAATCAGTCTAAATCAGTCTGTATCAGTCTAAATCAGTCTAAATCAGTCTGTATCAGTCTAAATCAGTCTAAATCAGTCTAAATCACTCTGTATCAGTCTGTATCAGTCTAAATCAGTTTGTAACCACGTCACAGCATCTGGACCAGGACCAGGAGGATCCACAAGGGGCTTGAGCATCACCTGGTTCCTGGTCGATGGTGCTGAGACGGGGAAAGTGATTGACAGTTATCGATCTCAGGAGCCACAGAGCAATTAAAATAAACTCGTTTCAATCATCGAATCCAAAATGTTCCTAATTAGAAACTGAACAATGGCCTCGGTCCACAGTAACTTTACATTTGCTCTGGTTTCACAGAGTTCTCTCCAAACTCATGTCAGAGGAAAGTTTTAGATGAAGATGAACCTTTAATGGTTTCATCAACACCTTCTGAGTCACTCTGATTCTCTAATCTGTGTTGGAGAATCACGCATTTGTAAAGTCCTCTGAGAAAACTACTGTTCTGATTTACTACTTTTGTGTGTATCTGTGTCTGTGTGTGTGTGTGTGTGTGTGTGTGTAAGTAATGTTTATTTATATAGCGCCTTTCACAGACCAGAGTCAAAGCGGTTTACAATTGTTATTTTTGGGCATTAGTCTCTCACTCCACACAGAGAGGGGAGGGGCCAGTACAGGAGGCACAGACCTATTGTACATGTTTTTAGTGGTAGGGGAAACAGGAGTACCTGGAGGAAACCTACGCAGACACAGGGAGAACATGCAAACTCCACTCAGAAAGGCCCTGTTCCGACCAGGATTCGAACCCAGGACCTTCTTGCTGAGAGGCCACTTTTGGACCAAGGGAGACTTCTGGATCATCCTGTAAAGACGTTTTTGAGAGGAAAGAAGACACTATACAAAAGCATCGGATAATTCTCTTTCCGGGTACACCCCCACAGGCCAAGAGTGGTATTGCAGCATGTCAGCGCACGTGCTTATGGATGTTTTTGAGCCGGGACCCACCCACACTGATTGTGTGTGTGTGTGTGAGAGAGTCTGTGTCTGTGTGTGTGTGTGTGTGTGTATGTGTTGTCTGTGTGTTGTGTGTGTGTGTTGTCTGTGTGTGTCCTTCATTGACCTCTGGGTTGTGTGTCTGTCAGATGTTGTCCACAGCTCAGCAGATGCTTCAGGACAGTCGCACAAAGATCGAACTTATCCGTCTCCAGCTGCTCAGGGCGGCTCAGTCTGGTGTCCACGGCAACCAGGACCAGAACCAGGACCAGGACCAGCACCATGACCAGCACCAGGACCGGGACCAGGACCCTGGGGAAGCAGACACACACAACCAGAGAGGTAGGAGAAGCACACACACAAGTGTTTGGAGCAACTATATATATACAGTGCCTTGCGAAAGTATTCGGCCCCCTTGAACCTTTCAACATTTCGCCACATTTCAGGCTTCAAACATAAAGATATAAAATTTAAATGTTTTGTCATGAATCAACAACAAGTGGGACACAATCGTGAAGTGGAACGAAATTTATTGGATAATTTTAACTTTTTTAACAAATAAAAAACTGAAAAGTGGGGCGTGCAATATTATTCGGCCCCTTTACTTTCAGTGCAGCAAACTCAGTCCAGAAGTTCAGTGAGGATCTTTGAATGTTTGAATGTTGTCCTAAATGACTGATGATGATAAATAGAATGCACCTGTGTGTAATCAAGTCTCCGTATAAATGCACCTGCTCTTTGATAGTCTCAGGGTTCTGTTTAAAGCGCAGAGAGAACCATGAAGACAAAGGAACACACCAGGCAGGTCCGAGATACTGTTGTGGAGAAGTTTAAAGCCGGATTTGGATACAAAAAGATTTCCCAAGCTTTAAACATCTCAAGGAGCACTGTGCAAGCAATTATATTGAAATGGATGGAGTATCAGACCACTGCAAATCTACCAAGACCCGGCCGTCCCTCCAAACCTTCATCTCAAACAAGGAGAAGACTGATCAGAGATGCAGCCAAGAGGCCCATGATCACTCTGAATGAACTGCAGATAACTACAGCTGAGGTGGGAGAGTCTGTCCATAGGACAACAATCAGTCGTGAACTGCACAAATCTGGCCTTTATGGAAGAGTGGCAAGAAGGAAGCCATTTCTCAAAGATATCCATAAAATGTCTCGTTTAAAGTTTGCCACAAGCCACCTGGGAGACACACCAAACATGTGGAAGAAGGTGCTCTGGTCAGATGAAACCAAAATCGAACTTTTTGGCCACAATGCAAAACGATATGTTTGGCATAAAAGCAACACAGCTCATCACCCTGAACACACCATCCCCACTGTCAAACATGGTGGTGGCAGCATCATGCTTTGGGCCTGCTTTTCTTCAGCAGGGACAGGGAAGATGGCTAAAATTGATGGGAAGATGGATGGAGCCAAATACAGGACCATTCTGGAAGAAAACCTGTTGGAGTCTGCAAAAGACCTGAGACTGGGACGGAGATTTATCTTCCAACAGGACAATGATCCAAAACATAAAGCCAAATCTACAATGGAATGGTTCACAAATAGACGTATCCAGGTGTTAGAATGGCCAAGTCAAAGTCCAGACCTGAATCCAATCGAGAATCTGTGGAAAGAGCTGAAGACTGCTGTTCACAAACACTCTCCATCCAACCTCACTGAGCTCGAGCTTTTTTGCAAGGAAAAATGGGCAAGAATTCCAGTCTCTCGATGTGCAAAACTGATAGAGACATACCCCAAGCGACTTGCAGCTGTAATTGCAGCAAAAGGTGGCGCTACAAAGTATTAGCGCAAGGGGGGCCGAATAATATTGCACGCCCCACTTTTCAGTTTTTTATTTGATAAAAAAGTTTTAATTTTCCAATAAATTTCGTTCCACTTCACGATTGTGTCCCACTTGTTGTTGATTCTTGACAAAAACAATTATTTTTATATCTTTATGTTTGAAGCCTGAAATGTGGCGAAATGTTGAAAGGTTCAAGGGGGCCGAATATTTTCGCAAGGCACTGTATGTATGTATATATATATATATATATATATATATGTATATATATATATATAAAACTCACTCCACACTAAACTGTATCAATGTGTTACATTTTGGTCAATAAAACAAAAGTCCCGAAATGTCTGCAGCTGTAACTGTTGAATGTTCAGACTCTTGTTTTGTTCCTTGTTTGTCCAGTAGAGGGCGCTCTACTTAAACACAGATTCATTCACGTCCGTATTATTAACAGCTCCAAGACAGACGTTTTGGACGTAACAAAAGTGGACACAATTGTTACGTTCATCGGCAGTTATTGAATAATATTTCTTTTGAATAATGTAAAATCTCCAACCATTAAATAGTCTCTGTCCTGTTCTTTCTTCCGTTCACAAATCCTCCAACACGACAGATCCTAAATGTAACAATTATGTCCCCAAAGTTCAAAACCCTTTTTCTTGAAATAGTTTTAGCTGCCCTGAGATTATACTATGTATATACTGTATATCGGCTACATAGTATTAAAAAATGTTTAGGTACAAACATTTTTACTTCATACATTTATTTTATTGTCGCTTGAAGTTATATTGAGCAGTGGTACAGTTTAGTGTGAGCCATTTATATGCACTTGTCCCAGTACAGTATATTCTCCGTCCGCTCACACAGGCTGTGATGGTGTTCGTGCCTCAGCAGAGTCTGGGCTCTTTACTTTTATACTTTCAAAAATAAACATAACAATAATCATGACAATAATCATGACAATAAGAATGTTCCTGAAATCACAACAAAGTGCAGACATAGCAGAACATTCCAATCAGAGAAACCATCACGGAGTCAGAGAAATCACAAGATACAAACATTTATTTGTCTAAACCTTAAATTCCTCTTTCTTCTCTTCGCTCCAGCCGTAGTGCATTCTGCCTTGACTAGAATTACCCACAAACATATAATAGAGGTTCATTATCAGAGTCATGTGACGCGTCTGAAGCAGCACCGGTTTTTTTTTCACCTCAAAACCGTGAAAAACGACTCGTTCAACAGGAAAATGAAGAGCCGTGATTTCAACAAGAAGAACATGAAGTCTGGAAATAGCTCCAAGGTTAAAAATAACTCTGGGAGAAAATAGCTTTAGTGAAGCAGCCGGATATTGATTCAATGTCAAAGGACTTTCAGGACCATGAACATTTCTCTCTAAAACACATGGAACTATTGTGAGTCCAGGTCCAGTCCGAGGCCCTTTAAAGATGAAAAACAGGAAAATAACTAAATAAAATCAGAGGGTAAAGAGTGCAGCAAAAAATGTTAAATTCATCACTGTTGAAACCTAAAATCACGGGCGGCAGAGTGGTTAGCAAGAAGGTTCTGGGTTCAATTCCACCTCCAGGACCTTTCTGTGTGGAGTTTGCATTCTCTCCTGCGTAGGTTTCCTCCGGGTGCTCCAGAGAATGACAGCGCCATCAGGCCAGTTCTTTAAACCTATTTGATCCTAGGAACCATAGCTGAGGCCTATACTCTGCCCCATCCTCTGTCTGAGTTAAAGGTCCCCATAACTGTGTCTGAGTTAAAGGTCCCCATATCTGTGTCTGAGTTAAAGGTCCCCATATCTGTGTCTGAGTTAAAGGTCCCCATATCTGTGTCTGAGTTAAAGGTCCCCATATCTGTGTCTGAGTTAAAGGTCCCCATAACTGTGTCTGAGTTAAAGGTCCCCATAACTGTGTCTGAGTTAAAGGTCCCCATAACTGTGTCTGAGTTAAAGGTCCCCATATCTGTGTCTGAGTTAAAGGTCCCCATAACTGTGTCTGAGTTAAAGGTCCCCATAACTGTGTCTGAGTTAAAGGTCCCCATAACTGTGTCTGAGTTAAAGGTCCCCATATCTGTGTCTGAGTTAAAGGTCCCCATAACTGTGTCTGAGTTAAAGGTCCCCATAACTGTGTCTGAGTTAAAGGTCTCCATATCTGTGTCTGAGTTAAAGGTCTCCATATCTGTGTCTGAGTTAAAGGTCCCTGTGTCTGAGTTAAAGGTCCCCATATCTGTGTCTGAGTTAAAGGTCCCCATAACTGTGTCTGAGTTAAAGGTCCCCATAACTGTGTCTGAGTTAAAGGTCTCCATATCTGTGTCTGAGTTAAAGGTCCCCATATCTGTGTCTGAGTTAAAGGTCCCCATAACTGTGTCTGAGTTAAAGGTCCCTGTGTCTGAGTTAAAGGTCCCCATCCTTTGTCTGAGTTAAAGGTCCCCATATCTGTGTCTGAGTTAAAGGTCCCCATCCTCTGTCTGAGTTAAAGGTCCCCATCCTCTGTCTGAGTTAAAGGTCCCCATCCTCTGTCTGAGTTAAAGGTCCCCATATCTGTGTCTGAGTTAAAAGTCCCTGTGTCTGAGTTAAAGGTCCCCATATCTGTGTCTGAGTTAAAGGTCCCCATATCTGTGTCTGAGTTAAAGGTCCCCATATCTGTGTCTGAGTTAAAGGTCCCCATATCTGTGTCTGAGTTAAAGGTCCCCATATCTGTGTCTGAGTTAAAGGTCCCCATATCTGTGTCTGAGTTAAAGGTCCCCATATCTGTGTCTGAGTTAAAGGTTCCCATATCTGTGTCTGAGTTAAAGGTTCCCATATCTGTGTCTGAGTTAAAGGTCCCCATATCTGTGTCTGAGTTAAAGGTCCCCATATCTGTGTCTGAGTTAAAGGTCCCCATATCTGTGTCTGAGTTAAAGGTTCCCATATCTGTGTCTGAGTTAAAGGTCCCCATATCTGTGTCTGAGTTAAAGGTTCCCATATCTGTGTCTGAGTTAAAGGTTCCCATATCTGTGTCTGAGTTAAAGGTCTCCATATCTGTGTCTGAGTTAAAGGTCCCCATAACTGTGTCTGAGTTAAAGGTCCCCATATCTGTGTCTGAGTTAAAGGTCCCCATATCTGTGTGTGTGCAGTGATAACGACCATTGATCTATCTAAAGAGAGATTGTTAATTGCAGCTGAACCTTAACGATCCTTCTCTGTGTTTCATGTTCTAATAATGATCAAACGGTGAAATTTATGTTTCTATGACCTCAGGTTGATTCTCTAAGACCTGGTTACTATTTCTGTGGGATAACTACCATCCACTACTGAGCAGGACGAGCAGGAGGAGCAGGTGGAGCAGTGAGGAGCAGGTGGAGCAGTGAGGAACAGGTGGAGCAGTGAGGGGCAGGTGGAGCAGTGAGGGGCAGGTGGAGCAGTGAGGGGCAGGTGGAGCAGTGAGGAACAGGTGGAGCAGTGAGGAGCAGGTGGAGCAGTGAGGGGCAAGGTGGAGCAGTGAGGAGCAGGTGGAGCAGTGAGGAGCAGGTGGAGCAGTGAGGGGCAGGTGGAGCAGTGAGGAGCAGGTGGAGCAGTGAGGAACAGGTGGAGCAGTGAGGAACAGGTGGAGCAGTGAGGAGCAGGTGGAGCAGTGAGGAGCAGGTGGAGCAGTGAGGGGCAGGTGGAGCAGTGAGGAGCAGGTGGAGCAGTGAGGAGCAGGTGGAGCAGTGAGGAACAGGTGGAGCAGTGAGGAACAGGTGGAGCAGTGAGGAGCAGGTGGAGCAGTGAGGGGCAGGTGGAGCAGTGAGGGGCAGGTGGAGCAGTGAGGAGCAGGTGGAGCAGTGAGGGGCAGGTGGAGCAGGTGGAGCAGTGAGGAGCAGGTGGAGCAGTGAGGAGCAGGTGGAGCAGTGAGGAGCAGGTGGAGCAGTGAGGGGCAGGTGGAGCAGTGAGGGGCAGGTGGAGCAGTGAGGGGCAGGTGGAGCAGTGAGGGGCAGGTGGAGCAGTGAGGAACAGGTGGAGCAGTGAGGGGCAGGTGGAGCAGTGAGGGGCAGGTGGAGCAGGTGGAGCTGGTGCTCTGTGCAGTGGGTGCAGCTCTGACCCCCGACCAACCCCCTCTGATCCAAGATGGTGTCCAAATCAGTGGCTTGTGCTCAGTGGCGCCCCCCCATGGGGATCGAGAGATCAGCGGAACTTGCCCATATTTGGTCCTCCCGGTTCTGTACATGGACAAGCTCCCATGATGCTTTGCGCCAAAAACGAGTGTGTAGCTCTCATGCACGTGCACAGAGGGGCTCGGCTGCGATCTGACCAATCAGAGGGCAGCGTTCTCTCTGATCAGCAGCTCTGATTGGTCAGGAGTCAGAGCGGGAAGGAAATGAGCAGAGTTTGTGGCAGTAAAGTGTGGATTTAAAGAAAACCGAAGGATTTAAGAAGAAAAAAGTTCAGGATGACAAGGGACACTAACATCCTCACAAAATCTGACCTTTATGAAAGCTGTAGGTTCTCTGTCAGGTTCTCTGTCAGGTCCTCTGTCAAGTTCTCTGTCAGGTTCTCTGTCAGGTTCTCTGTCAGGTTCTCTGTCAGGTTCTCTGTCAGGTTCTCTGTAGGTTCTCTGTCAGGTTCTCTGTCAGGTTCTCTGTCAGGTTCTCTGTCGGGTTCTCTGTCAGGTTCTCTGTCAGGTTCTCTGTCAGGTTCTCTGTCAGGTTCTCTGTAGGTTCTCTGTCAAGTTCTCTGTCAGGTTCTCTGTCAGGTCCTCTGTCAGGTTCTCTATCAGGTTCTCTGTCAGGTTCTCTGTCAGGTTCTCTGTCGGGTTCTCTGTCAGGTTCTCTGTCAGGTTCTCTGTCAGGTTCTCTGTCAGGTTCTCTGTCAGGTTCTCTGTAGGTTCTCTGTCAGGTTCTCTGTAGGTTCTCTGTCAGGTTCTCTGTCAGGTTCTCTGTAGGTTCTCTGTCAGGTTCTCTGTCAGGTTCTCTGTCAGGTTCTCTGTCAGGTTCTCTGTCAGGTTCTCTGTCAGGTTGTCTGGAGAATCCCCCGCGCACATGGTCCTTCAGCTTCTCTAACACACTATCCAGATATTGTTATAGATCATGCCCCAGACACAGAAATGGATAAATGGGAAAAAGAAGGATGGATAATTATCGCCCTTTTACCATCGACTATAGAAATCATATCTGCGTAAACTCACCGTGATAAACTTTGATTCTAAATATCCGTCCATCTGTTGCAGGAGTGAGGGACTGTGTGGAGCCCCGTGTGGCCGAGCTGCGTCACTACATCCAGAGAGAAACAGACGCTCTGACTCTGGCCAAAGATGTGGTCCAACAACTGCAGGGCATCACCGCTCTGGACCGCAGCGCTCTGGACCAGGTCAGACCCACATAGACCCAGGAGTGAGGCTGTAGACCCAGGACTGAGGCTGTAGATCCAGGACTGAGGCTGTAGATCCAGGACTGAGGCTGTAGACCCAGGACTGAGGCTGTAGACCCAGGACTGAGGCTGTAGACCCAGGACTGAGGCTGTAGACCCAGGACTGAGGCTGTGTGTGGTCGATGGAGGGGTTGTGGCTAACGCTCTATGACCTGTGACCTCTGGATCAGGCCGAGTCCCGGCTCCAAGAGTCCTCTCAGAAACTGGATCTGCTTCATCTGTCGCTGGAGAAATATGTGAAAAACCTGACCTCGGACCAAGAGGAGAACCACAGCAGACCTCCTCTCTGCACCTCCTCCTCCAACCACTCCATCAGACCTGCCTCGCTCACTGGTAAGTCCTGGTTTTGGTTCAGGCCTGGAGAGAGAGACCAGAGAGAGAGACCAGAGAGAGAGACCAGAGAGAGAGACCAGAGAGAGAGACCAGAGAGAGAGACCAGAGAGAGAGACCAGAGAGAGACCAGAGAGAGGCCAGAGAGAGAAACTAGAGAGAGACCAGAGAGAGGCCAGAGAGAGAAACTAGAGAGAGAGACCAGAGAGAGAGACCAGAGAGAGACCAGAGAGAGAGACCAGAGAGAGGCCAGAGAGAGAAACTAGAGAGAGAGACCAGAGAGAGAGACCAGAGAGAGACCAGAGAGAGAGACCAGAGAGAGACCAGAGAGAGACCAGAGAGAGACCAGAGAGAGGCCAGAGAGAGACCAGAGAGAGACCAGAGAGAGACCAGAGAGAGACCAGAGAGAGAGACCAGAGAGAGGCCAGAGAGAGACCAGAGAGAGAGACCAGAGAGAGAGACCAGAGAGAGACCAGAGAGAGGCCAGAGAGAGACCAGAGAGAGAGACCAGAGTGAGACCAGAGAGAGAGACCAGAGAGAGACCAGAGAGAGACCAGAGAGAGAGACCAGAGAGAGAGACCAGAGAGAGAGACCAGAGAGAGACCAGAGAGAGAGACCAGAGAGAGAGACCAGAGAGAGACCAGAGAGAGAGACCAGAGAGAGACCAGAGAGAGAGACCAGAGAGAGAGACCAGAGAGAGAGAGACCAGAGAGAGACCAGAGAGAGAGACCAGAGAGAGAGACCAGAGAGAGACCAGAGAGAGAGACCAGAGAGAGAGACCAGAGAGAGAGACCAGAGAGAGAGACCAGAGAGAGAGACCAGAGAGAGACCAGAGAGAGAGACCAGAGAGAGAGACCAGAGAGAGAGACCAGAGAGAGAGACCAGAGAGAGAGACCAGAGAGAGAGACCAGAGAGAGAGACCAGAGAGAGAGACCAGAGAGAGAGACCAGAGAGAGAGACCAGAGAGAGAGACCAGAGAGAGAGACCAGAGAGAGAGACCAGAGAGAGACCAGAGAGAGACCAGAGAGAGACCAGAGAGAGAGAAACAGAGAGAGACCAGAGAGAGACCAGAGAGAGACCAGAGAGAGACCAGAGAGAGAGACCAGAGAGAGACCAGAGAGAGACCAGAGAGAGACCAGAGAGAGACCAGAGAGAGAGACCAGAGAGAGACCAGAGAGAGACCAGAGAGAGAGACCAGAGAGAGAGACCAGAGAGAGAGACCAGAGAGAGAGACCAGAGAGAGAGACCAGAGAGAGAGACCAGAGAGAGACCAGAGAGAGGCCAGAGAGAGGCCAGAGAGAGGCCAGAGAGAGGCCAGAGAGAGAGACCAGAGAGAGAAACTAGAGAGAGAGAAAGAAGTATCAACTTGTAGCCTCCCCTGGACCTTATTCCTTCTCGTCATCTTAGTCCAACACATTTTTCCCTCAAATATGAATAATTTAAGTCTTATTCTTCATTTCTGAGTCTGGTCGTGACTTTTTACCCAGACATGAGCAGAGCATACGGCGGAATAATCCTGGTGTAATCTGTGTTTATGGAGAGTTCAGCCAAAACAGACGGGACAGAGACAGCAGTGACGTAACACCAGCATGAAGAGGCCCATCATAATATTAATGATGGTCTCTCTCTGGTCTCTCTCTGGTGTCTTTCTGGTCTCTCTGGTCTCTCTCTGGTGTCTCTCTCTGGTCTCTCACTGGTGTCTCTCTGGTCTCTCTGGTCTCTCTCTGGTGTCTCTCTCTGGTCTCTCTCTGGTCTCTCTCTGGCCTCTCTCTGGTCTCTCTCTGGTCTCTCTTTGGTCTCTCTTTGGTCTTTCTCTGGTCTCTCTCTGGTCTCTCTCTGGTCTCTCTGTGGGCTCTCTCTGGTCTCTCTCTGGTCTCTTTCTAGTCTCTGGTCTCTCTCTGTTCTCTCTCTGGTCTCTCTCTGTGGTCTCTTTCTAGTCTCTGGTCTCTCTCTGTTCTCTCTCTGGTCTCTCTTTGGTCTCTCTTTGGTCTTTCTCGGGTCTCTCTCTGGCCTCTTTCTGGTCTCTCTCTGGTCTCTCTCTGGCCTCTCTCTGGTCTCTCTCTGGTCTCTTTCTAGTCTCTGGTCTCTCTCTGTTCTCTCTCTGGTCTCTCTTTGGTCTTTCTCTGGTCTCTCTCTGGTCTCTCTCTGGCCTCTTTCTGGTCTCTCTCTGGTCTCTGGTCTCTCTCTGGTCTCTGGTCTCTCTCTGTTCTCTCTCTGGTCTCTCTCTGTGGTCTCTTTCTAGTCTCTGGTCTCTCTCTGTTCTCTCTCTGGTCTCTCTTTGGTCTCTCTTTGGTCTTTCTCGGGTCTCTCTCTGGCCTCTTTCTGGTCTCTCTCTGGTCTCTCTCTGGCCTCTCTCTGGTCTCTCTCTGGTCTCTTTCTAGTCTCTGGTCTCTCTCTGTTCTCTCTCTGGTCTCTCTTTGGTCTTTCTCTGGTCTCTCTCTGGTCTCTCTCTGGCCTCTTTCTGGTCTCTCTCTGGTCTCTGGTCTCTCTCTGGTCTCTCTCTAGTCTCTCTCTGGTCTCTCTCTGGCCTCTCACTGGTCTCTCTTTGGTCTTTCTCTGGTCTCTCTCTGGTCTCTCTCTGGTCTCTGGTCTCTCTCTGGTCTCTCTCTAGTCTCTCTCTGGTCTCTCTCTGGCCTCTCACTGGTCTCTCTTTGGTCTTTCTCTGGTCTCTCTCTGGTCTCTGGTCTCTCTCTAGTCTCTCTCTGGTCTCTCTCTGGCCTCTCACTGGTCTCTCACTGGTCTCTCTTTGGTCTTTCTCTGGTCTCTCTCTGGTCTCTCTCTGGTATCTCTCTGGTCTTTCTCTGGTCTCTCTCTGGCCTCTCTCTGGCCTCTCTCTGGTCTCTTTCTAGTCTCTGGTCTCTCTCTGTTCTCTCTCTGGTCTCTCTTTGGTCTTTCTCTGGTCTCTCTCTCTGGTCTCTCTCTGGTCTTTCTCTGGTCTTTCTCTGGTCTCTCTCTGGTCTCTCTCTGGTCTCTTTCTGGTCTCTCTCTGGTCTCTCTGGTCTCTCTCTGGTCTCTCTCTGGTCTCTCTCTGGTCTCTTTCTAGTCTCTGGTCTCTCTCTGGTCTCTCTCTGGTCTCTCTGGTCTCTCTCTGGTCTCTCTCTGGTCTCTCTCTGGTCTCTCTCTGGTCTCTCTGGTCTCTCTCTGGTCTCTCTCTGGCCTCTCTCTGGCCTCTCTCTGGTCTCTTTCTAGTCTCTGGTCTCTCTCTGGTCTCTCTCTGGTCTCTCTGGTCTCTCTCTGGTCTCTCTCTCTCTGGTCTTTCTCTGGTCTCTCTCTGGCCTCTCTCCTGGCCTCTCTCTGGTCTCTTTCTAGTCTCTGGTCTCTCTCTGGTCTCTCTCTGGTCTCTCTGGTCTCTCTCTGGTCTCTCTCTCTCTGGTCTCTCTCTGGCCTCTCTCTGGTCTCTCTCTGGTCTCTCTCTGGTCTCTCTCTGGTCTCTCTCTGGTCTCTCTCTGGTTTGTACCTTTCTGAGTGCTACGATGGCATGTTATACTTCATAATAATTCATCAAAAACCTTCCTCTGTCCATAACTCCTTCTTTAGCTTCAGTCCGGCTTTGGTTCGGTCCAAGCAAGAATTTAAATCTAAAGAAAGACATTTTCAAAATCTAAACATAATAACATTTTCTCAACGTATGTTAAAACAAAAATCAGGCAAAAATACTAAAGATGACGTGCCCAGAATCCGTGAGGAGTAGTGGCTCCACGCTGAGCTTCTGGCCGTGTCATGACTTTTTACCCAGACATGAGACTTGGTACGCGGACAATAATCCCAGTGTAATCTGCGTCTGAGTATTTATTACTTAAATATTCTTGCACAAGAGTGTAGTACATCTGTATTTATCTCCAGATAGATACACACATGTGCGTAAGTTTATACTGTTTCTTTATTCAGCTAAAAGTACAGAGTCATGCTTAATATTCACTGATCTTTATCTGTGTGTGTGTGTGTGTGTTTCTCTGTGTGTGTGTCTGCCTGTGTGACCACGCCCCCCGTGTGTGTGTCTGTGTGTGTGTGTGTCTGTGTGTCTGTGTGTGTTTCTGTGTGTGTGTGTGTGTCTGTGTGTGTGTGCGTCTGTGTGTGTGTCTGTGTGTGTTTGTGTGTGTGTGTCTGTGTGTGTGTTTGTGTGTGTCTGTGTGTGTGTGTGTGTGTGTATGTTTCTCTGTGTGTGTCTGTGTGTGTGTGTGTGTCTGTGTGTGTGTTTGTGTGTGTGTGTGTCTGTGTGTCTGTGTGTGTCTGCCTATGTGTCTGTGTGTGTGTGTGTGTGTTTCTCTGTGTGTGTCTGTGTGTGTGTGTGTGTCTGTGTGTGTGTTTGTGTGTGTGTGTGTCTGTGTGTCTGTGTGTGTCTGCCTATGTGTCTGTGTGTGTGTGTGTATGTTTCTCTGTGTGTGTCTGTGTGTGTGTGTGTATGTTTCTCTGTGTGTGTCTGTGTGTGTGTTTGTGTGTGTGTGTGTCTGTGTGTCTGTGTGTGTCTGCCTATGTGTCTGTGTGTGTGTGTGTGTGTTTCTCTGTGTGTGTCTGTGTGTGTTTGTCCAGGGAAACTTGAAGTCTCGCTGCTCGGATGTGAGGGTTTACTGGAGCCCGCCTTAAATTCACTTCAGCAAACGACCTCTGAACCTGGAACCTTCCAAACCGGTCAGTCACAACCATGGATCTATAATAATATCTGGATAGGGTATGTCCCGCCTATGGCCACAGGGGGCGCTGTGGTACTGCACACTACATTCACGTGGGCTACACAGAAAAATGGTCTTAGAACTCAATGTAAACTAAAACAGCTCCACCTCAGCTGACAGAGAACCTGACAGAGAACCTGACAGAGAACCTGACAGAGAACCCGACAGAGAACCCGACAGAGAACCCGACAGAGAACCCGACAGAGAACCCGACAGAGAACCCGACAGAGAACCCGACAGAGAATCCGACAGAGTACCTGACAGAGAACCCGACAGAGAACCCGACAGAGAACCCGACAGAGAACCTGACAGAGAACCCGGCAGAGAACCCGGCAGAGAACCCGGCAGAGAACCCGGCAGAGAACCCGACAGAGAACCCGACAGAGAACCCGACAGAGAACCCGACAGAGAACCCGACAGAGAACCCGACAGAGAACCCGACAGAGAACCCGACAGAGAACCCGACAGAGAATCCGACAGAGTACCTGACAGAGAACCCGACAGAGAACCCGACAGAGAACCCGACAGAGAACCTGACAGAGAACCTGACAGAGAACCCGGCAGAGAACCCGGCAGAGAACCCGGCAGAGAACCCGGCAGAGAACCCGACAGAGAACCCGACAGAGAACCCGACAGAGAACCCGACAGAGAACCCGACAGAGAACCTGACAGAGAACCCGACAGAGAACCCGACAGAGAACCCGACAGAGAACCCGACAGAGAACCCGACAGAGAGCCCGACAGAGAACCCGACAGAGAACCCAACAGAGAACCCGACAGAGAACCCGACAGAGAACCCGGCAGAGAACCCGGCAGAGAACCCGACAGAGAACCCGACAGAGAACCCGACAGAGAACTTGACAGAGAACCCGACAGAGAACCCGACAGAGAACCCGACAGAGAACCCGACAGAGAACCCGACAGAGAACCTGACAGAGAACCCGACAGAGAACCCGAGTGATGGAAAACCATGTAGTTGTATCTTTCGGCCAGTAGGGGGCAGTGGAACAACACGACACACACAAGCCCCAGCAGTAGAACCACTTCCTCAACAACATCCTCCTCAGGCCAAAGACGGGAAAGAACCAACATCAGAGAGACCAGAGAGAGAACAGAGAGAGACCAGAGAGAGAGACCAGAGAGAGAACAGAGAGAGACCAGAGAGAGAACAGAGAGAGACCAGAGAGAGAGACCAGAGAGAGAACAGAGAGAGACCAGAAAGAGAGACCAGAGAGAGAACAGAGAGAGACCAGAGAGAGACCAGAGAGAGAGACCAGAGAGAGAGACCAGAGAGAGAGACCAGAGAGAGACCAGAGAGAGACCAGAGAGAGAGAGACCAGAGAGAGAAAGACCAGAGAGAGACCAGAGAGAGACCAGAGAGAGACCAGAGAGAGAGACTAGAGAGAGACCAGAGAGAGAGAGAAAGACCAGAGAGAGACCAGAGAGAGACCAGAGAGAGACCAGAGAGAGACCAGAGAGAGAGACCAGAGAGAGACCAGAGAGAGAGAGAAAGACCAGAGAGAGACCAGAGAGAGACCAGAGAGAGACCAGAGAGAGAGACCAGAGAGAGAGAGAAAGACCAGAGAGAGACCAGAGAGAGACCAGAGAGAGACCAGAGAGAGACCAGAGAGAGAGACCAGAGAGAGAGACCAGAGAGAGAGACCAGAGAGAGACCAGAGAGAGAGAGACCAGAGAGAGAAAGACCAGAGAGAGACCAGAGAGAGAGACCAGAGAGAGAGAGACCAGAGAGAGAGAGAGAGAGCAGAGAGAGAGACCAGAGAGAGAGACCAGAGAGAGAGAGACCAGAGAGAGAGAGTCCAGAGAGAGAGACCAGAGAGAGACCAGAGAGAGAGAGACCAGAGAGAGAGACCAGAGAGACCAGAGAGAGAGACCAGAGAGAGACCAGAGAGAGAGACCAGAGAGAGAGAGACCAGAGAGAGACCTTTCACAGTCGCAGGTTCTCTGTATAAACGTGGCTCTCTGACGACACAATCATTTAACTCAGAAACAGAACTTACAGATGGTGTAACGATGGTGTGACCGTGGTGTGACGCTGGTGTTGCTGGTGTTGCTGGTGTTGCAGTGCTGCGGCTGGACGGCAGAGTGGTCGGCCGGACGCCGTGGGCCTCCGCCGGGAAACTGACCTGGGATCAGCACTTCTGTGTGCAGCTGCAGCGGGTGAGGACCAGTCTAAGGCGCTTTCAGACCGGACTAGTGTATAGTCTCTCTCTGGTCTCTCTCTGGTCTCTCTCTGGTCTCTCTCTTTGGTCTCTCTCTGGTCTCTCTCTGGTCTCTCTCTGGTCTCTCTCTCTGGTCTCTTTCTCTGGTCTCTCTCTCTGGTCTCTCTCTCTGGTCTCTCTCTTTGGTCTCTCTCTGGTCTCTCTCTGGTCTCTCTCTCTGGTCTCTCTCTCTGGTCTCTCTCTGGTCTCTCTCTTTGGTCTCTCTCTGGTCTCTCTCTGGTCTCTCTCTCTGGTCTCTCTCTGGTCTCTCTCTTTGGTCTCTCTCTGGTCTCTCGCTGGTCTCTCTCTCTGGTCTCTCTCTCTGGTCTCTCTCTCTGGTCTCTCTCTTTGGTCTCTCTCTGGTCTCTCTCTGGTCTCTCTCTCTGGTCTCTCTCTGGTCTCTCTCTGGTCTCTCTCTTTGGTCTCTCTCTGGTCTCTCTCTCTGGTCTCTCTCTCTGGTCTCTCTCTGGTCTCTCTCTTTGGTCTCTCTCTGGTTTCTCTCTGGTCTCTCTCTCTTTGGTCTCTCTCTGGTCTCTCTCTGGTCTCTCTCTGGTCTCTCTCTCTGGTCTCTCTCTCTGGTCTCTCTCTTTGGTCTCTCTCTGGTCTCTCTCTTTGGTCTCTCTCTGGTCTCTCTCTGGTCTCTCTCTGGTCTCTCTCTGGTCTCTCTCTGGTCTCTCTCTGCTCTCTCTCTGGTCTCTCTCTGGTCTCTCTCTCTGGTCTCTCTCTGGTCTCTCTCTTTGGTCTCTCTCTGGTCTCTCTCTTTGGTCTCTCTCTGGTCTCTCTCTTTGGTCTCTCTCTGGTCTCTCTCTGGTCTTTCTTTAAATGTTGTCTAAAAGTATGACACTATGTGTGTGTGTGTGTCTTGTGTCTGACATGTGTGTGTCTTGTGTCTGACATGTGTGTGTCTTGTGTCTGACATGTGTGTGTTGTGTGTCAGTCCCGGGAGCTGGAGGTGTGTGTGTTCGGCCGTGAGTCTCGGACCATGTGTGCGCTGAAGATTGTGCGTCTGGAGGATGTGATGGACACGAAGGAGCTGCAGACGCTAAATATGGAACCACAGGGACAGCTCCATGTGGAGGTGAGAACCAGGGACCATGAACCAGGGACCATGAACCAGGGACCATGAACCAGGGACCATGTGGAGGTGAGAACCAGGGACCATGAACCAGGGACCATGAACCAGGGACCATGTGGAGGTGAGATCCAGGAACCATGAACCAGGGACCATGTGGAGGTGAGAACCAGGGACCATGAACCAGGGACCATGTGGAGGTGAGAACCAGGGACCATGAACCAGGGACCATGTGGAGGTGAGAACCAGGGACCATGAACCAGGGACCATGTGGAGGTGAGAACCAGGGACTATGAACCAGGGACCATGTGGAGGTGAGAACCAGGGACCATGAACCAGGGACCATGTGGAGGTGAGAACCAGGGACCATGAACCAGGGACCATGTGGAGGTGAGAACCAGGGACCATGAACCAGGGACCATGTGGAGGTGAGAACCAGGGACCATGAACCAGGGACCATGTGGAGGTGAGAACCAGGGACCATGTGGAGGTGAGAACCAGGGACTATGAACCAGGGACCATGTGGAGGTGAGAACCAAGGACCATGAACCAGGGACCATGTGGAGGTGAGAACCAGGAACCATGAACCAGGGACCATGTGGAGGTGAGAACCAGGGACTATGTGGAGGTGAGAACCAGGGACCATGAACCAGGGACCATGTGGAGGTGAGAACCAGGAACCAAGAACCAGGGACCATGTGTAGGTGAGAACCAGGGACCATGTGGAGGTGAGAACCAGGAACCATGAACCAGGGACCATGTGGAGGTGAGAACCAGGAACCAAGAACCAGGGACCATGAGGAGGTGAGAACCAGGAACCATGAGGAGGTGAAAACCAGGAACCAAGAACCATGAGGAAGTGAGAACCAGGAACCTGCGTTGATTGTTCTGAATCACCATCGTCTCCTGGTTCTTATGTTTATGGTTCTTATTTGATGTTTTTTCAGTTCAATTTCATTGAGACGATTGTGGAGCGACAGCAGAAAGTGCGGAGACAGCGCTGCATCTTCACTAAAGAACGAGGTACAGTCTTTGTCCACCTGGTCTTTGTCCACCTGGTGTTTGTCCACCTGGTGTTTGTCCACCTGGTCTGCCTGAGTTAGACATTTATAATGCATGTGTTTGTTTGGATGGATGTGTTTCTGTAACTGGACTCCTGTAGAACTGTCTGAGCACAGGTACACAATCAGAAACCAAACACACAACAGGGTTCAGGGTCATCAGAGACACACACATGATGTTAGCACAGGTACATGATGGAGAGATACAGAGACACAAAGAGAGAGAGAGATACAGAGACACATAGAGAGAGAGAGATACAGAGACACATAGAGAGAGAGAGATACAGAGACACAAAGAGAGAGAGAGAGAGAGATACAGAGACACAAAGAGAGAGAGAGATACAGAGACACAAAGAGAGAGAGAGAGATACAGAGACACAAAGAGAGAGAGAGATACAGAGACACAAAGAGAGAGAGCGATACAGAGACACAAAGAGAGAGAGAGATACAGAGACACAAAGAGAGAGAGAGCGATACAGAGACACAAAGAGAGAGAGAGAGATACAGAGACACAAAGAGAGAGAGAGATACAGAGACACAAAGAGAGAGAGCGATACAGAGACACAAAGAGAGAGAGAGCGATACAGAGACACAAAGAGAGAGAGAGAGATACAGAGACACAAAGAGAGAGAGAGAGAGATACAGAGACACAAAGAGAGAGAGAGAGATACAGAGACACAAAGAGAGAGAGAGAGATACAGAGACACAAAGAGAGAGAGAGATACAGAGACACAAAGAGAGAGAGAGAGATACAGAGACACAAAGAGAGAGAGAGAGATACAGAGACACAAAGAGAGAGAGAGAGATACAGAGACACAAAGAGAGAGAGAGAGATACAGAGACACAAAGAGAGAGAGAGAGAGATACAGAGACACATAGAGAGAGAGAGAGAGATACAGAGACACAAAGAGAGAGAGAGATACAGAGACACAAAGAGAGAGAGAGCGATACAGAGACACATAGAGAGAGAGAGAGAGATACAGAGACACAAAGAGAGAGAGAGATACAGAGACACAAAGAGAGAGAGAGAGAGAGAGATACAGAGACACAGAGAGAGAGAGATACAGAGATACATAGAGAGAGAGAGAGAGAGAGATACAGAGACACAAAGAGAGAGAGAGAGAGATACAGAGACACATAGAGAGAGAGAGAGATACAGAGACACAAAGAGAGAGAGAGAGACACAAAGAGAGAGAGAGATACAAAGACACAAAGAGAGAGAGAGAGATACAGAGACACAAAGAGAGAGAGAGCGATACAGAGACACAAAGAGAGAGAGAGAGATACAGAGACACATAGAGAGAGAGAGAGATACAGAGACACAACGAGAGAGAGAGAGATACAGAGACACAAAGAGAGAGAGAGAGATACAGAGACACAAAGAGAGAGAGAGAGATACAGAGACACAAAGAGAGAGAGAGAGATACAGAGACACAAAGAGAGAGAGAGATACAGAGACACAAAGAGAGAGAGAGAGAGAGAGAGATACAGAGACACATAGAGAGAGAGAGAGAGACAGAGACACAACGAGAGAGAGAGAGATACAGAGACACAAAGAGAGAGAGAGAGAGAGATACAGAGATACATAGAGAGAGAGAGAGAGAGAGATACAGAGACACAAAGAGAGAGAGAGAGAGATACAGAGACACATAGAGAGAGAGAGAGAGATACAGAGACACATAGAGAGAGAGAGAGATACAGAGACACAAAGAGAGAGAGAGAGAGAGATACAGAGACACATAGAGAGAGAGAGAGATACAGAGACACAAAGAGAGAGGGAGATACAGAGACACATAGAGAGAGAGAGAGATACAGAGACACAAAGAGAGAGAGATACAGAGACACAAAGAGAGAGAGAGAGATACAGAGACACAAAGAGAGAGAGAGATACAGAGACACAAAGAGAGAGAGAGAGAGATACAGAGACACAAAGAGAGAGAGAGAGATACAGAGACACAAAGAGAGAGAGAGAGATACAGAGACACAAAGAGAGAGAGAGAGAGATACAGAGACACAAAGAGAGAGAGAGAGATACAGAGACACAAAGAGAGAGAGAGATACAGAGACACATAGAGAGAGAGAGAGATACAGAGACACAAAGAGAGAGAGAGAGATACAGAGACACAAAGAGAGAGAGAGAGAGATACAGAGACACATAGAGAGAGAGAGAGATACAGAGACACAAAGAGAGAGAGAGATACAAAGACACAAAGAGAGAGAGAGAGATACAGAGACACAAAGAGAGAGAGAGAGATACAGAGACACAAAGAGAGAGAGAGATACAGAGACACAAAGAGAGAGAGAGAGATACAGAGACACATAGAGAGAGAGAGAGATACAGAGACACAACGAGAGAGAGAGAGATACAGAGACACAAAGAGAGAGAGAGAGAGATACAGAGACACACAAAGAGAGAGAGAGAGATACAGAGACACAAAGAGAGAGAGAGAGATACAGAGACACAAAGAGAGAGAGAGAGATACAGAGACACAAAGAGAGAGAGAGAGAGATACAGAGACACAAAGAGAGAGAGAGATACAGAGACACAAAGAGAGAGAGAGATACAGAGACACAAAGAGAGAGAGAGAGAGAGAGAGATACAGAGACACAGAGAGAGAGAGATACAGAGATACATAGAGAGAGAGAGAGAGAGAGAGAGAGATACAGAGACACAAAGAGAGAGAGAGAGAGATACAGAGACACATAGAGAGAGAGAGAGATACAGAGACACAAAGAGAGAGAGAGATACAGAGACACAAAGAGAGAGAGAGAGAGAGAGAGATACAGAGACACAGAGAGAGAGAGATACAGAGATACAAAGAGAGAGAGAGAGAGAGAGATACAGAGACACATAGAGAGAGAGAGAGAGATACAGAGACACAAAGAGAGAGAGAGAGAGATACAGAGACACATAGAGAGAGAGAGAGATACAGAGACACAAAGAGAGAGGGAGATACAGAGACACATAGAGAGAGAGAGAGATACAGAGATACATAGAGAGAGAGAGAGATACAGAGACACAAAGAGAGAGAGATACAGAGACACAAAGAGAGAGAGAGAGATACAGAGACACAAAGAGAGAGAGAGAGATACAGAGACACAAAGAGAGAGAGAGAGATACAGAGACACAAAGAGAGAGAGAGAGAGATACAGAGACACAAAGAGAGAGAGAGAGAGATACAGAGACACAAAGAGAGAGAGAGAGAGATACAGAGACACAAAGAGAGAGAGAGAGAGAGATACAGAGACACATAGAGAGAGAGAGAGATACAGAGACACAAAGAGAGAGAGAGATACAGAGACACAAAGAGAGAGAGAGAGAGATACAGAGACACAAAGAGAGAGAGAGAGATACAGAGACACAAAGAGAGAGAGAGATACAGAGACACAAAGAGAGAGAGAGATACAGAGACACAAAGAGAGAGAGAGAGATACAGAGACACATAGAGAGAGAGAGAGATACAGAGACACAACGAGAGAGAGAGAGATACAGAGACACAAAGAGAGAGAGAGATACAGAGACACAAAGAGAGAGAGAGAGATACAGAGACACAAAGAGAGAGAGAGATACAGAGACACAAAGAGAGAGAGAGAGATACAGAGACACAAAGAGAGAGAGAGATACAGAGACACAAAGAGAGAGAGAGAGAGAGAGAGATACAGAGACACAAAGAGAGAGAGAGAGAGATACAGAGATACATAGAGAGAGAGAGAGAGAGAGATACTGAGACACAAAGAGAGAGAGAGAGAGATACAGAGACACATAGAGAGAGAGAGAGAGATACAGAGACACAAAGAGAGAGAGAGAGAGAGATACAGAGACACATAGAGAGAGAGAGAGATACAGAGACACAAAGAGAGAGAGAGATACAGAGGCACATAGAGAGAGAGAGAGATACAGAGATACATAGAGAGAGAGAGAGAGAGATACAGAGACACAAAGAGAGAGAGAGAGAGATACAGAGACACAAAGAGAGAGAGAGAGATACAGAGACACATAGAGAGAGAGAGAGATACAGAGACACAAAGAGAGAGAGAGAGATACAGAGACACATAGAGAGAGAGAGAGATACAGAGATACATAGAGAGAGAGAGAGATACAGAGATACATAGAGAGAGAGAGAGAGAGATACAGAGACACAAAGAGAGAGAGAGAGAGATACAGAGACACAAAGAGAGAGAGAGAGATACAGAGACACATAGAGAGAGAGAGATACAGAGACACATAGAGAGAGAGAGAGATACAGAGATACATAGAGAGAGAGAGAGAGAGAGATACAGAGACACAAAGAGAGAGAGAGAGATACAGAGACACATAGAGAGAGAGAGATACAGAGACACAAAGAGAGAGAGAGAGATACAGAGACACACAGAGAGAGAGAGGATACAGAGACACATAGAGAGAGAGAGATACAGAGACACATAGAGAGAGAGAGAGATACAGAGACACAAAGAGAGAGAGAGAGATACAGAGACACAAAGAGAGAGAGAGAGATACAGAGACACAAAGAGAGAGAGAGATACAGAGACACAAAGAGAGAGAGAGAGATACAGAGACACAAAGAGAGAGAGAGAGATACAGAGACACATAGAGAGAGAGAGATACAGAGACACAAAGAGAGAGAGAGAGATACAGAGACACATAGAGAGAGAGAGAGATACAGAGACACAAAGAGAGAGAGAGAGATACAGAGACACAAAGAGAGAGAGAGATACAGAGACACAAAGAGAGAGAGAGATACAGAGACACAAAGAGAGAGAGAGAGAGATACAGAGACACAAAGAGAGAGAGAGATACAGAGACACAAAGAGAGAGAGAGATACAGAGACACAAAGAGAGAGAGAGATACAGAGACACAAAGAGAGAGAGAGTGATAGATAAGATTAACTTTATTGATCTCACGATGGAGACATCTACATGTCACTTTCAGCACAGATAGAATCACCAGAAACATAGAGAGAAAGATAAGCCTCTTGGTTCAGACCATTTTCTCTGCTCTGGTCCAAAGTAAAATGCTAAACGCTTCATTAGCATTTTTCAAAAAGTTAGCATTCCTCCAGTAGATTTTCACCTGATCCTCTTGGTTCGGACTATGAATCCTCTCTGCTCTGGTCTGGACCAGTGTAAAACCATGAATCCTCTCTGCTCTGGTCTGGACCAGTGTACTGTAAAACCATGAACCCTCTCTGCTCTGGTCTGGACCAGTGTAAAACCATGAATCCTCTCTGCTCTGGTCTAGACCAGTGTAAAACCATGAATCCTCTCTGCTCTGGTCTAGACCAGTGTAAAACCATGAATCCTCTCTGCTCTGGTCTGGACCAGTGTAAAACCATGAATCCTCTCTGCTCTGGTCTGGACCAGTGTAAAACCATGAATCCTCTCTGCTCTGGTCTGGACCAGTGTAAAACCATGAATCCTCTCTGAAAGAGGAAGAAAAAGTAAAAAGTAAAGAAGCTAGTACTGCTTAATTACCACATGTTTAGACTTCCGCCTTCGTCAGAGACAGCGATGGTGTGACTGATCAGCTGTTGTTGCTGGATGTGGTCAGACTGACCACGCCCCCTCGGACTGACCACGCCCCCTCGGACTGACCACGCCCCCTCGGACTGACCACGCCCGCTCGGACTGACAATGCCCGCTCAGACTGACAACGCCCCCTCAGACTGACCTCGCCCGCTCGGACTGACCACGCCCCCTCGGACTGACCACACCACCTCATACTGACCACGCCCCCTCGGACTGACCACGCCCCCTCAGACTGACAACGCCCCCTCAGACTGACCACACCACCTCATACTGACCACGCCCCCCGCTGCATTTTGGTGTCTTGACATGGATACGAGAGGTGATTGAAATCAGAAAGCGGGGCGCAGGGACCATCAACAGAGATGAGGGGGCCTTCACCTTGGCTCACACTTGGGACTAGCTTTCTTTACTTTTTTTCTTATTAAAAGAACCTTCTAAGCCTTAAACATAAGACAATTTGAACTTTTTACATTTGTGTGTGATCCTTGTGTGTCTGTGTGATCCTTGTGTGTGACCCTTGTGTGTGTGTGTGTGTTTGTGTGTGTGTGTGACCCTTGTGTGTGTGTGTGTGTCCTCAGGTAAGAACTTCCTGCGTGCGGCTCAGATGAACATGAACTTTGCGACCTGGGGCCACGTCATGATGAGGATCCTGCCTCGATACTCCTCCTTCTCCTCCTTCTCCACGTTCAGCTCCTTCCACACGGCTCCAGAGTTCTTCACCTCCTCACACACACATCCAGACACAACAGACCCTCCCAACACACTGCCAACGTGAGTACACACACACACACACACACACACTCCACAACACTGCCCCCCTCTGCCCATCCCTGACCCGGTCAACAGCCTCCTCTACGGACTTCCCACCTCTCGTCTCCAAAAACTGCCATTCATCCAGAACTCTGCAGCCTCCTCACCCACACCCGGTCCAGAGAACACATCACCCCTGTCCTCCAGCAGCTCCACTGGATCCCGTTCAATATCGCATCCATTACAAACTCCTTCTCACAAACAAGTCCCTCCATAACCTGGCCCCGCCCCCTGCCTTACTGAGCTCCTACAACAACCCACCTGCTGCCTGCGCTCAGCTGACTCCAACCTCCTCACTCCCATCACCCGCACTAACCCTCAGCCCCAGCCCCACTCTGTCTCTGTCTCTGCCTCTGTCTCTGCCTCTGCCTCTGCCTCTGCCTCTGCCTCTGTCTCTGTCTCTGCCTCTGCCTCTGCCTCTGCCTCTGTCTCTGCCTCTGCCTCTGCCTCTGCCTCTGCCTCTGTCTCTGTCTCTGTCTCTGCCTCTGCCTCTGTCTCTGCCTCTGCCTCTGCCTCAGTCTCTGCCTCTGTCTCTGTCTCTGCCTCTGCCTCTGCCTCTGCCTCTGCCTCTGCCTCTGCCTCTGCCTCTGCCTCTGTCTCTGCCTCTGCCTCTGCCTCTGCCTCTGCCTCTGCCTCTGTCTCTGTCTCTGTCTCTGCCTCTGCCTCTGCCTCTGCCTCTGCCTCTGCCTCTGCCTCTGCCTCTGCCTCTGCCTCTGCCTCTGCCTCTGCCTCTGCCTCTGCCTCTGCCTCTGCCTCTGCCTCTGTCTCTGTCTCTGCCTCTGCCTCTGCCTCTGCCTCTGCCTCTTGCCTCTGTCTCTGTCTCTGCCTCTGCCTCTGCCTCTGCCTCTGTCTCTGTCTCTGCCTCTGCCTCTGTCTCTGCCTCTGCCTCTGCCTCTGCCTCTGCCTCTGCCTCTGCCTCTGCCTCTGCCTCTGCCTCTGTCTCTGTCTCTGTCTCTGCCTCTGCCTCTGTCTCTGCCTCTGCCTCTGCCTCTGCCGCTGCCTCTGCCTCTTCCTCTGCCTCTGTCTCTGCCTCTGCCTCTGCCTCTGCCTCTGTCTCTGTCTCTGTCTCTGCCTCTGCCTCTGCCTCTGTCTCTGTCTCTGTCTCTGCCTCTGCCTCTGTCTCTGCCTCTGCCTCTGCCCCAGCCTCAGTCTCATTATTTGAACTGTACATTAATAAATAAGTAATATGATTGTATTGTCAGGACCACAGATGGAATGTTGCTGATGCTGCCTCTTTTGAATGAAACCTGCTGTGTTTGTTTCTCTCAGTGACCCTCCCATCATCAACGTGAGCATCTCAGACTCTCCTGCTCCCAGCGGCCTCCACAGAGACCCGCACAGAGACCTGGACAGAGACCCCTTCAGAGACCCCCTCAGAGACCCCCACAGAGACCTGGACAGAGAGACCTCCTGTGGCTCCGAGCTCCAGGAGAACACGGTACCACACTGAGTCAGGGTTTGGTTCTGTTCTCTGGGAACATTACAGTCATTTGTAAACATCACATAAACAGCGACAGTGGCTCAGTTGGTAGAGTGTTGACCTTTGAGTCTGAACGTCATGGGTTCGATCCCCCGCAAGACCTTCTCAACTGACTCCCACTGATATCTGCTGTCGTTAACCCTACTTTGCCTGAAGCTTTCACTGTGGACTCACCACTTGCAGGAGGATCAGTGGTTTCTCTGATTGCCACCTCCCGACCAGGAAAGGGATTAAGGGGAAGAAAATGGACGGATAGATAGTAAATTAAGTATCAGAGACAGAAGCACATTTTTTAGCTCTTTGGATTCTCTGAAAATAATCTCACTATGATGATTGTTTTAGGATTTTAGACATTTTAATGGATTTTTTATTGAATTGAATTTAAAACTGAAGCTAAACCTTGTTGTTCCGTGTAAACAGTGAGGACTAGAACTCATGATATAACAGTTCTGAGAGATTTACATTTGTTATAATTGTTATTGTGGGTTTCAAAGTCAGGGACACCAGCTTTAAATGGAATGATCTGTATTTGAGGAACAGGTCAGAAAGGGATGTATGGTCTCCCCCTAGTGGACAAGAGAAGTACTGCACTCAGTCTATTCAACATTTCTCTTTGATATTGTCCAAAACTCGCTGAAAGCTGAAAATGCTACACTCTCTGGTGTCTCTCTGGCCTCTCTTTGGTCTCTCTCTGGTCTCTCTCTGTTCTCTCTCTGGTCTCTCTCTGGTCTCTCTCTCTGGTCTCTCTCTGGTCTCTCTCTGGTCTCTCTCTGGTCTCTCTCTGGTCTCTCTCTGGCCTCTCTCTGGTCTCTCTCTGGCCTCTCTCTGGTCTCTCTCTGGTCTCTCTCTGTTCTCTCTCTGGTCTCTCTCTGGTCTCTCTCTGGTCTCTCTCTCTGGTCTCTCTCTGGTCTCTGTCTGGTCTCTCTCTGGTCTCTCTCTGGTCTCTGTCTGGTCTCTCTCTGGTCTCTCTCTGGTCTCTCTCTGGTCTCTCACTGGTTTCTCTCTGGTCTCTCTCTCTGTTTTCTCTCTGGTCTCTCTCTGGTCTCTCTGTCTGGTTCTCTCTGGTCTCTCTGTCTGGTCTCTCTGGTCTCTCACTGGTCTCTGTCTGTTCTCTCTCTGGTCTCTCTCTGGTCTCTCTCTGGTCTCTCACTGGTCTCTCACTGGTCTCTCTCTGGTCTCGCTCTGGTCTCTCACTGGTCTCTCTGGTCTCTCTCTCTGGTCTCTCTCTGGTCTCTCTCTGGTCTCTCTCTGGTCTCTCTCTCTGGTCTCTCTCTGGTCTCTCTCTGGTCTCTCTCTGGTCTCTCTCTGGTCTCTCTCTGGTCTCTCTCTGGTCTCCCTCTGGTCTCTCTCTGGTCTCTCTCTGGTCTCTCTCTGGTCTCTCTGATCCATGGTTTCTGTGTTTACAGTCGTCTCTCAGTGATTCAGAAGGAACCGAAGACCTGCCCCTCACTGCTCTCAAGTAATCACTGCTTTGAATCATTTTTTAAGTCACATTTTTACACATTTTTCAACTTTGTGTGTGTGTCTCTGTGTGTGTGTGTGTGTGTGTTTGTTTTTGCAGGATGCAGAGAGAAGATTTCAGATACGTGTCTGTTTTGGGCAGAGGACACTTTGGAAAGGTTGGTTTTACTTCACACGCTTCATTTCTCTGGTGTCTCTCGCGGGGAGAGGTGGCGAGCTGGGGTGGCCATACTCACTGCCCCCATCTCAGCCGCCACGTGTTGGAGTTTTCCCCGGTGAATGAGAGGGTCCCCCCGCCTCCGGGTGGGGAACAAGTCTCTCACTGTTGTTGTGCCTATGGGCCTAACAGCAGTGCAGAGTACCCGGCCTTCTTGGAGTCCTTGGGAGGGGTACTGGACTGTGCACCACCCGGGGACTCCGTTATTCTCCTGGGGGACTTCAACGCCCATGTGGGGGACGCCGGTGACACTTGGAGAGGGGTGATCGGGAAGAATGGCCCTGATCTGAACCCGAGCGGTGTTCAGTTGTTGGACTTCTGTGCCAGTCACAGTTTGTCCATCACGAACACAATGTTTGAGCACAAGGGTGTCCACCAGGGGGCGCCAGGACCTGAGGCCGGAGGTCGATGATCCACTTTGTTGTCGTATCATCTGACCATCGGCCGTGTGTCTCGGACACTCGGGTAAAGAGAGGGGCGGAGGAAGCCGGTTCAGACCTGGCAGACCCAAGAGTATAGTGAGGGTCTGCTGGGAACGTCTCGCTGAGCCCCCTGTGAGACGGACTTTCAACTCACACCTCCGGGAGAGCTTCTCCCAGGTCCCGGCGGAGGAGGGGGTCATTGAGTCTGAGTGGACCATGTTCTCTACTTCTTGGTGGAGTAGTAAGGAATGCCGTCAGGCTGAAGAGTCCTATCGAGCCATGATGGTTTGTGGGACTCCTTGGCAGCTGTCCAGCCCTGGTAGGCCAAGCGTTGCAGAGGCAAAAACCCGGGAATGATTGCTGTGTTTTATTGTTGTGTTGCTGTGTTTCATTGTTGTGTTGCTGTGTGCAGGTTTTGTTGGCAGAGTTTAAGAAAAAGGGGAAACTTTACGCCATAAAAGCCTTGAAGAAGAAAGAGATCGTGACCCGGGACGAGGTGGACAGGTGAGGATCAAAGGGATGAAGTGGATGGGTCAGTGAGGATCAAAGGGACGAGGCGGACAGGTCAGTGAGGATCAAAGGGACGAGGCGGACAGGTCAGTGAGGATCAAAGGGACGAGGCGGACAGGTCAGTGAGAATCAAAGGGACGAGGCGGACAGGTCAGTGAGGATAAAAGGGACGAGGCGGACAGATTGACTGATTCTGAAATGGGACAAAGCAAAACGATATTATAAAAACAGAAATGTCTCTCTTTGAAATGAGAAAATAATGCATTAGTTCATGAAATCAGACTAAATGACTTTGTCCCAATGAAGAATCTGGTTTTAACACAGAAAACACATATAAAAATACCATATTATAATTTACAAGTCTGTAGCATTAAAGGGGAGAGCGCGGTTTCTTTCCAAACATTTTGGAATATATTTCTAAAAAACCTCCAAGACAAAAACACTCAATTCAGGCTTTTATTTCCTCATATTTTATAATTTTTTGTAGTGTACGATCCCAGACTTCATTTGTTCAGTTCATTATAGAAACTCCTGTACCCCAGCTTTAAATGAGGCAGATAAAGTCAGGTACCCCAGCTTTAAATGAGGCAGATAAAGTCAGGTACCCCAGCTTTAAATGAGGCAGATAAAGTCAGGTCCCCCAGCTTTAAAAGTCCTGTACTCCAGCTTTACCTGCGTCTCACGTTTTCAGTCTGATGAGTGAGAAGCGGATCTTCGAGATGATCAATGCGTCCCGACATCCGTTCCTGGTGAATCTTTTCGGCTGTTTTCAAACCGAGGAACACGTGTGTTTCGTGATGGAGTATCTGCCCGGAGGAGACCTGATGATACACATCCACACGGAGCCGTTCAGCGAGGAGCAGGCCAGGTATACACACAGACACACACAGACACACACAGACACACACAGACACACACAGACACACACACACACACACACACACACACACACACACACATATATATACAAACACACACACAAAGGCCAGGTACACACATACACACACACACACACACACACACACACACACACACACACACACACACACACACACACACACATATATACAAACACACACACAAAGACCAGGTACACACACACGCACACACATATATACAAACACACACACAAAGGCCAGGTACACACATACACACATACACACACACACACACATACACCTACACACACACACACACACACACACACACACACACATACACATACACATACACACATATATACAAACACACACACAAAGGCCAGGCAGTGGCGGAGCCAGAGGGGTAGCCAGGGTGGCCACTGCCACCTCTAAAAATATCCTTGCCACCCCCAGTGCCCCCCTCGGAAGACGGCAATGTAATAATGTTAATCTTGAGAATCTTCCGCACTTTTTCCGCCAAAAGCTAAAAATTCCCACGGTTTCCCCCGTCTGTGAACGCACCCTGACTCCGTGTGGAGCCGGTGCAGTATGCTAATGTTTTGGGTTGTTGGACTCAGGTGTGCCCAAGTCGTGATGAAAACAAAGAGGTAAGTTAGCGATGCAGAGCCAACCGTTTACATTTGACACAAAGTATAGACACACGTACTGCAGCGCATTACTTGTTCAGTTTGTAGAACTTTTAGTGTGTGTATGTGTGCGCCTGTGTGCGCCTGTGTGCGTGTGTCAGCGTGCCAGTGTGTCTGCGTGCCCGTGTGTGCGTGTCTGTGTGTGCCAGTGTGGGTCTGCGTGCCCGTGTGTGCGTGCCTGTGTGTGCCAGTGTGTGTGTGCGTGCCTGTGTACGTGTGTGCGTGCCTGTGTGTGCGTGCGGGGTGCATGCGTGTGTATTTTCCATTATTAATTGCCCATCGTATCATTGCCCTCTTCCCTTTAGTGTAAACATGAAAAGAAAAGGAGGAAACATTGCCTACAGGCCTTTTTTTGTTAGGAAAAGGCTGTAGATCAGGATGATGAAACCTGAAGGTCAGACTCGGAGGCAGTATGTTTTGAGATGATGAGGAATTTGTTGTGTTGTATTAAAATATAGCTTATATAATTGAGTTTCAGAGAATGAGAGGGTGTCGCAGACAGGTGCAGGATTGTCTATTGGCAGAAGGCGTTTTTTCACACACAAAAAAAGAAACAAAATAGCTAAGATTATGGATGATGTGCAGTCGCTTGACCCCAAAATATTTTTGAAAGAAGAGCCCCTGTTTTCATTTGGCAGAACCTTTGAGTCAGATATAGAGGACCTTAAGCATGAAGTACATCAAACTAGGCGGCTTCTTGGGAGGAAAAAATGGATTAGAGAGTCCCTATTGGACTTCCTTGTCCTTTTGGAACGTTTGGAAAGTGTTTCATGAGCTTTTGAGGCTTGCAAAGATCTTTTTAATACCTGTCAGTACTGCGTCTTGTGAAATAAGTTTCTCTGCCCTAAAAACCATCTCAGAACTGTTATGGCAGATGATTGAGTCATCTTGGAATCCTCAGTGTAGGGTAAAGGAGGGCGGAATATGGATGAGTTTGTCAACATCTTTGCTGCTTTACACCAGAACCAAAGGATTTTGCTAAATTTGTTAAAAGAAAAATGTAATGCAATGTTTCAATTATGTTATTTTGCACTTTTTTGTTCAGACTACTATTTAAATACACTTTTTTGCTTTGTAGTTTCCAAGTGTGCTCTCAGTTCACTTTATATTAAAAACAATGACAAGATTAAGATTAAAATGTATCGTTTAGCCAGTTTTTGTGTGAAATAAAATTTTGGAATAGTATAAATGTGGACCCCTTAAAAAAACCCTTGCCACCCCCTGGCCACCCTCTGTTTAAAAGTCTGGCTCCGCCACTGAGGCCAGGTACACACATACACACACATACACCTACACACATACACATACACATACACACATACACCAAATCAGCTTCATATTGCGCAAAAGTTTACATATGTCTAAGTTTGTTTCCTTTTGAACTGATGAAAGAGAAGCCTGTGATGTTGATGCCACAGAGAGGTGGTGTGATAACCTGAGTTTGTGCTTCAGGTTTTACTCGTCCTGTGTGGTGTTGGCGCTGGAATTCCTCCATCAAAACAAAATCATCTACAGGTGATTATACTGAGAAACCTCTCCCTGTTCTGACTGTGTCCCCCTACAGCCTGAATGTGGAGAGAGTGAAGGCTGCTCCCTGTCCTGTTGAGAATCTGGTCTGAACCGTCAGAATGTGACAGTTCAAAACCACTCGATTCAAGCCTTTATGACCTCATATTTATCATGTTTGGCAGTGATAATGGAGTGTGCTCAGATGTTATTGTTCATACATGTTGTTGTTCATACATGTTATCGTTCATACATGTTATTACTGTATCTCCTGCAGAGACCTGAAGCTGGACAACATCCTGCTGGACAGAGATGGATACGTGAAGATGACCGACTTTGGACTTTGTAAAGAAGGTGAGGGATTTATCATATGCAATGCAATACAATACAATGTATTCTTGTATTTCCCTAAATCACAACACATATAGAACACATGTTGATAAATGTCACACATGTTGTAGAATTTTAAAGTGTCCTGGATCATCACAGTCCTTCCAGTCGGACACTAACTGCCCAACAGACCCTCCTGCATCAGAGGAAAAACTCATTAAAAAACCCAGTGGGAAAAAAGTGGAAAGAAATGGGAAAAAATGGTTTGAGAAAGGGATCCGCTCCCACGGACGGACGGGCTATAGATCCAGGACCTAAGCTACAGGACGTGGACCAGCGGCCGCTGAACGTGGACAGGTCCGGTGCAGGACTGAAGCACTCCCAGGCGGGTCGGGCGGGGCAGTCCGCAGGTGTAGATGGAGGATGTCGGGCTAAGAGGTCCCGTCATCGTACCATGAAACAGACAATGGGACAACGGGTGAATAGTAATGAACAAACTACAGTCAAAATCTTAATAATGCTAAACAGATAAAAGTAGATAAAAGTAAATATAAAATATTTTAAAATATATATATATATATATAATATAAAAATAAACGTAGGTAAAGTAGGAAGGAGGAGAGGATAGTGCTCGCTACACAGGTCTTTATAACACACAGGTCTTTATAACACACATGTCTTTATAACACACATGTCTTTATAACACACATGTCTTTATAACACACACGTCTTTATAACACACAGGTCTTTATAACACACATGTGTTTATAACACACAGGTCTTTATAACACACATGTCTTTATAACACACATGTCTTTATAACACACAGGTCTTTATAACACACATGTGTTTATAACACACAGGTCTTTATAACACACATGTCTTTATAACACACATGTGTTTATAACACACAGGTCTTTATAACACACAGGTCTTTATAACACACATGTCTTTATAACACATGTGTGTTATAAACACATGTCTTTATAACACACAGGTCTTTATAACACACATGTCTTTATAACACACAGGTCTTTATAACACACATGTCTTTATAACACACATGTCTTTATAACACACAGGTCTTTATAACACACACGTGTCTTTATAACACACTGGTCTTTATAACACACATGTCTTTATAACACACAGGTCTTTATAACACACACATGTCTTTATAACACACTGGTCTTTATAACACACTGGTCTTTATAACACACAGGTCTTTATAACACACATGTCTTTATAACACACATGTCTTTATAACACATGTCTTTATAACACACAGGTCTTTATAACACACATGTATTTATAACACACACGTCTTTATAACACACATGTCTTTATAACACACACGTCTTTATAACACACAGGTCTTTATAACGGCGGGGGCGACAGTAGCTCAGTTGGTAGAGCATTGGCCTTAAGGCCAGAAGGTCGTGGGTTCAATTCCCACCTCTGCACCTTCTCCATCGACTCCCACTGATGACTGCTGCCGTTGTGTCCTTGGGCAAGACACTTAACCCCACTTTGCCCAAAGCCCCCACTGAAAGATCAAAGGCTATGCTCACACTCAGAGAGCAGCCGTCCTCCTGTGGACTCACCACCTGCAGAGGGTCAGTGAGGGGCTGGTGCTATGAGACTTGGGTGGCATCTCTGACTGCCACCCCCCTGACCCAGAAATGGATTAAAGGGTAGAAAATGGATGGATGGAGGTCTTTATAACACACGTGTCTTTATAACACACATGTCTTTATAACACACAGGTCTTTATAACACACACGTCTTTATAACACACAGGTCTTTATAACACATGTGTCTTTATAACACACATGTCTTTATAACACACAGGTCTTTATAACACACAGGTCTTTATAACACACAGGTCTTTATAATACACAGGTCTGTGTTTTATCATCAGAATGTAGGTGTTAAAATGCTTCATCTGTGGATTTAAAGACCACCAGTGAATGAGACCAACGCGTGTGACCCAGACCAATTTGTGCGTGTCTGCGTGTGTGTGTGTGTGTGTGTTCAGGGATGGGTCACGGGGACCGCACCTCCACATTCTGTGGGACCCCAGAGTTCTTGGCCCCGGAGGTTCTCACAGACGATAACTACACACGAGCAGTGGACTGGTGGGGGCTGGGGGTCCTCATCTTTGAGATGCTGGTGGGAGAGGTGAGCAGCTGCACACACACATACGCACACATACACACACTTATATACAGATATACACACGCACACACGCATACAGATATACACACGCACTCACATATACACACACACACACGCGCACATACACACATACATACATATATACATACATATATACATATATACACAGACACACACACACACACACGTGCACACATACACACTGATGTTGGCTTTGTTTAACTTTTTATATTTTGAACATCCTTTTGACATTTTAAATCTTTGTGGATGGATAAATAAATAGTGGGTGGTCCTTTTCACTTTGAAACACATGTGAAAACTAACCCTAACCCATATTGTGTATTTGTCTAAATGTTGAAGTGGACATATCGTGTTTTCAAATAATTGATTTTTATATCTAAATCATTAATTTGTGGCCTATATAAAGCGTAACTGCAATGCCTGGGTCTGAGTCTCATTATTTGTAGCTCCACGGGCCTTTCTTCTACACCTGTTCTGAGGTGCGTCTGAGAGCAACCTGTTTTGGTGCTGTCTCTTTAAATGCAAATGAGGCGCTTTTGACCACCCCCCCATCCAGGTGACACAGGTTCAACTCCACCCCGAGCGGCCATTTTTGTAGTTTCTAAGCACAGATACAATTATCTCATAGAAACTTCTCATTACATCGCAAACATGAAGCAGTCCTTCCTCATTGACTGAAAGCAAATGTTAGTTTTCATTCTTAGTCCAGTCTTATTATCGACTCTTCTCTTTTTAGCTTTGGGATCAATGCGCACAGTCTATGATGCTCACACGCCGGTTTGACAGACACATTGACAGAAATGTTTTAATTGAATATTACTTATGCACAATTTTACAGCATTTAAAAACGTTAAGAACGTTTTTCCTTCTACAGAAGGAAAAAGACGCATGCGCCTCCGGAGCCGCAGGTTGCCGACTCCTGGTTTATACAGTATGTGGAAGCAAATACTGTAGTGGATCAGGATATGTGCAGTTTCAACAATAAAATAAAATGCAATAGTCTACATTACAAGAGAGTAATAAACATGTCTCAGAGTGAGGGAGGTGGACACAGACAACACTATTGTTTGTTACAGGGATGAGAATTGGTCAAAAAAGACTGAAATGCATATTGTCAGCCATTTGCTGGCTCTAAATCTGTTTAATTTGTTCACAACATATTACTTTTGGGCTCAAACATGAACTTTTAATGCAATGCAAAATGTAGGTATCAGAGCTTTATTTAGGGCGTTTAATCGCGCTTCGAGGGGAGAGGGGAGACGCGGACTGTTTCCTGCAGCAGTGTATTTATTGGGTGCACAGATTACTCAAAGACACGCATGGTCCTGTGCGCGTTTATGGTGTTGGGTACATGGCCACGATGAGGCTGCGCGCTCAGCCACAACACGGTGGAGCGGCTGCGAGCGGCTGGACGCTCACAGCCTCTCGCAGCCGCTGGACGCGGAAGCTGCTCATTACAAAGCGGCCGCAGATGCCCCGGAACACTGTGGCCGCTGAGGTGGCGGAATCCCGTTCGAGTACATACAGCAGGAGCCCCGCGGATACGCGCGCCCCGCTCCAACAATTCTCAACGGATTTACACTTCTCATAAACATGTGTTTTGTATGAGGCAGACGGACCGGCCCAAATATGGGCATCGACCCTTTGGGCATTGCCCGGTACGCCCGATGGCCAGTCCAGCCCTGTTCGCTGGCATCCTTGAGCTTGGACTACAAATTCGAAGTGATGCACAGTAGAGGAGGGCTGGGCCGAAGTGTTTTGTTAGACGCCCATGCCCTTATATAGCAGTCTCGCTGCAAATACTGTGACGTAATAATTCTAAACACGTAATAGAGAATGGCAAAATCAGAACGGGTTGAAAAATCTTACCTAAACAGAATATGAAGTGTTCTCTGCAACCCATGAAAAGACTGATTTCAACTTTTTTGCACTTCTAGAGGCTCCAACTACACAACATAAGGCATTTAAGGCACAAAAAGTGGATTTTTCATGATATGTCCCCTTTAAAATCCTAACACGAAGCTAACGCAGAGATAACATGGGGCCAAAGAAAAACAACACTACACTCAGGAAGAAATAAAAAGGTTGTTGAATTATTTAGCAACGGAGATGGACACAATCTATATCCAGCAGAGGGTTTTATGGTCCTGACCAGGAAAGTGCGTGTGTGTGTGTGTGTGTGTGTGTGTGTGTGTGTGTGCGTGCGTTGGTTGGTATCTTATATATGTTTATTATGTCTGAGTGACAGAAGGATGTGAAAGGGGAAGGCCCTGATGAACTTTAGTTCCTGCCTTTTTTGAGCTTTTCCTGAATATATACCATCCAACAGAACCTGTATCTTTGTGCTCAAACATAAATAAACAAATATGAGATCTAAGTACCAGACCATGAGAGAAATCCCCCGGGGCCTAGACGCTGGTGGTGGGATCGAGGAGAAGGTGAAGGAGCTGAGATGGGGAGGAGGAGGGTTGCTGCATGAATGAAGCTTGTTACAGGGCAATGCTTGACGCTGCCAGGTGAGGGCAGTGTGTGATTGACAGATGCTGTTGCCGTGAGCGACAGTGGGAGGACAGTGAGTTCTTAGTCTTCCGGTCTTGATTTCCTGGGCCTCTTCGTCCCATCACCTGCTCTTGTGTTTTGAATAGAGTCATGTTTTGCAGTACTTTAAACAGAACTTCCTTCTCCAGTCTCCGTTCCCGGGGGAGGACGAGGAGGAGGTGTTCGACAGTATAGTGAACGATGACATCCAGTACCCGCCCTGCATCCCTCCCACCGCTGTGGCCACTCTGCAGAAGGTAACGCTCTGCTGCATTAAAACGACTTCTATAACAAACAGATGAACCAAACCAGTGTTTTCTCAATTGTGGTTTTGACTTTGGCCTTCATTATCTGCTAATACTCAATATGAGGTGTGCCTTGAGCCATGTTTTTCCCTTATAATTATAGACAAAATAATAAATACGTTCAATTCTGTTATTTACACAGTGGCCCCTCGCTTTTGCGGCCTCGCTGTTTCGCAGATACATTGACATCAGATTTATTATTGCATAGAATCTCTTTTAAATGTCGTCTGATTTTCAGCTGCTGAAGAGAAACCCTTTAAAACGACTCGGTTCTGGTGAAAGAGACGCCAACGAGATCAAGGGAGAGAAGTTCTTTGAGGTAAAGTAGCGCCTCATGATACGGACTGACATTCTTACTGACTTCTGTGAACGTAGATGGAAAAGTAAACTCCTCCTGCTCAGAAAATATTTTGGGCTCGTTATGATCCTGGTGTCATGGATGTAGTGTTTTATTGGGCTTTTGACTTTGTATTTTCAAATATGAGGACTGACCAATCAGAGGCCTTCGTTCGACCACCTTAGCAACCACCCTAGCAACACATCTGCCCCTATTACTGTGTGAAGCTAACACAATGTGTCACTTATCAAAAATATTCAGCCAACTTGTCCTTCCACCTGTGAGAGAGAGGAGAGAAAGGGAGAAGGAGAGAGAGAGAGAGAGACAGAGAGAGACAAAGAGAGAGAGGGAGAGAGAAAAGAGGAAGCAGGAAAGAGGAGAGACAGAGAGAGATGCAGAGGGAGAGAGACAGACAGAGAAAGAGAGAGTGAGAGACAGAGAGAGAGAGACAGATAGAGAGAGACAGATAGAGAGACAGAGACAAAGAAAGACAGAGAGAGACAGAGAGAGACAGACAGAGAGAGACAGAGACAGAGAGAGAGAGACAGAGAGAGACAGTCAGAGAGAGAGACAGAGAGACAGATAGAGAGAGAGACAGAGAGAGAGACAGATAGAGAGAGACAGAGAGAGAGAGACAGATAGAGAGAGAGACAGAGAGAGAGACAGATAGAGAGAGAGACAGATAGAGAGAGAGAGAGACAGATAGAGAGAGAGACAGAGAGAGAGAGAGAGAGAGACAGAGAGAGAGAGACAGAGAGAGAGAGACAGAGAGAGAGACAGATAGAGAGAGAGACAGATAGAGAGAGAGACAGAGAGAGAGAGACAGACAGAGACCTTAAGATAAACTTTATTGATCTGACAACAGTGAAATGTACAGTAATCTCTGACCCTAACCCTTGTGTCCGGGCGCAGACCATAGATTGGGACGCGCTGCTGCAGAAGGAGGTCTCTCCCCCGTTCCTGCCGAGGATCAAAGCGTCTCTGGACGTGAGTAACTTCGACAGTGACTTCACCGCTTTGAGGCCGGAGCTGTCTCCCCCTTCCTCCCCCACCGCCCTCACCCAGGAGCAGCAGGACGCCTTCCAGGACTTTGATTTCTGCGCACTGCACGGGTGAGGGTGCAGAGGGGGGACGAGAGGCAGAGGTCGAGTAAGATGGGGGGGTGGGAAGGGGGGTGGCCCAAGAGGTGGGGGTCCAGGTTTAGCTTCACGAATGCTAGCTTAGCGCCTCACTCTAAAGACGACCCTTTAACTCATGTCTTCCAAACAGAACTTATTTTTACTTTTGCTGAATTGATTTTCATCAAAGGATTCCGTTGCAGTCGTCAGATTCTGATGCAATAAATGAAAGGCTGAAAGTTTGGGCACCCCCATCCATGTTTATTATTATTTTCCTTTTTTAAAATAATTAGTTGTTTTGGAAAAGAAAAGTCTGTTAGATTTATAAGTTATTTTCTCTGTAGCCTTAAAGCCGACTGTGGCTCTGTTTGTTTTGATGTTTGCTGATTGTTCTTCAAAAGAAATACTCGGATACTTTCCTCCATAAGAAACAAAGAGCAAAATATAAAAGCTTTGATTTCACTTTCAGTTCAATAAAAATATGATCAAAGAAGGTTAAAAAAGAACAAGTCTGAGAAAAACCTGCATTTGTCAAAAAGAGAAACATGTTTTTGTTTCTTTAAATCTGAATTTGCCAATAACCTGTGCTGCTTCCACATCAACTGGACCTGTGCCGGTTTCGGACCTGTGCCGGTCTCAGTTAGACCTGTGTCGGTCTCAGACTTAGACCCGTGCCGGTCTCGGACCTGTGCCGGTCTCAGTTAGACCTGTGTCGGTCTCAGACTTAGACCCGTGCCGGTCTCAGACTTAGACCCGTGCCGGTCTCAGACCTGTGCCGGTCTCAGTTAGACCTGTGTCGGTCTCAGACTTAGACCCGTGCCGGTCTGAGACTTAGACCTGTGTCGGTCTCAGACTCAGACCTGTGCTGGTCTCGGACTCGTGCCAGTCCCAGACTCACTGTGACAGACGCTCACTGCCTCGTTGCTTACGCTGCAAAAAGACTTTAAAGAACATTTGAAGTGGTTTAAAGAAGTGTGTCAGAAACAGACCTGGAGTCGTGTTTAGATCATTCCATGTTTCTCACAGTAAGAGCTTCACGTTAATGCATCAGTGCAGACTGTGATGTCACTGCTGTGATGTCACTGCTGTGATGTCACTGCTGTGATGTGACTGCTGTGATGTCACACTCACCCTCTGTCTCTAAAACAAAAGTACTGAGGATAAATGCAGTGAAGTGTAAATATTAAATCGTCAGAGGACATCCTTGTGTCCAAACGATCGAGTCTTTTTGCAGTGAAAGTTCTTCTGTGACATTTCTTTGCCGACTGTAAAAGTATTTTATCCGTGACAGAACCTGTCGCTGGAACAAAAGGTTCTGGAACATTCTCCTCGGATCCAGAACAATCCGTCGCTTCTTTTCACTCGTCACAAACGCATGAACTGTAGAAATATGTTATTCTGACACATGTAGAAGAAGCCATAGCTAATAATCACCCATTATATAGAAACATATATATGACAATAGCCATATTAATAACCAGAGAAAAGTGGATGTATTTTGAAATAGCAAATATTGAAAAAAACATAATAAAAATAAAATTAATTAATGTGCAATAAATAAAGTGTAGCTTAGCCTTAGCCCAAAGACACACGTCGTCTTCCATCAAGAAGCATCTGCTCAAAGTGTTTTTAAGGTTTATACAGGATCAGATCTGTGGCCAGGACCAGGACCAGGACCAGGACCAGGACCAGGACCAGGACCAGGACCAGGACCTGGTCTGAATGAGGGACGAGTGTAAACAACAGAAATCACATCACTACATCTTCTGCGATCAGAGTTGTAAAGGGCGGAAACTTTCTGGTAAATTTCTGTGGGAATGTTGGAAATATTCAGTATCTGGGAATGAGTTGTAATGTATTGAAATGGGTTTATAAGATTATCCAAGATTATCGACAGATGTTCCAACAGATGTATTTGGAAGTAGAACAAGTTTCCCATGATATAACTTTTATAATTCTCTCTGCATGTGATGGAGACATGGACAGGGCCAGTAGGGGGCGCTGTCTCTGCTCTCACTGTGAGCATGTGCCTGGGTCAGTTTGTTTTAGTCAAGATTCGGCTGAAATAAACAGTCCTCAACTTACTTAAATGTATGTAGGATTTTCTACTTCCGGGTGGATCATCAAAACTATTGGTCGTTCCAACTGTCAATCATTCTGGTGATACATGCTCGTCCAATAAGACCAGAGAGTTTTGTTGAAAGAGTGGAGAGGGCGGGTCTTTCCTCAAATTTGGGAAAATCCTTTATACCGTTAAGTTCCCAATAAACCTTCACTATTGAAAATTCCCAGTTTATTCCCATAAATTCCCGTGGACGTTTACATGTGATTTCTGTTGGAGGCTCAAAGTGCAACAGTAGAACGAAGAGAGCAGTCAATTTGACGGCTGTAAATCCTCGCCTCTTCTACGTTCTTGGTTTTCTGAACTTTGTGACTTTTCCTGTGTCTGTGTCGTTTATCTTATAAGTGTAGAAACCTTTTATTTTGGAAACCTAAGCAGTTACCATAGCAACAAGATGAAGCGATAATGTACATGAACTGAGTAACTTTGCTTCCAAATGTCAAAGCGTCATATTGACTGCTCTGAGGGTCAACATTATCGCTTTGTCCTGAACAGTTTAAACTGGACCCTTTGATCAGACTCTGACAGCTCTAAGATCAGAGATATTAAAGATTGTTCTCACTGTTGGCTCTGGTTCCAAACCCACGTCTGTAGCACTTTGTTCCAAACCCACGTCTGTAGCACTTTGTTCCAAACCCACGTCTGTAGCACTTTCTGTTCTGCTGCTTTGTCCTAAATGTACAAATGTAACCTCACGAATGTCTATATTCATAATAAAGTCATCACCATTCACCATGTCCTCTGCAATAAACATCTTTCTACTACATCAGAGATCGGTCCTTTCTTCAAGAGGGTCCTGGGGTTTGGGACCTGGCCCTGGGGTCTGGGACATGGGTCTGGGACATGGGTCTTGGACCTGGCACTGGGTCTGGGACCTGGCCCTGGGGTCTGGGACATGGGTCTTGGACCTGGCCCTGGGGTCTGGGACGGGGCCAATGTGTCCCCCTGTGTCAGGACCAAAGAGACTGAAGCAGAGTTTGGTTTAGTTTCATCTCACCGCCAGTGAGGCTTTTTGGGCTGACGCACTTTACACCAGTACAAACTGAAACTGTCCAGGAGATAATCACTAGTCTGAGTTCCTCCACATGCAGCCTGGATGTATTACCTCCTAGATTTCTCAAGTCAGTTCTGAGCAGTCTTTTACCTTCACTTACACAAATAGTTAATATGTCTCTTGAATCTGGAACATTCCCAATGGCCTTGAAAACGGCGGTCATCAGGCCCCTCCTAAAAAAGAGGAGTCTGGAAGCCCTGGCACTCAAAAATTATCGGCCCATTTCAAATCTGCCTTTCATGGGAAAAATTCTCGAAAAAGTTGCCTATAAACAACTTACAGAATTTTTAATAATCAATAACGCTTTTGATATGTTCCAGTCAGGGTTTAGACCCCACCACAGCACTGAGACCGCGCTAATAAAGGTAACAAATGACATTAAACTAAACACTGACGCAGGAAAAGTCTCAGTCCTTTTTCTGTTAGATTTAAGTGCTGCTTTTGACACTATTGATCATGGCATCCTCATTCAGAGACTTGAGGACTGGGTTGGTGTTGCTGGCACCGCCCTAAGCTGGTTTAGGTCCTATTTACAAGACAGAAAGTTTTTTGTGGAGATCGAAAACTGTACCTCAGACCACTTGGCCCTGACCTGCGGAGTGCCACAGGGGTCAATCCTGGGTCCTCTTCTGTTTAATATTTACATGTTGCCTCTAGGTCAGTTGATTCACAGTAATAATGTCTCTTATCACAATTACGCTGACGATACTCAGGTCTATGTGTCCCTGACAGCAGGAGAGCATGAACCAGTGGACTCGCTCCTTCACTGTGTCCAGCAAATCGGTGATTGGATGCAAAATAACTTTCTCCAACTAAACACCGACAAAACTGAAATAATTGTTTTCGGACCCCAGAAACAAAGAGAGAGCGTTATTTGTCACCTCCAGGCTCTCTCTCTACAACCCTCAAATCAGGTCAGAAATCTAGGAGTGATAATGGACTCAGACTTAAATTTCAAAAGCCACATAAAATCTGTAACATCAGCAGCTTATTACCACCTAAAAAACATTGCTAAAATTAAAAACATAGTGTCTAAGGCAGACTTGGAGACTCTTATACACGCTTTTGTCTCCAGTCGGTTAGACTATTGCAATGGCTTGTTTACAGGTCTCTCCAAACAGGCTGTAAAACAGCTGCAGTACATTCAACATGCAGCAGCTCGAGTCCTGACCAGAACTAGGAAGTACGACCACATTAGTCCAGTTCTCAGGTCTCTGCACTGGCTTCCTGTTCCTCAGAGAATAGACTTCAAAGCAGCTTTACTTGTGTACAAGTCTCTCCATGGTCTCGCGCCAAGGTACATCCACGACATGTTTGTGCCATATGAACCGACCCGGACTCTGAGGAGCACAGGGACTGGACTCCTGTTAGTGCCCAGAGTCGGTACTAGACATGGGCAAACCGCATTTCAGATTCATGCGGCTAGAGTCTGGAACCGTCTTCCTGAGAATGTGAGACAGGCGTCTACTCTGGCATCTTTTAAATCTAGGCTCAAAACAATTCTGTTTAGCTGCGCATATACAACTGAATGATTTTATCTTTTCATCTTTGTTTTTATCTTTAATCTTTTTAATGCACTGTGACTATTTATGATTTTAGTCCCATCTGTGATTTTAATGTTTAAAGGTTTTTAATTTTTGTGATTTTATTTTTAATGTTTTTAATATATCTTGTGCTCTTAATGTGTTTGATTTATGCATGATGTGATAGGGGATGTGAAGCGCTTTGCGTTGCCTTGTGTAGGAAAGGCGCTCTACAAATAAACGTTGATTGATTGATTGATCTGTGACCCATTCAGTCTTCTGTTCTGTTCACAGAAACCGTTGGAGCTCAGTGCTGCCCCCAGAGGCCTGGTTCAGGTTTACTTTGTGTTGTTGCCGCGGTAACGCGAGCATCACTTCAGGTTCAGAAGAACTGAAGGCTACGTGCACATTTGTAACTGATAATACTATAAACTACTACAGCAACTTCCAGAAACAGGTTTAGAAAGAGCCCTTTAAGGTGAATTCCTAAATATTTGTTCTTTACTCTTCAGGTGAACGTCTTTAGAGCAGATTTATCAGACAGAATGTGGGCCTCAGACCAACCAGTCAAATAGTGACTCACAGGGCTCTACACATGTTCCAGAAAAAAAAGAATTAGTTTGATTTTCTCACTTTATTCACACATCGTTGTTGCATGTATTCAAGAAGCATAAAATGGAAACTACCAACTTCAGGAAATCAACGTTAAATGTTTACAGTCGAAGCATTGGACTCACGTCGGTGGAAAACTGTAAAAATGCATTGGAAAGACTTTAAAGTGCTATTTTATATTAACATGTCTGTACTAAACTTGACCCTGGGACCAGATGTGTGGAACTGGACATGTGTGAAAGGTTGGAGAGTTGTTTGGACCCGTGTCAGAGTCCCATGAGGAAGAAACGTGTCACTAAGGTCTGGTTCATCTCAGACTCGGGTCACTTTGGGCAAATACCATCTACTTTGAGATCTTTTAAATCTGAAACATTTCCCCAAGTCCAGTGAAATGTTTTGTCAGAACAAAATCCTCGGTATAAAGAAGGCACCACTGAACGTTCTAAGTTCAGGGTGAATGAGGTTGCGTTTGTAGCTAGGGCTAACGATCTGGCTTTGTACCAATAATGACACCTTATCTTGGTCGGTCTGGGGTTCACCGACACATGTGGGAGGTGGGTCGGCTGCAGTCAAAGGCCTTAAACGTCCCATATTAGACTTTTAAACATCATTTCACTGCTGTTTGTTATTATCATTATTACTGTTTGCCCAAAGCAGAGACGCAGCCGTTCCAATAGCGCTCATGTTTGTATGTATTGTATGATCACATTATTATCACACATGTGTTTAAGACGGACTGAGACATGAAGATGGTGAAATATGGGACCTTTACGGCACTATTATAGGATTTCTACAAAGTTCAAATACTTTATACTTCTATCAACAGCTTCTGGCCCTAAAGACAACACATTTCTACTTTGCTTCAATATCGTGTTTTTATTAAGTGCTCTTTGAAGAAGTTTAATCTAACCAAACACATTCAGAGGTTTAGTCTGAAACGCCGTCATGAAGCCTCGAAATCACTTTTGTGTTCATTTAGATTTAGTTCTGACGGTTTTGAGAATCCTAGTCGTTCTGTGGTCATGGTGGTGTCGGAGCTCACTGGCGCCCCTGGTGGCCATGTGTGGTACTGCAGCGAGCTGGTGTCAGCTCACTGGCGCCCCTGGTGACTGTAGGTGGTACTGCAGTGAGCTGGTGTCGGAGCTCACTGGCGCCCCTGGTGGTCGTGTGTGGCTGTCTCCATCCGTCTGTACCAGTGTTTGACTTTGGTGTTGTTCATCATGTCTTCAAAAGCCTGCAGCCCCTCCATCACACGCAGCACTCCGAACACAGACTGTGGAGAGATACAGGGTCAGGGGCACAGGGTCAGGGGCCATGGATCTATAATAATAACTGGATAGTGTATTACTAGCTTAAAGCTGTCCCACCCACGGGCACAGGGGGCACCCGTGGTACTGCAAACTTCACATGGGCTACCCAGAAAAAAGTCCCATAGAACTCAATGTAAACTAAAACAGCTCGACATCAGCTGACAGAGAACCTACAACTTTCATAAAAGGTCAGATTTTGTGGGGATTTTATTGTCTTTTTTTCTTCGTAAATCCTTCGGTTTTCTTTAAATCCACACTTCACTGCCACAAACTCTGCTCCTTTTCTTCCCGCTCTGATCAGCTCTGATTGGTCAGAGCGCGGCTGAGCCCCTCTGTGCACGTGCATGAGAGCCACAGACCAGTATTTGGCGCAATGCATCATGGGAGCTCGTCCACTGCACAGAACCGGGAGGACCAGACGATGCCCAAATACAGGAGAGTTCTGCTAATCTCCCAGTCTCTGTGAAGTAGACCGATATGTGGATATAAACTGGTCACATGGTCCCACACACATGCCGAGGCCTCACCAGGTCTGCCAGGTTGGGCTGCTCTCCTCCCATGAACTTGCGTTTCTTCCCGATGGCTGCGATCCAGTCGTTCACAGCTTTGTACAGGTCCTGCCTCACGTCGTCCTGGAGGTTATGTCTGCAATAACATCGGCACACGTCAGCTTCAAGCTAGCACCACGCAAGCTAACTACATCCAGATAACACAGTGGTTCCCAACCCCTGCCCCACGGATCGGTACCGAGACGCCAGGGAAAGTAATGTCTGTATTTCTTATCCGAGACTGAACCAGAACATTTTTAACTGTAGGAGCCAAACTTTTAATTTACTGTGAATATGTCCTTCAAAAACAAAAACACATTCATAGTGAGATATTAGTGGAGGTAATTCATGTATTCTTTCGTTGAATAACATGTTTATACTGAAGAAATCTAGTGCAATAAAGATAAGTTAAGATATACTTTATATATGTGTCACATCTGGCATGGATAGAATCACTCAGATTGTGCCAATGAAAGAAATAGTAATGACATAGTAGTGGGACTAAAGCCTGGTTCACACGAGACGATTTTAAAATTGTCGGCCGATTTTTCTCCGTGTTAGACCCCACACGGGGAGATTAAAAATCCTGCGTCTAACCACTTTGGTCGTGCAGTGTGTGGTGCGTAGCCACACGGCAAGATCACGCAAGCCACAAACAGATCAAGCGTGACTTCAGAGTAAACAGTCATGGCGGACGAAGAGGATGCAGTGGCGATAGTGTGCAGTTTGTTGTTAACAGAGAAGAGACGTAATCCAAAGAAAAGGCAATGGTCAAAGCCATGCTGCTGTGTTTTGGTTTTTTTCCGGTGTTTCCTCACCGGCTTGTCACCTCGTCTTCTTATTGGCTACACGCCGTAGTCATGGCAACGCGCTCGCTTGTCCTCGGAGGACACCACACACGACGAGAAATCGGGCCAAAACAATCCAACATGTTGGATATCCCCGATTTGAGATCGGGAGCAGTCCCAATGTCCTTCCGAGCGACGAGTGCAGTCTTAACACACCACACACGGCAGGATAATCTGTAAGATTTTGTTACGGAAATCGGAGCGTTTCTTAAGATTGTCGTAAGGGGTAAATCGGGTCTAAATCGGCCTAAATATCCTGCCGTGTGAACCAGGCTTAATTCTCAAAACCGTCAGAGTGAAGAAAGCACACGAGTGTTGTGGTCGTGTGCTTCATGTTCTGGACAAACTACGGCCATGTTCTGGGGGCGGGGCCTGTGCAGGTATTGTCTGATATAACACACCCATGAAGAGTAATGTGTCCTTAAATATAACTGAGTTGCTTCTCACCGGTGCTTGAGGCGTTTGGAGATGAGGAACATGGCCGCCGCGCCCACGTATTTGGCGAAGAATCCCTCGAAGGAGCTGAACTTTCCTTCTCGGACGATGTAGTCGAAGGACGCCAGAGCCTCAGCTGTGGTTCTGTAGACGTTCGGAGAGATCAGGTGCACCAGCCAATCATCCGCCCACTGCCGCCACTTCATCTCCTCTCTGCAGGGAGAGGGAGACTGGGATGTAACTTCAGTTATCATTTTGGTAAATCATGTGTGGCTAAATTATATACTGTATGCTAAAATTTGGTGCCGGGAGGTCTGAGGGAGCCCACCTGGAGGGGAGCGGGCTTTAAGGATGCTAATGGAGAAGAATAAATTAATACATTTTGTTTAGAGAGAATTCCCACCATATGGATTTTATTTAATGACAATAATACACAGCAGTCTTTATCATTTCCACCGTTTCATTTCAAAGTAGATTTCCATTTCCAAATAGTTTTTTCATGACGAAGCCTACGTCAGTGTGCTGCCCTCGGGTCAATCACCTCCCACACTGATCATAAGTAGAAGAATAATACTGTAAATTAGGGCTAAACGACCCAGGGCTGGACTAGTAAATAAAGTCTGCTTGAAAATGATTTAAAATATGATTCTGTGGTGAGTCCATCTGACCTGACGGCAGCTCTAACCAGGTTAAATCAGATTACAGAATAATAACTGACTTCTGCTGTCCTTTCTCGGGGTACAGCTGCAGCAGCTCGGCCTCGTCCAGCATCACCCAGTATTTGTTCATGTGCTCCACCACCTCTTTACCGCTGTCGTTCTTAGACTTCACCTCCGGGTAACAGCGGATGATCTCAGACATCGACTTACCGCTGAAAACACACACACACACGTGTTACACAGACACGTGTTACGTGACATGACACATACATGTTGCAGCTGAGAAACACACACAGGACACGTGTTACGACTGTAGCATCAGGGTCAACGCTGGCTCCAATACAGACTTCAAACATGGTTCATTGTCTCTGATGTTTTAAATTAGCAATATGTCAAGTCATCATTAAAGTGCCCTAATCCATCATCATTAAAGGGCCCTAATCCATCATCATTAAAGGGCCCTAATCCGTCATCATTAAAGGGCCCTAATCTGTCATAATAATAAACTGCTCTTTTCCAATACTTCTTTAACTGATAACAGTAGTTCAGAGATATTTGAATTTCTAAATTACTTTTCCAGCCTGTAAATCTTGTTATTGTTTTCATTTTGATGTCCCGCCCTCCACCATTTCACCAATCAGAAAGTCTGTGATCCGGGCGCCAGAACTCACCGCGTGGAGCTAATCTCACTGGTAAAGTACCATGTGGCGCAGAACTAAAAAAGGCCTCGTTATGATTCTCAAATAATTAACGACAAAACAAGGAATAAAAGCAGGATTTCTATCTTTGTGAAAAAGGTGTTGGTTATAGATTTGTTGTTGACAAAACTCTTGTCTATTCAGCTGTTATGGTCCCAGCTGGATTCGTCTGCATATCTGGCAACCTGAGTCAGGGAGAGTGGGAGAGGCTGCAGTACCACTTTTGGCCAGATTTTTACGTACTGCTCCTTTAATCATTTCCCTCCTCACACATTGAGGATTATAGAAGTATTCTAGTCATCAGATTTAGATTTTTTTATTACCTTGAATTTTTCCTTTTGAAATGTTTAACTGAAAAAGCATGTTCGAATATATTTGTCTCAGTATTTCAGTCAATGAAAGTTTCAAAATCACATTTGCCTTTAAAATGTTCAATGTCGATTTTGTGGCTCAAAAATAAATGCACCATGAACTGTGTGTCATCAGATTCTTAATGGACCTGAAACCATCCATTGGAATCTAACCATGAAAAAACATCTTGGATATTTTTGTCCTTTTGTATTTTGCACCTAACAGATAAAATGTATTATTATTGAACTTTCCACTGAGTAAATGTCTGATGGAGACGCAGAGTGAGCCTCATTCTCTCTCTCAGCACATTCTTTGGTCCATGTTCTGTAGAGAGGAGCTGCCTCTGCGGCGTCACTGATGCTACAGTTCAACTAAGTTTAACATGTTCTATTGTCAAAGATCATACGACACAATCACAGTTTGATCTTACTTTGACACGAGGTGAGACTTGATTGAGCTGATGATGACGGAGGAGTCGTTCAATTGCTACAAAGAGAAGGAAAACAATGAATTATTTATACTTAAAGCTGCACTAACGCACTTTGTGGCCCTCCCCGCACGAAGCTATCGCGGCCCACTAACCTCCACCAACAAGAGACCTGTAGATATTCAAGAAAGTGGGGGCCAGTGGTCCGCTGTGATTGGTCACAATCTGAGACCCGAAACACATTCTTTTCCTTGTTCCACGAAAACTTGATCTAAAATAAAATGACACGCCAGCACAAACCTGCGCTCCCTTTAATAAGGGAAACTTGAGCCAGGAATTACCCAAATACAGACAGTTTATCAAATGCCCGACCAGAGAGGAGAACACTCTGGATCACTGTTACACCACCGTGCGCGGAGCTTTTCGCGCTGTTCCCAAGCCAGCCCTCGGCTTCTCAGATCACTCCATGATACATCTGGTTCCTGCTTACAGACAGAGACTAAAGCTCTCGAAACCTGCAGTGAGGAGCTCCAAAGTGTGGTCTGATGAAGCTGTGGAAGAGCTACGCGCATGCATGGAATCTACAGACTGGGACCTTTTCAGAGCTGCCACAGACAGCTTGGATGAATATACGGACACTGTGACGTCATACATCCACTTCTGTGAGGATAGCATCATTCCAACAAGGACCAGGGTCATCTATAACAACGACAAACCCTGGTTCACTGCTAAACTCCGGCAGCTCAGGAAAGCAAAGGAGTCTGCTTTCAGGGAGGGGGACCGCAGCGGCTACAAAGCAGCTAAATATCAGTTCAGGAAAGAACTGAAAGCAGCCAAGTCCCGGCACAGAGAACGACTACAGGAGCAGTTTGGTAACAACGATACTGCTTCTGTCTGGAGGGGCCTACGGGAGATCACCAACTACAAACCCAAAGCCCCCCCCTGTGCTGATGACCACAAGCTAGCTGACGATCTGAACTTATTTTTCAGTCGCTTTGATGCTGCCCCTGACACCTCTCCCTCCCCCACCCCCCACTACTCTAACGACCCACCCATCAGCCCTGCCCCCAGCCTAACAATAGCCGCTAAAGAGATTAAACAACTCTTCCTGAGGCTGCACCCCCGCAAAGCTCCTGGCCCGGACCACGTGTCTCCGGCCACTCTGAGACACTGCGCCAGTGAGCTTACTCCTGTGTTCACGGACATTTTCAACACCTCTCTGCAGTCCTGCCATGTCCCGGCCTGCTTCAAATCCTCCATCATTGTCCCCGTCCCGAAGAAGCCCAGGATCACAGGACTCAATGACTACAGACCTGTAGCACTTACGTCTGTCGTCATGAAGTCATTTGAACGCCTGGTTCTCTCCCATCTCAAGTCCCTCACCTCCCCCCTCCTGGACCCCCTGCAGTTCGCCTACAGAGCCAACAGATCTGTAGACGACGCCATTAACCTGGCCCTCCACCACATCCTACAGCACCTGGACTCCCCGGGGACCTACGCCAGGGTCCTGTTCGTGGACTTCAGCTCTGCCTTCAACACAATCCTGCCATCCCTGCTCCAGGACAAGCTCTCCCAGCTCAACGTGCCCGATTCCACCTGCAGGTGGATCACTGACTTCCTGACGGACAGGAAGCAGCGAGTGCGTCTGGGGAAGAATGTCTCGGACTCTCGGATTATAAATACAGGAGCCCCACAGGGCTGTGTTCTTTCTCCCCTGCTCTTCTCCCTGTACACCAACCACTGCACCTCCAGCCACGACTCCGTGAAGCTGATCAAGTTCGCGGACGACACCACCCTCATTGGACTCATCTCCAACAACGATGAGTCCGCCTACAGGAGGGAGGTGGACCGGCTGGTGTCCTGGTGCAGTGGTAACAACCTGGAGCTGAACGCCCAGAAGACAGTGGAGATGATTGTGGACTTCAGGAAGAGCACTGTCCCCCCGCCCCCACCCTCCGTGATGGACTCCCCCATCACCTCTGTGGAGTCCTTCCGTTTCCTGGGCACCACCATCACCCCAGGACCTCAAGTGGGAGCCGACCATCAGCTCCCTCATCAAGAAGGCCCAGCAGAGGATGTACTTCCTGCGGCAGCTCAGGAAAGCCAAGCTGCCTGCACAGATGTTGGTGCAGTTCTACACGGCCATCATCGAGTCCATCCTCACCTCCTCCATCACCGTGTGGTTCGCTGGAGCCACAGTCAGGGACAAACAGAGACTACAGCGCATTGTGCGCTCTGCAGAGGAAGTGATCGGCCGCAGCCTTCCATCGCTGCAGGACCTGTACGTCGCCCGAGCTCGAGGCCGGGCTGGTCGTATCACAGCCGACCCCTCTCACCCTGCACATGGACTATTCCAACCACTCCCCTCAGGCAGGAGGCTGCGGTCCATCAGGACTAGAACCTCCCGCCACAAGAACAGTTTCTTCCCCTCTGCTGTTGGACTCTTGAACACTTCTTAACCTGTCCCCCCGCCCTTTATAAAGTCACTTTACTGCCCATCATACGTCACTTTACTTCACTGTACTGCTGTCACCTTACATTGTGTGCACCATGTGCACTTGTATATTGTAAATAGTAACTGTAACTCTATTTTAAATTTAAATTTATTCTTTAGAAGTGTTTTTTATTCTTATTTTTATTATCTCTTTTTGACTGTTGCACTGAGCCAAAGCAATTTCCAAGTCTGTGACCTCCCGTTACTTACGTTGGCAATAAAAATGATTCTGATTCTGATTCTGATTCTGATTACTCTTCAAAAGGACGTTTATCCAAATGCACTGCAGGATATGGATTGAATTTAACTAATGGATTAAAAAAAAAGTCATGTATGCAGCTTTACCTTCTGCAACATTAAAGTGCAAATATGACCTCTGCTAACTAGAAACAGACATTTTCCACCAATAGATACTTAATCGATCCATCAAACCCCAACCATGACATTAACCCGTGAAAGTAGCAGTTTGGGGAATGATCCAGACACACATTTATATACAACATATATTAATGATAACTGTGGTTTTGGCTGATGAGGAAGAGTGAAATGTAATTGCAGTAAAGTCTCACCACTTCATCGACCATGAGAATAGGCACTTTTCTGTACGTGGACCACTTGATCTCCTTCCTCATGACAGGGTTGACCTCCACGATCTCGTACGGAAGCCCGTGGTAGTCCAAAAAGGCTCGGACTTTACTGCAGAACGGACAGGTCTTGTACTGGTACAGGATCAGCTTCAGAGCGTCACCTTCAGCCTGGAAACAGAACAGTCATGTCTGATATTTGTTGATCTTGTGCACAAGACAAGTACATACATAAAACATTAAAAGTACAGAAATAAAACTGTCAATAATTGTCACTGTGAAACCAATCGACAATAACAGTTTAAATACAAGTGCAAGAACATTAAAGTGCTCTGTTCAAACTGATAACAGCTCGTGGGAATAAGCTGTTAGCATATTGAAATGTCCTGCATCTCAGAGAACGATATCTTCTGCCAGAGGGAAGAAGCTGGAACATGGCTTTTCCACAGGTCAGAAGAGTCATTGATTATTCTCAGAGCTCAGTTTAAACGTCTCCAGACCAGGCAGCTCACGGTCCTCAAGGTACATTTCCATGAAAGTCAACAGCAGAAAACCCTCCTGGATAAGCACGAGTCAGGTTTGTGGAGGTGAAAACTCACAGTACACGTTTGTATACGTTGCAGTTCAACAGAAACTTGTTAAAACGATGTAGTTAAGATTCTCTAGTCTGAAAGTTAGTAGGTTGTAAATTGTAGAATGTGCAGTGTTAATAAAACATACGATCCATACAGAGGGACATTTCTGCAAAGTTGAGGCAGATTTCACACATTATTTTTGTGAAAGATAACATTTACGATATAAAATTGCATGAATGTTTTGAATGATAACTTCTGTAATGTACATTCTCTGTTCAAAAAGCCCTGATGAACTAGATAAACAGACAGTCCACATGTTTCAATAGGACTGATAAGATTAAGTTTCTAACACAGCGTCTGAAGTGCTGTAAGGTGCTGTACCTTCTGTGGCTCCTGTGCAAAGTGCTGCTGCTGCTGCCACCGCTTCACTGTGTGGTACAGACCCAGTCCACCCCCGAGTAGGAACGCTCCTGTGGCCGCGGTCCGGGACAGAGCCAGCCCAGTCCGCGCCCTAGAGCCCCCGGTGAAGAGGGTCCTGGTCCCGAGCAGCCTCCCCCCGGTACCGGCCCGTGTGGACAGCGGAGAGTCCAGCAAAGTCCATCCGACCTTAGTAAGCGCTCTGCCGCAGCGGGCCGCCATGATGCTTTATGTAAAGTCTCAGCAGCAAGTCTCGCGAGAGGAGGCGAGACTTCCTTTAGTCAACAATGGTCAAGAAGACACGATCAAAGTCATTCTAAATTATGCTAGAGTTAGATTTTATACTTGCTTCTTTATTATGATAAAGTTAGAGATATTATTCTTATTTATATTTGTTTTATTTTTTAGTTCATTTATCTTTATCTGTGTGTTCTCCTCATTCCTACTGTTCTGTCACTGGTGCTGCAACACTGACATTTCCCCACTGTGGGACGAGGACAGAATCTTAATCTTAATCTTAAATGCTGCATGGAAACTCGGCAAAGCAATAATAAAAGCTGCGGACACATAACAGAGAGCTACAAATCCACATCGAAACCTTTTCTTCCACTTTATCTGTTGCTGGGTCGTGGGGGCAGCCCAGACTTTCTGATCCACAACTTAAAATTAAGAGCCATGAAAGTAACTATATGAAAACTATAGTAACAAAAATAAAGTCATTTATACTCATATTTATTAAGTGCTTAAACAGCTGAATAAAACTGAAATACTGCGAAAACAGTTTGTTGAAAAGCTAACGGCTAAATGCTAACAACTAATAGTGAACAGTGTGTTGCTATGGTAACCAGCACACGCTCTTCTCTGGTGGGAAACAAATCAGAACCAGGACCAGAACTAGAACAGGACCAAAACCAGTCCAGGACCAGACCCAGTCCAAAACAAGACTAGAACCAGTACAGGACCAAAACCAGTCCAGGACCAGACCCTGTCCAAAACCAGTCTCGAACCAATACAGGACCAAAACCAGTACAAGACCAGAAACAGTCCAGGACCAGAATTAGTCCAGGACCAGACCCAGTCCAGGATCAAAACCAGATCCAAAACCAGCCCAGGTAAATCACCTGTCCTGGACCAGAACCAGGACCAGTCCAGGACCAGACCAGTCCAGGCTGAGGACTTTGAAAAGCAGGTGGTAACAACCAGAGAAAGAAAGCGGCCTATAATGGCTCCGTTTGAATTTTATCTAAAGGTAAAACTTTAATACATTTGCTGACATAGAAATAAATACATAAAGAAACAAAACCACACAGGTACAGGAGCCGAGTAATACACTTAAAAAACTCACAGCCGTCAAAGTGGCTGCTCTGAGAGTGTTAAAGGTCCCAAACATTCTGTGGTGTTTACTGACATTCCCACTTTGAAATAGTCAAATATGTAACAAAATATATTTCTCTTTACTTTCATCAATGTTTTTCAGACACCGAGGAATGTCTTATGAAAAATGTTTTGTTTTTACAGTAATCTGGAAACTTTCCGATAACAAAAAGGAAAAGCAGCTACGTCCTGGTCCTGGAGGAAGCCTGATTATATTCTGTGGTTTATGTGAAGTTTGCACATGTGTAATTAATGTGTAATTAATGATAATACTGTATGTTCATAAACTGTGTGCTGCGTTTTTGTTGGATTAATAAAGGCGGTGCCAGAAGAAGGGTTTCCCGCAGAGTCAGAAAGAGACCGGTCTGTTTGTTTATTTAATACAGGAAAGTATGTGAGATGGGTGTTTTATATTACATCTACACGGTGGCTGAGTGGTTAACACTCTCGCTCCTCAGCAAGAAGGTCCTGGGTTTGAATCCTGGTCGGAACAGGGTCTTTCTGAGTGGAGTTTGCATGTTCTCCTGGTGCCTGTGTAGATTTTCCTTGGCATCAGGATGGTTCAAACGCAGAGGATGAATTGCTCTACAGTGATCAATAAAGTTTACATATATATATATATATATATATTTTTACATATTTTATTTGTGTCTCCAGCCTCGAGGTCAACATGTACCAATCCATGTTGCATTTAGCCTCTGTCACATCTTCAGATTCTGGGGCTCTCAGGGTTCTTTCTTACACAAATGCTAAAGATAACATGTTTCATAATAACATCAGGAGAAGACAGCAGGTTCTGGTCTGATGTGCTCACAAAGACTTCTGCTGCGATAAACAATATACATTTTTCATTAAACAAGCTTTAACACGGTCTGGTTCTGGATTACCATAATCCAACCAGGAAGCACTTCACTCATCTCTCATTTGGGTCTTTCTCTTTAGTGAAACTGTTTTCTACTTTTTATGTTTGTTTATGTTCTTACATGACTTGCTCTGTTGTGACAAACTACATGTATTTTTTACTCCAGGACTCTCAGAATTCTGAAACTGCAAAAAACTCCCAGACCTGTCATTTTCAAACCATTGGCATTCTGAGAAATTCACTAAAACTGATGAATATAACTTGAAACACGGCTCAATGCCAACTGCTGCAAGTAAACAGTGTGTTGCTAAGGTAACGATAAGATAATTAAAATAATGACATAATAAACTACATATAAATATACATATGGATTTAGATAAAAGTCACTAAGTTATGAAGGCCACACGGCTTCATAGTATCTTCCAGAACCGAGAGTTTCCCAGTTTAACATCAGAACTCCCAGAGCCGTCATTTCGACTGCTCCCATTGGAAAGTTGTATTCAAATGTACCTTTAACCATTTTTGTTAAGTGCTAAAACTGGTGAATATAACTTGAAATGCGTGAAACACAGAAAACAGTCGTTTCTGTATAAGGCTATTGCTAACTGGTAGCAAGTTAACGGTACGTTGCTATGGTTACTAGCGCTATGGTTACTTCTAGACTTCTCGACTCCATTTCGAAATAAAAATAATAATAATTTAATAAAACAATGACATAGAGAAAAGAAACAGAAAAAGTGACAAACCAAACAGGATCAAAACATTTACATGAGCCAATGTTCCAAAAGTCGTTTCTGTATAAGGCTATTGCTAACTGGTAGCAAGTTAACGGTACGTTGCTATGGTTACTAGCGCTATGGTTACTTCTAGACTTCTCGACTCCATTTCGAAATAAAAAAATAATAATTTAATAAAACAATGACATAGAGAAAAGAAACAGAAAAAGTGACAAATCAAACAGGATCTTTATTATTATTATTATTATTATTTATTTTAGAATTTACATGAGCCAATGTTCCAAAACTAATCCAACTGTAGAGACTTTATCACAGCAGATTCTTTCAGGGCTCAGTCCAAAAACGATCCCAGGCTTCTCGCTTTGTGTGCGGCCGTAAATCTGCTCTTGTGTTTGTGTCCCCTCGGTGTCCCCCTCATCATTCACCCCGTGGAGCCTTTAAGAGCAGTCTGAGTGACGGTCTGAATGACGGTCTGCTGCCTCCCTGAGCCCCCGGCCACAGAGACAGACTCCGCGGAGGAGGAGGAGGCATCACCAGCATCCATTTCGGACTCCACATCTTCCCCTGGATCTACCCTCTTTCCCCGGCATGACACCCCGGGACACCGCGGGAGTCTGGGCTGTGATTTATCCCCTTGTTTACGGGTTTTTCCCTGCGTTTTAATCCACCCTCCCCAAGGATGCTAAACCGGGAATGAGGCATGCATGCACAAGCGCAAATCAAAAATGGATTCGGCGTTAGCAGCGCTGGCTAACACGGACTAGCCCACGTCATTAAACGCGGTCAAAGAGGGATTTCTTCTTGAATGCAACGTGGGGATGTGTTTTACGTGGATGCTTTAGAGGATTTGTGATGATTTCCGATGCATGCAGGTGACAGACGAGGCGACGGGAGACGTATTTTGCAGGAAAATTAGCCTAGCACCCCAGCATCCAGGAGGGACTTACGGCGCAGAGAGAGAGAGCGGGGGTCTGGGGGATGCTGTGTCCGGGGAGGGTGCACACGATGTCGGCCTGAGAACAAGAGAGGACACCGCCGCTGGAAGGTCATGCGACTGGGAGAATGATCATGCTGGAAAAACAGGTGAGTGCAACGGGGTCGTATTTAAATGGACTCTTGGCTCATTAGAATTATGCTAATGAGGCGTGGTGCTGTCTCTAGGTCAATGTGGTGTTGATGCACATGGCACAAACACAGCTGGGATGGGCCCAAATATCCAATATAAAGCCGAATGTATTGGGTTTAAGGGTGTGGAGATCAATACAATACAGACAGAAATATTTTAGACAATACAATTTACAATGTATGCCATGATTCTGCAACACACGCTCCAAATGCTGGGATATAAGTAGGTTATAAAGGATTATGTATTGAAAAAGTGTCAATGTAAAGGCTTGCTCTGTTGCACCTCCACATGGGTGCACTGTTCTGTCCATGTGTAATATAAAGTAATAACGTTGGATCTGATCTCATCTGGATATACTATTGTGTGTATCTTTGTAAAGGGGACTACAGTCGAATGGAAAAAACAATAGATATGCCTCGAAGAACTCAACGTCTGAAATCTGACACTATCCCCCTGCTTTCGATTCCATTATTTTACAATCATCTGAATCTTGGACTAAACTCTTCTAGTCCAACACTGACAATACTTAGTCGGTTTAACTTCAACCTGCGTTTACTAAAGTATAACACTCAGATCTTTTGTTACTTATAGACGTGAACAACCACATTGAAGAGATGCTATTCTTGTTTGCAGTGTCCTTATTCAAACGAGTAATGAAAAAGCCGGGTTTAATAAGCGTGGAGGTCTCATTTGTCAGTTTTGGTTGTGATTTGAGAGCCTTTTGGACAAACGACTGTGAGATTTGCACCTGTCTGGACTTCCTGTGCATTCGCCTGCTCCTCTGTAGTCCCAGACGCTCCATATTTAGACATTAGCAGCTATTTTTATCACGACAGGAGAGATTTAAGAACCCCTCACCTTCTTCTAATGTTCTGGCTTCATACTTTTACAGATTCTGATTTGGATGATGCAGTGATTTGATGTTATTTGCTTTTATCTGCCTTTTAAAGCGTGTGGTTTGCTGTTCTTTTCCCACTGTTATGGCACTGTTCTGATTGGATGTGACTGATGGGATTGCCTTCACGCAGATCTGACCTGTTTGCTTGTTAGCTATGCTACATTTTCACCTGTAATTTATATTCACGGCTTTTCCAGAGGCTTTGAGGTGGTTTTCAGTTGGAACTAGCAACACACATCATTTCCTTAAACCATTAGTTGGACCCTGTAGCGGTCAATAATTGGTCGACCTTTTAACCCGCTGCTTTTTATAGTCCCTGCTCCTGGTGTGAAAGTAACTAAGTAAGTCGTTTGTTAATTTACCAGTGTCCCTGCTCACACATATGGTCATAGATTGTGCTAAATTAATATTGTTTGTTTTACTTTTGCAACCATTCATGAAAAAGTAATTTCTCTTGTTGGTTCCGTCTGTTATTTATTTATTGAAGCTAAATATATTTGAAGTAGGGCTGGGCAATAAATCGAATTTTGGCAATTAATCGGCTTTTGAAAAAATCGAATTCGTGAAAAATGTGAAAATCGTGAAATTGAATGAAGGACATTGTGAGAGCTCCAGCAGCACATCAATTATACTTGCAATATCAGCACAGTCTGTACTAGACTTTTATAATATGTTTTGGGGGAAACGAATAAAAAATAGTTTTGAAACTTAAATATTTAGCGGGAAGATAAAACATATTTTAAGGGCAAAGTCTGTCTTGAGTGACTTTAATGAAAATCGATTTAAAATCGACATCGTCCAAAGCAGGAAGTAAAATCGAGATTTTACTTTTTTGCCATATCGCCCAGCCCTAATTTGAAGATCTATTAAAGAGCTATCTGGAATAAACCTTTGCACTATTAAGCACAAACAGATCGATATCGCCATTTTGAAGGTCGTAATTAGTAAACTGCAAAGTGCGCATTTAAAAAAAAAGTTCTTTACAAACATAAAGGGCCTAAAGATAAAACAAGAATTACTGGTGCTTGATTAGTGTATATTTTGATTTGTCAATGGAACCAATATCTTTCTAGTTGTCTCCTTGTTGGACACAAGTGTTAATGCTGGAGAACCTGACTTTGTCCCAACAGAAAGAGTCTGGTTTGATTTTGTGGACAAATCAAACCATGAGGACCCTGTAGGACCACAGTCAGAGCTGGTTTCATCAACGACTGTGAGAAAGACCTGTTCCCAGTGCAGGGACCACAGGATCTCTGCTGCTTTGTTGCTTCTTTAACCCTTGTATTATGTTGGAAAAAAATGACATTGATTATGTTGCGGGTCATTTTGACCCATACTGTGTAAATGCACTCAAAACAGTCAAGAAAACAGGTTAAACCAATAACAACTTTATTTTAGGTTATATAAATATTTAGAAAAGTGACATACAATACATTTTTAATTCCAACACTATATTTAAGAATTATTTAGTCTAATCTTCTTGTCCTCCTCTCGGGTCAAAATGACAATTCTTCCCTCCTTCTTTCCTCCTGCCATGCTTTCTCCTTCCTTTTTCTCATCCTGTGTTCCTTCTCTCTGTTCATCCTTCTATATTCCCTTCTTTTCTCTTCCTTCCTTCCTGTCTCCCTTCTTTCCTTCCTACCTTCCTTTCTTCGTCCCTTCCTCTTCTTTGACCAAAGATTCGTCAAATTGACCCTTAACATAATACAAGGGTTAAACCAGGACCACATGGATCCGGGTGAGGTGGCTCGGCTTCTGTTTGAGTCTCTGGCCCTGGAACACCTTGGGATTCCCCTGGATGAGCTGGAGAGTGCAGAGAGGGAGGTCTGGGAGTCATTAGTCTCTTACATTGCTGCCACATCTCGTTCTACAGAGTCTTGGACCTGGATCTACAGCCCGTGTGTCCGTGGGAGCAGAACCCTCTCTCAATGTGGGCTGCCTGAGGCTTCTCACCTTTTCCCACCGGGTTTTAGAGTTGTTCCTTGCAGATGCTTGAGGGTCTAACACAGTGATGTCAGGTCTGGCTGCAGGTTCTAATACCAACCTGAGCAGAAAAACACCAGACTCCACCCATTTCCTCAAATCTTCAGGTTAAAACTGGACTCACCTGAGGAAATGGGTGGAGTTTGATGTGCTCCTGCTCAGGTTGGAACTCGGAAAACCCTTATGGTGCGTTCAGACCGGACTTAACTTCAACTTCAAAAGTCGAAGCTTTTCTTTGAAGCTTTTGGTCTGAACTCTCCTTTAGGGGACTGGGTTGACACCCCTGGAAGGACAGTGGTGATGATCCAGGACCCTCCACATTTATCATCACTTATGGACATTGGTCATCTGTCTCTTATGGACCAATACAAGTGTGTTTGCTATTTTATTTCATGTGTTTGAACGGTTTGATTCTCTGATCTTTGCTGAAGAATTCCTCCTAGTCCTCCTAGATAACTACTGTTGAGATTTAGGGCGATACAAGAACACTTGTCCCCCCGCCCTTAGAAGTAATCTTACGGCCCCCTATAATGTCACTCTACTGTCATAAGGTCACTTTACTGCTCGTCACCCTATTGCACTGCCTATTGCACTGCCTATTGCACTGCCTATTGCACTGCCTATTGCATGTTGTGTGCCCCATGTGCACTTATTGTACGTTGTACATAGTGACTGTAATTGTAAGAATTCTGTTATAATTCCATTTTAAATTTTATACTGTAGAAGTGTATGCTAATTTTTATTATTTTTATTATGCCTTACTCTACTCTCTATTCTTTACCTCTCTTCTTTGACTATTGCACTGAGACAAAGCAATTTCCAAGTCTGTGACTTCCTGTTACTTACGTGGCAATAAAAATCATTCTGATTCTGATTCATTGAATTGAATTGATTTGCTCCAGTGACCCAGCTATGAATAAAGTGAAGAAAATGGATGGATGACGTGGAGGTAATAACTTCATATGTATCTCCTTTAAAGTTTATTTTTACTCTGTCTGAATAATATTATAGTGACAAGTTTTGAGGCAGTTAAAAATATTTCCACTCGGTTGTCATGGCGATAGATTGAGTTAACAGCGACCTCTGGTCATTGGCTCCGTGTCATGGTTTCTGTGTTAAAGCAGTGAGTGACTTCCCGTCTGGAGGCTGAGCTCACAAACACATTAATAAAACATCAGATGGAGCAGGCGAACAAAGAAACTCACAACAACATTCATTAGATTAAAGCAGCGGAATAAACGGTGGATCCTCCTGGTTTTAGTTTGATGTGATGTCGTTTAGCAGTTGTTAATGAACTGGTGAATTATTGAAGTGTGGAGAAAGAATCAATTAGAGTTTATCGAGCCCCGGAGCTGCGCTGGGACAAGGAGACGTCTTTGAAACGGTTCCAACTTTTCTACAGTTCTGTCCAGGACGCTAAAGAAACACACACCTGCTTCTCAAAACAGTTAGAAATAAAACCTCCCAGTTATACGAATAATCCAACAATCATGTGTCATTTGCAACTATTGTTTTAGAATACAGAAAAAAGATATGAGCATAAAAAAATGGGGGAAAATAGATTTTGTTCAGTATCGCAATATTTTGCTCACACAAAGGAGCTACAGTAGCAAAGTATTAGGATATTTAATTGAATAATTATGTTTCACTTTTGTGTTTCCTCTGAGTTTCCTCTGAGTTTCCTCTGAGTTTCCTCTGAGTTTCCTCTGAGTTTCCTCTGAGTTTCCTCTGAGTTTCCTCTGAGTTTCCTCTGAGTTTCCTCTGAGTTTCCTCTGAGTTTCCTCTGAGTTTCCTCTGAGTTTCCTCGGGTCATTCCCATCTGAGGTTTCTGTGACTCTATGATATCTGCCTGTTGTCTCGCAATATGTTAAGAATCGCAATAATAATAGTGAATTGTGGCCCAAATATGGCAATACAAGGGTCTCAGCATTCTAGGTCTCAGGGCTCTGGGTCTCAGGGCTCTGGGTCTCAGGGCTCTGGTTCTCAGCGCTCTGGGTCTCAGGTGTCTGGGACTCAGGGCTCTGGGTCTCAGGTGTCTGGGTCTCAGCGCTCCGGATCTCAGCGCTCTGGGTCTCAGCGCTCTGGGTCTCAGGGCTCTGGGTCTCAGCGCTCTGGGTCTCAGGGCTCTGGGTCTCAGGGCTCTGGGTCTCAGGGCTCTGGGTCTCAGGGCTCTAGGTCTCAGGGCTCTGGGTCTCAGGGCTCTGGGTCTCAGGGCTCTGGGTCTCAGGGCTCTGGGTCTCAGCTCTCTGGGTATCAGCGCTCTGGGTATCAGCGCTCTGGGTCTCAGCGCTTCTTAATTATCCATATTTGTCCTTCTCCTTTGTGTGAGGAGCGATTTAAAGGTTGATGTTCAGACTTCCTGAAGCCTTGTCGTCTTTCTGAACTGAACTCAACAGCAGCGCGTCATAAATCACTTGCGGCTGCTCTTTCTCCACTTTTCTGTTTTTCTTTCAAACCAGAGAGAGACAGAGAGAGACAGAGAGAGGTGTCTGGGTCTCAGGTGTCTGGGTCTCAGCGCTCCGGATCTCAGCGCTCTGGGTCTCAGCGCTCTGGGTCTCAGGGCTCTGGGTCTCAGGGCTCTGGTTCTCAGCGCTCTGGGTCTCAGGTGTCTGGGACTCAGGGCTCTGGGTCTCAGGGCTCTGGGTCTCAGGTGTCTGGGACTCAGGGCTCTGGGTCTCAGCGCTCTGGGTATCAGCGCTCTGGGTCTCAGGGCTCTGGGTCTCAGGGCTCTGGGTCTCAGGGCTCTGGGACTCAGGGCTCTGGGTCTCAGGGCTCTGGGTCTCAGGTGTCTGGGTCTCAGGTGTCTGGGTCTCAGCGCTCCGGATCTCAGCGCTCTGGGTCTCAGCGCTCTGGGTCTCAGGGCTCTGGGTCTCAGCGCTCTGGGTCTCAGGGCTCTGGGTCTCAGGGCTCTGGGTCTCAGGGCTCTGGGTCTCAGGGCTCTAGGTCTCAGGGCTCTGGGTCTCAGGGCTCTGGGTCTCAGGGCTCTGGGTCTCAGGGCTCTGGGTCTCAGCTCTCTGGGTATCAGCGCTCTGGGTATCAGCGCTCTGGGTCTCAGCGCTTCTTAATTATCCATATTTGTCCTTCTCCTTTGTGTGAGGAGCGATTTAAAGGTTGATGTTCAGACTTCCTGAAGCCTTGTCGTCTTTCTGAACTGAACTCAACAGCAGCGCGTCATAAATCACTTGCGGCTGCTCTTTCTCCACTTTTCTGTTTTTCTTTAAAACCAGAGAGAGACAGAGAGAGACAGAGAGAGACAGAGAGAGACAGAGAGAGACAGAGAGAGACAGAGAGAGACAGAGAGAGACATAGAGAGACCAGAGAGAGACCAGAGCGAGACCAGAGCGAGACCAGAGCGAGACCAGAGCGAGACCAGAGCGAGACCAGAGCGAGACCAGAGCGAGACCAGAGCGAGACCAGAGCGAGACCAGAGAGAGACCAGAGAGAGACCAGAGAGAGACCAGAGAGAGACCAGAGAGAGACAGAGACAGACAGAGACAGACAGAGAGGACCAGAGAGGACCAGAGAGAGACCAGAGAGAGACAGAGAGAGACAGAGAGAACCAGAGACAGAGAGAGACAGAGAGAGACAGAGAGAGACCAGAGAGAGACCAGAGAGAGACCAGAGAGAGACCAGAGAGAGACCAGAGAGAGACCAGAGAGAGACCAGAGAGAGACCAGAGAGAGACCAGAGAGAGACCAGAGAGAGACCAGAGAGAGACAGAGAGAGACAGAGAGAGACCAGAGAGAGACAGAGAGAGACAGAGAGAGACAGAGAGAGACAGAGAGAGACAGAGAGAGACCAGAGAGAGAGAGAACCAGAGAGTGTGAGCTCGGGGCCTGTCCTTGATAATGTGAAGTGTTTTAGCAGAGCCCCGTGGCTGTGTCTGCAGCTGCACTCTGAGGACAGGAGACCCACACTGCCGTCTTTATTCTCTTTCAAACGTGGATTTATGAGCCACATGTTTGTATCTCAGGGACGGTTCAGCCATTTTCAATAGAATCAGACTACTCAGAGATGTTAGTGCCACCTGCAGCCAGCGTAGTTCCTCCTCATGATGTGGAAAGTTTTTTTTTGTTTTTATCTAATTTGTAATATTAACTGGTATTTTTATTGTCTTTATTATAATTATTACTTTGTGTATAATGTTTTTCTTCTATTTTTTTAACACAATTCTGGAAAACCACGGATTTAAAAGTGTTGATTTTATCTGTGTGCAGCACTTTGGAAACTTGCTTTAAAAATGGTGCTGTATAAACAAAGTGGGTTGGATTTTCTTCCGCTTCATCCGTTGCCGGGTCGCGGGGGCAGCAGTCTGAGCAGAGACGCCCGGACTTCCCTCTCCACAGACACCTCCAGCTCATCCCAGGCTGAGAGAGACATGCAGAATGGCTTTTTCTCATTTTGAATAGTTGCTTCTGTTGGACTGGTAGTATGCTGGGAGAGTGGTTAGCTTCTCGCCGCTTTTCAGCAAGAAGGTCTTGGGTTGGAATCCCGGTCGGAACAGGGCCTTTCAGGGGGAGTTTGCATGTTCTCTCCGTGTGTGCATAGGTTTCCTTCAGGTGCTCCGGTCCCCCTTACCTCCAAACATATTTAAAAAAGTAAAAATCCTCCAGCTCCGACCTTGCTGAGGGTCATGTTGTATCTCCCTCTGGTGGTAGAAGTGGAGAAGTGCACATTAATAAGTCGTTCGTGTTGAAGGGGCGACAAAAATACATAATATTTCTTGTTTACACAAAGTGGGACATATGGTCACGCAGACTGAACCCTGTGCTCGGCCTCGCTCTTGTCTTTGACTTCTGCCTGTGTCTACATTGTGTGTGTTGTGTGTACATTGTGTGAGTTGTGTGAGTAAGCCTGTGTATTGTGCTGAGCTGCAGCCAGTGGGACAAAGGCATTCTCTCTGTGGTTGAAACACCAGATAACATCAGCCTCATGCAGCTGCACAAACTCACACTTCAGAGCTGAGACTTTACCTGCCACACTTATTGTGTATTATTTATTCAAGGACACAGATTAACACAAGGAGTCATAATGGACTTTATGCATTTTCCTGAAGGTGTTTTGCTACATTCACACTAATATAAGAGAACTCCCTCACTATAGTGTCCTCCTCGCACAGACTGAGGCTGTAGACCCAGGACTGAGGCTTTAGACCCAGGACTGAGGCTTTAGACCCAGGACTGAGGCTTTAGACCCAGGACTGAGGCTGTAGATCCAGGACTGAGGCTGTAGACCCAGGACTGAGGCTGTAGATCCAGGACTGAGGCTGTAGATCCAGGACTGAGGCTGTAGATCCAGGACTGAGGCTGTAGACCCAGGACTGAGGCTGTAGACCCAGGACTGAGGCTGTAGACCCAGGACTGAGGCTGTAGACCCAGGACTGAGGCTGTAGACCCAGGACTGAGGCTGTAGACCCAGGACTGAGGCTGTAGATCCAGGACTGAGGCTGTAGACCCAGGACTGAGGCTGTAGACCCAGGACTGAGGCTGCTGTAGACCCAGGACTGAGGCTTGTAGATCCAGGACTGAGGCTTTAGACCCAGGACTGAGGCTGTAGACCCAGGACTGAGGCTGTAGACCCAGGACTGAGGCTTTAGACCCAGGACTGAGGCTGTAGACCCAGGACTGAGGCTGTAGACCCAGGACTGAGGCTGTAGACCCAGGACTGAGGCTTTAGACCCAGGACTGAGGCTGTAGATCCAGGACTGAGGCTGTAGACCCAGGACTGAGGCTGTAGACCCAGGACTGAGGCTGTAGACCCAGGACTGAGGCTGTAGACCCAGGACTGAGGCTGTAGATCCAGGACTGAGGCTGTAGACCCAGGACTGAGGCTGTAGACCCAGGACTGAGGCTGTAGACCCAGGACTGACACTGTAGACCCAGGACTGAGACTAGACCCAGGACTGAGACTAGACCCAGGACTGAGACTGTAGACTGATGTGAATAACATGCACATGCTGACACACAGACAAGAGTGAATAAAGTATAACCACCATAACAATGTATATTACCAGTAATCACATGTACTAACAATTATATTGATCAGTAAATGTTCTTATAAGTATCTCCATAAAATGTTCTTATATTATCAGTAAGTGTCTGCATAATAGGCCTTTGTTTAATGTGTTAGTGGGGTCAGTGAGAATTCAAGGACAGGCTGGTCTCTGTCAGGAACGATGTGTCTGCTTCGCATGAGACAAAAATCCTGACCAGGCCAGTCTCGGGGACTGAGGTGATAAATCCTGACCAGGCCAGTCTCGGGGACTGAGGTGATAAATCCTGACCAGGCCAGTCTCGGGGACTGAGGTGATAAATCCGGACCAGGCCAGTCTCGGGGACTGAGGTGATAAATCCTGACCAGGCCAGTCTCGGGGACTGAGGTGATAATCCTGACCAGGCCAGTCTCGGGGACTGAGGTGATAAGGAGCCAATGACGTCTTCGAGGGACGAGTCCTGATCTTCAGCACATTTATAAAACTGTATTATGTAGAAATTGTGAACGAGTCTGGACAAGGGACCTGCAGTATAAAGTCAGAGCGCCTGACTTTATACTCATATATAGATTGGAGAGGGAGAGCTAACTTTAAGTCCAGACCGCTGTTTAGACTCTTTGTATCAGGGAATAAACTTTTTGGATTTAACTTTTCGAATACTGGTCATCTTTATATGGGATTTTGAACACTTCATTTTTTTACAATAAGACCCAGGACTGAGACTAGACCCAGGACTGAGACTGCAGACCCAGGACTGAGACTGCAGACCCAGGACTGAGACTGTAGACCCAGGACTGAGACTAGACCCAGGACTGAGCCTGTAGACCCAGGACTCACCCAGGACTGAGACTAGACCCAGGACTGAGTCTGTAGACCCAGGGCTGAGTCTGTAGACCCAGGGCTGAGGCTGTAGACCCAGGACTGAGACTAGACCCAGGACTGATCTGTAGACCCAGGACTGACCCAGGACTGAGACTAGACCCAGGACTGAGACTGCAGACCCAGGACTGAGACTGTAGACCCAGGACTGAGACTAGACCCAGGACTGAGCCTGTAGACCCAGGACTCACCCAGGACTGAGACTAGACCCAGGACTGAGACTGTAGACCCAGGACTGATCTGTAGACCCAGGACTGACCCAGGACTGAGACTAGACCCAGGACTGAGACTGTAGACCCAGGACTGAGACTGTAGACCCAGGACTGAGACTGTAGACCCAGGACTGACCCAGGACTGAGACTAGACCCAGGACTGAGTCTGTAGACCCAGGGCTGAGGCTGTAGACCCAGGACTGAGACTAGACCCAGGACTGAGACTGTAGATCCAGGACTGAGACTGTAGACCCAGGACTGAGACTGAGACTGAACGATGCTTTCTTCCCAGACCCGTGTGGTCCTAAGTGTGTCAGATTGTAAACTGTTTAGTTGATCCTAATATGAACTTCTGTCCTATATTCTATTGTTGTTCCTCATGTGATGTCACTGCTCAAGTCTCTGCTCTGTCGTACTGTAAACCTGATTTTCTCCTTTAAAGTAGTACTAGAATTTAATATGCTGCTATCCAGAATATATAACTACAATATGTGTTTATAATATTTCGGGTGTTCATTTTGATATGTTCAGATGAATTATGTTAAAAAAACAGCTTTGAAGTCGGACCTTTTCACAAACGCTAGGGGGAGCCAAAATGGCGGCGATGATGTAGGAGAATGACCTCTCACAGCAGCAGCAGCAGTCTGGGCTGAATCTGTAGGAGGTTTCACTGTCATCTGAACAAGGTGAAGTGGAGCTCAGAGTGTTATGTTTGGATCGCAGTTTCATACAGAGATATTCAGAGGAAAGGACGCTCTCATGAATGTGTATTTGGAAACAATGATAAATCCTGGGCCTTGTTCTGTCACAAAACCAGTCCTTCATTTAAGTTTAACTCAGTGGAGTCCAAAGTGTCAGGTCCGGTCGGGTCCAGAGTCGGGGTTTTCCTGGACCACAGTGCAGGGGTTTTGTCCTTTTACAACGTCTCAGAAAACATGAGGCTGATCCACCGAGAACAGACCACCTTCTCTCAGCCGCTTCACGCTGGAGTCAGGATTGACTGTTGTTATGGAGACACTGCACATTTCCCTAAACTCAAATAACAGTTTGTTCTCCACAGTTTTACATCAAATTTGTGCCTTTGCTAAAAATCCATCATGATTCAATTTAATTCAATGTATTTGTGTTTAGCCCTAAGGTAGACCCAGGACTGAGACTGTAGTCCAGGACTGAGACTCTAAACCACTCTAGACCCACGACTGAGACTCTAGACCAAGGACTGAGGCTGTAGACCCAGGACTGAGACTCTAGACCCAGGACTGAGACTCTAGACCCAGGACTGAGGCTGTAGATCCAGGACTGAAGCTGTAGATCCAGGACTGAGACTCTAGACCACTCTAGACCCAGGACTGAGACTCTAGACCCAGGACTGAGGCTGTAGATCCAGGACTGAGACTCTAGACCACTCTAGACCCAGGACTGAGACTCTAGACCCAGGACTGAGACTGTAGACCCAGGACTGAGGCTGTAGTCCAGGACTGAGACTCTAAACCACTCTAGACCCACGACTGAGACTCTAGACCAAGGACTGAGGCTGTAGACCCAGGACTGAGACTCTAGACCCAGGACTGAGACTCTAGACCCACGACTGAGACTCTAGACCCACGACTGAGACTGTAGATCCAGGACTGAAGCTGTAGATCCAGGACTGAGACTCTAGACCACTCTAGACCCAGGACTGAGACTCTAGACCCAGGACTGAGACTGTAGACCCAGGACTGAGGCTGTAGTCCAGGACTGAGACTCTAGACCACTCTAAACCCAGGACTGAGACTCTAGACCCAGGAATGAGGCTGTAGACCCAGGACTGAGACTCTAGACCACTCTAGACCCAGGACTGAGACTCTAGACCCAGGACTGAGACTGTAGACCCAGGACTGAGGCTGTAGTCCAGGACTGAGACTCTAAACCACTCTAGACCCAGGACTGAGACTCTAGACCCAGGACTGAGACTGTAGACCCAGGACTGAGGCTGTAGTCCAGGACTGAGACTCTAGACCACTCTAAACCCAGGACTGAGACTCTAGACCCAGGACTGAGGCTGTAGACCCAGGACTGAGACTGTAGACCCAGGACTGAGGCTGTAGACCCAGGACTGAGACTCTAGACCACTCTAGACCCAGGACTGAGACTCTAGACCCAGGACTGAGACTCTAGACCCAGGACTGAGACTCTAGACCCAGGACTGAGGCTGTAGATCCAGGACTGAGACTCTAGACCACTCTAGACCCAGGACTGAGACTGTAGACCCAGGACTGAGGCTGTAGTCCAGGACTGAGACTCTAAACCACTCTAGACCCACGACTGAGACTCTAGACCAAGGACTGAGGCTGTAGACCCAGGACTGAGACTCTAGACCCAGGACTGAGACTCTAGACCCACGACTGAGACTCTAGACCCACGACTGAGACTGTAGATCCAGGACTGAAGCTGTAGATCCAGGACTGAGACTCTAGACCACTCTAGACCCAGGACTGAGACTCTAGACCCAGGACTGAGACTGTAGACCCAGGACTGAGGCTGTAGTCCAGGACTGAGACTCTAGACCACTC